CCTCATTTTCACACCTTATATACCTTTCTGCTTGCTGCCATCACTTCCTGGGATTAAAGGTGAGGCACCATGCCTGGCCAGTGTGGCTTTAAACTCACAAAGATCCAGATGAATCTCTGCCTCCCAAGTGATAGGATTAAAGGTGTGTGTGCCACCATTTTCTGGCCTCTATATCTAGTGGCTGTTCTGTTCTCTGACCCCAGATAAGTTTATTAGGGTGCACAATATTTTGGGGAACACAATATCACCACATTTCCCCTTTTTCGTCTGAAATTAAAAAAGCTTATAACTAATACAAGAAAAACTATATCCAATAAGTACAATAACTATATACAATATATACAAGCAATAAATACTTAAACAATGTCTAGTCTATTTGCATTTGACAGATTCAGACAAAAACTCCACTATATATATTAACAATGTCCAGTCCAGTAACATTTGATAAACTCAGACAAAAAAAATTTCATTATTTATCCTATTTAAAACAAGTAGTTCCTTTTTAAAAGTAGATTCAATAACTGACCTTTTTATCTTATCATATCCATATTCTTTTTTCTTTTCATAGTAGATTCAATAATCTACCTTTTGTCATTTTTATATCTTCTCCTTTTTCATTTTAGAGTAGATTCACTGATCTACCCATTTATCCTATTACTTCTTTATCTTTTTTTTCCTCAGAGTAGATTCAATGATCTATCTCATATCTATTATTCTCTTTTTTCTTTTTTAAACAAAAACTCTGAATCTAATCTCCTTGTTCAGCTTTTTTCCTGACCATTAACAATTAACAACTTGTAACCAACCATCATAAATAATGACAATATCCATAACTTATTAAACAACCAAAACCTCCTATCCCACCTCTTGGGAATGTGGGCGTTGTTTTCTTAAAATTACTTCCTGCTTCCTGGGGGTGAAGACATCTTTAGGGAATCCTGAAAAGAAAATTTCAGGATGGCCAGCCTCTAGGCAGCAAACATGGATGCCAGCCTCTAGGCAGCTTGGAGGTTCTTGACTGTTGCCTTATAATGACTCCTGGAATCAGATGGGGCATGCCCCCCCACACACCCCACCCCCGCCATTGTGTTCTTTTTAAACTCTTGGTGGTTTAAGCTCTTAGTGGTCTTTCTAGTTCTGGGTAAGCGTTAATACCAGCTTTGCAGTTCCTATTACCAGTCTTGCAATTTTGATTGAGATTGTTTGAAATGCTCTCAGGTCTGTTGGAGGAAAACTGCTGGTCTAACAAAATTGAACCTTTTATAGTTCATGATGGTATATTGCCATTGTTTAGGTCTTCTTGCATTTTTTTTATTTTTAATAAAATTATTGAATAATTTATTATTATAGCAATATTTTGTTATTATTCGTGTTTGCTTTGTTTTAGATGCGGTCGCACCTGTGTTCCAAACTAGCTTAGCGTTCAACATCCTCCTCTTAGCCTCTTCCGTGCTGAGGTCGCAGGTGTGGCCCCTGTACCATTCCTTTCCTGTAAATTGTACTGAGCAATGATAGATTTTTGTGGTGCTAACTCAAAATAAGATCATTTTTCTTCAAGAAATTTTTTTAGAATTATTTTATGTGTTTGAGTATTTGCCTGCATATATATGTATGTGTACCACATGCATGTCTGATGCCTACAGAGGTCAGAAGAAAGCATCAGATCTCCTGGAGTTGGAGTTGTGGATAGCCTTGAACCACCATGTAGGTGCTGGGAACTGGACCTGGGTTCTCTACAAACACAGCGCTCTTAACCGTTGATCCATTTCTCTACCCTGACTTGTTTCTCTTATTTTCACTTTATAATTACCTCTATGCCAATATATAAGAATTTTGTTGATTTTTATTTAGTACATTTGCCTTTTATCCTACAACTCTACTAACTGTTGTTTTCTAGATTTTCTGGAGTTTGCTATATTGAGTGTGTGTGTGTGTGTGTGTGTGTGTGTAAGAGAGAGAGATGGAGAGGGGGGAGGACATCTTGCAAAAGTTGTCTCTCTTGTCTCTCTTTCCACTGTATGGTCCTGGGTATCAAACTCGGGTCCTCGGACTTGGCTGCAGGTGCCCTTACCCACTGAGCCCTCTTGCAAGCCCTGCTGATCTTTTCATAGATGCTACCTCTCTTTTCGAAGAAGCTTCCTACAAATTCTGTTTCACTGAGAGGTTTTTTAAAAAAAATTCATTATTAAATGTTGAGTTTTTGTGAAAAACTTTCTTCTGAATCCATGGAAATCATTATATAGGCTTTCTGCTTTATGCTATCAGTAAAATAAATTACATTCATTTAAACTGTGATTTGGGAGTGGCTTTTCATTTGTATTCTAGGGGTCTTGCTGTACCTTATTTATTTTGTGCTGTCTGGGTTTTGTGTTAAAGACAGGAGATGAATAACATGTGATGTGTCCTTTTTGAAGAAGTTTGCCTGACTTTGGTCTTGTTCTCCCTTCAGTGTTTGATAGAATTCACCAGCGATACTGTTGGAGGCTTTCTTTTCTGGGAATGCTCTTATTCCTAAGGTTCTTTCTGTAATAAACACAAGAGGATTCCAGTGGTCTGTTCTTGTCCCCCTGCCGCGCCTTTAATTAGCTGCCCCCATCACCTGTCATCCTAGGTTGTTTCTAGCCTTCCTCTCACTGGGTCTTGTAGACTTGGTGAGATGACCTTCTTTTCTAGACAGTTGACCTCATTCTTTGCCATTGTTTTTTAAAGAACTAGATTTTAAATCTGCTTGTTTTCTTTCTTCCCTGTTTGTATTTTTATTATTTCTTCTGGTTTATATTGCTTTTTTTTCTAGGTTTTTTTTTCTGCTTCATTTAATGATGTTGTCATCTACAGTAATGTTGGATCATATTTGTAGCTATCCTGGTATTCAGAAATTTCCATTCTTTTAAAGCTAGGTTTCTCTTTCTCTGCTGAGGATGTATATCTTCCCACCCCATTCACTTCATCTATGCCTCATGGAAAGTATGATAACTGTTCTAAAGACTTAAGAGATAATTTCCACATTTTGTCATTAGGGAGTTGGCATACGTTGTTGTAATTTTTTTTTTTTTTGAGTGTACTGCACTTGGCCACTTTCCTCACTGTTATGACCAAACACCTGCTAAGAACAGTGTAAGAAAAGTCTCACTTCTGCTTGTACTTAGGAGTGGCAGCAAGAGTGTGAAGTGGTTGGTCACACTGACATCAGGAAGCAAAGAGAAGAAGGTTGGTGCTCAGCTCACTTTCTCCTTTTTATCTCAGACCCCAGCCCGTGGGCTGCTCCCACCCACACTGAGGATGTGACTTTCCACCTCAGTTAGTCCAGTCTTGAGGTTTCCATCACTTTCCATTCTACCCTAGCTGTGTGGTTTCATGCTGTTTCCACTGGTCTCCTCTACAGAACAATGCTGACCGTGGGTTTTTCCAGGTGTCTGAGTTAGGTTTGCATGTAAATTCTCCCTGTGTCTAGTGGATCTTTCATTCCTGCTTCAGTTTTCAAGACTAGTTCTGTGCCACTGTGATTGTCTTGGGACCACAGATCAGGTGTGGGCCTGAGAACAGTGTAGTGCATTCACAGGCCCAAGCATTCTCTTCCAGTTTCTTCTTTCTCGTCTTTTCCACACTCTACAGGGGCCTTTTTTGTTTTGCCCAGAAATACTGGATTTCTGTTGGAGTTTTGGTCTCTGCACCTCACCTCACTTCCCCGTCCTGGGGCAAGGCTCATAGATAACACAATAGGGGGAACTTGGTTCCTCTTCTCTTGGTAGCTAGCCTTGTGTGCTTTGAACGGAGTTTTGGGTCTAATAAGGGGCCAGAGGCCCAGCAGCAGGCTTCAGTTGCTACAGCAGCGACAAGAGCCTGGCTTTATGCTATCTTGCATGTGATCATTTTCCTGAAACACCACAGCTCTTTACAAATTATTTTTCAAATTTAATAATAAAATGGTACCTGGTGTTGTGCATGCTTGTAGTCCTTGCTAGGGAGGCTGAGGTGGGCAATTGTGAATTGAAGACCAGCCACAGTGGTTCAGCCACAGGCTGCCCAGGTGGCACAGAACTGAAAGGACCAGTGGGTGCCTGGAGGGTTTCTCCTGTCACTTAGTCAGTCTGTTACACCTTCATCTCAGGTTCCCTGGGAACTTAGAACTTAGCAGTGATTGGTATTTGGAGGACTTAGGCTTAGAAGGACAGTCTGTGAGAGGGTTCCAGCCTCATCCTTAGATCAGCTTTTGACTGTTAGGTTAGTGAACGAGACTGGGAGGAGGCACACCTTCATTCAGTCCTCACAGTGGTTTAATTTTTACTAGATAGATTGTATACTACTAGCCTGCTGAAGATCAAAGATCAATGACCCCAGGAGTTCCGAGGTGTAGTCAGGAAGTGGAAGAGATAGAAAAGCATCCCATCCCAGATGCTGGACTCAGGGTGGAGTCTGCAGGGTTGTCCCTCAGCAGATGCTCAGTGCAGGGTTGTCAGTAGGGCCGCTATCGGCAGTGTGTCTCTACTTCCCCTGCATCTTCCAAGCTGGTCTTTGTGGGAGAGAACCACATGGGATGGGAGTCCATTTCTGTGGTGAGCAGCCATTATTCTTAGGTTCTCTGACAGGAACTGATAGTAATTATACTTTGGCCATCAGTTACTATACTTCTATCTAGTTTTGACTCTCCCAAGGAGCTGTGAAATCCTTAAAGTAAGGAATAACATGGTATTCATAAGAATGGTGTGTATGAAAATATGACGAAACTTATTGTTTTGTATAATAAATGTATGCTTACTAAAAAGAATAGTATGCTTTTTAGTGCTCTCATATTATAGCTTAATATTAAGAGTGCACTGATTATAACTTAAATTGAGGGCTCCTCAGTTTTCTTTCTGGAATGGTTTTGGTAACAAATGTTTGTTTCTTCAAGATTTATTCACACTAATCTCTAAAATAATTTTTTCTGGTCATATTTCAATTTTATATCTATATTGCCAATCTTTTTTTTTTTTTTTTTTTTTTTTTTTTGTTTTTCGAGACAGGGTTTCTCTGTGTAGCTTTGCGCCTTTCCTGGGACTCACTTGGTAGCCCAGGCTGGCCTCGAACTCACAGAGATCCGCCTGGCTCTGCCTCCCGAGTGCTGGGATTAAAGGCGTGCGCCACCACCGCCCGGCTTTGCCAATCATTTTTATACATTTTGTACTGTTTAAGAGTTTTGTAATTTACAGGGAGGTAAATAGACCCCTTTCCTCCAGATCCATCACTTTATGGTACACCAAACCGAGCTGCAAAAGAGTAGCACGCTTGTCTGCGTTGTGTTTATTACAGAAGTCTAGGGTAACCTAACATTAGCTGACCAGTCGCTGTAACTCAGTGTCAGGGCTACGGTGTAGTTCAGTCGTAGAGTACTTACTTGCTTAGCACGTGGGGCTCAGATCAAGTCCCAACCCTGAAAGAAAGAAGAAAAACCCAGAATGCTAATAAAAGGGAAAATAGGTGATTACTTCACTAGTAGCTAAGAAAAAGGCTTCTAAAAAACTGGCATCCATTCCTTCCTAAAAACACTTCAGTACAGTAGGAATCAGGGGAAACTACCTAGATGTGAACCGGCGTAAGACCAGCAAAGCACCAGCTGAAGGGTAAAGGCCTGAGTCCGAGGCAGGCGCTACAACAGTCACTTCTGGCCCAGGAGGTTCATAGACCCAGGGTTTGTGATGGACAGAGGGAAGATCTCTATTTCCAGATGAAACAGACCTAGCAAATCTAAGATACGTATTTGCAAAACGAATGGCCCAGCAAGAAAGTGGCATTGCACTCTTCTCATCCTGCCCAGCTTTCTCTGGTGAGAGTGAGCAGGTCTGAGGATGCTGACATTTGGAAGTGTCCCCGAGGAAAGACATTTTAGTCTACTTGTTGTCTCTCTACACACCTCCCTCCCTCCCACTGTTAATGTAAAGGAGCATCCAGGGGTCACCAGAGATGCACTCAGAGCAGCCAGGCAGCCAGTGATAGAAGAGGAACCATAAGGACCAAATAGTTCAAGAAAGAAGAAAACTAAAATGCAAATAAGTCAGAAGTCAGAAGTCCAATGTCCGTAAACACTTAAAAGGTAGAGTATGAAGAATAGATAGGAGTAGAGAACAGGAAAGGGCTTCTGGAGGCTTACAGAAATACTTGGAGGAACCTCCATAAACACTGGATTTGAGGTGTATTAAGGCGAGAGAACCGCGTTTTTTAAATCCCAAATTTCTGTCAACTTTGTTTTTGTTAAGCTGTTGAGATGGTGTCTTTGTTGTACAGGACTGACAACTCTAGCTGGCCTTGAACTCAGATCCTCCAGCTCCTCCTTCTGAGTACTGGGGTTATAGGCACAGATTATCACATCAGACTACATTTACCTAAAAATTCTAATGGATGCCTTGTACTCTTTTTGACTGTGGAAATTTACTATAACAAAATTAAATTAGGTACTGTATTAGTTCCTTTTCTATTGTTTTGATGAAACATCGTGACCAAGGCAACTTATAGAAGAGTTTATTTTGGCTTAAGGTTCCTTAAGGATGAGAGTCATGATGGCCGAGTGCAGGCATGATGGCTGGACCAGGAAGCAGGAAGTGGGCAGAGTGCAGGCATGATGGCTGGAATAGGAAGCAGGAAGTGGGCAGAGGGCAGGCATGATGGCTGGACCAGGAAGTGGGCAGAGTGCAGGTATGATGGCTGGACCAGGAAATGGGCAGAGTGCAGGCATGATGGCTGGACCAGGAAGTGGGCAGAGGGCAGGCATGATAGCTGAAACAGGAAGTGGGCAGAGGGCAGGCATGATGGCTGGACCAGGAAGTGGGCAGAGTGCAGGCATGACAGCTGGACCAGGAAGTGGGCAGAGTGCAGGCATGACAGCTGGACCAGGAAGTGGGCAGAGTGCAGGCATGATAGCTGGACCAGGAAGTGGGCAGAGGGCAGGTCTGATGGTTGGACCAGAAAGTGGACAGATTGCAGGGATGATAGCTGGACCAGGAAGTGGGCAGAGGGCAGGTCTGATGGCTGGACCAGGAAGTGGGCAGAGTGCAGGCATGATTGCTGGACCAGGAAATGGGCAGAGGGCAGGCATGATGGCTGGACCAGGAAGTGGGCAGAGTGCAGGCATGATGGCTGGACCAGGAAGTGGGCAGAGGGCAGGCATGATGGCTGGACCAGGAAGTGGGCAGAGGGCAGGCATGATGGCTGGACCAGGAAGTAGGCAGAGTGCAGGCATGATGGCTGGACCAGGAAGTGGGCAGAGTGTAGGTATGATGGCTGGACCAGGAAATGGGCAGAGTGCAGGCATGATGGCTGGACCAGGAAGTGGGCAGAGGGCAGGCATGATAGCTGAAACAGGAAGTGGGCAGAGGGCAGGCATGATGGCTGGACCAGGAAGTGGGCAGAGTGCAGGCATGATAGCTGGACCAGGAAGTGGGCAGAGGGCAGGTCTGATGGTTGGACCAGGAAGTGGGCAGAGTGCAGGGATGATAGCTGGACCAGGAAGTGGGCAGAGTGCAGGCATGATGGCTGAAACAGGAAGTGGGCAGAGGGCAGGCATGATGGCTGGACCAGGAAGTGGGCAGAGGGCAGGCATGATGGCTGGACCAGGAAGCTGAGAATTTACATCTGGCAAACTTGGCAAACCAAGCCGAGGGAGCAAACTAGAAATGGTGAGATTCTTTAAACTCTCCAGTCCTGCCCCCGTTACAGACTTCTTCCAGCAAGGCCACACACCTGCCTCCCCAGCAGCACCACCAACTGCAGACTAAGGCCACTTGTTAGTCAAATTCACACTCACCACAAATAAGAAAAGGAGTCTTTAAGTCTGAAGTTTTTATTTGTGGAAGAGGATTTTATTTCTTGTTGGCTGCTCATGAGCAGGAATGCCTGATGGGAAATTTTGGAACATTGGTTTGGTATTCTGGGCAGGCATTACTAAATGAGTACTGTTTAAATGTATCTTATAGTTTTGTTTTGAGAATAGCTTTATGTAGCCTCACCCGGCTTTAAACTCACTGTGTTCCTGGGCATGACCTTGACCTCTTGCCCTCACCTCCTAAGTGCTGAGATTGAAGGCCCAGCATTTCTCTTATACTGTATTTTTTGAAGGGTAGCCCTTTATTGCTTGTGTGTGAGTATGTGCACCACAGTGTGAGGTTAGAGGAACTTGACGAGGTTGGTTCTCTCCACCTTTATGTAGGTTACAGGGATTGAACTCAGGTTGTCAGATTGTTGGGCGGCAAGTGCTTTTATCCACTGAGCCCTCTTGCCTGCCTGCCTCTCCTACTCTTCATGGAGCAATTCAGTGTCGTTCTTGAACGCACAGGCTATGGCATTTGCCCTGCTCGATTCCCTTCTCTCTCTCACTCTCTCTTCCTTACCAGCAATGCAGAGTGGAGTTAGTAGAGCCTGTTGCTGGGCCATGCATTCGATTAAATGATCGGAGCGATGTACCACCTTATACAGTGTTCGTCTTATGTTAGGATGAGTGCTTAGATATAGATGGTCAAGAAGATACGTTACCAAGTGTCAGATATGGCACTGGCGAGTGAACAGGTCGTCCTAGCTGGCCATGCACCAGAGCGTCCTGTTGCCAGTCCACCGGCATCCACCCTTGTTTCTGGCACTAAGAATCTGTCCAGGGAATTAATGAAGAACCCTTTCATTGTGACTTTCGTTTGTAGGGCTGTACTCTAGCTCTGGTGTTGATGTCTGACAATTAAAGATGGCATGTTAGTGTGTTTATAGACAGACCTGAAGTTTTCCTAAACTTACGTATTCCATTTTAATTACAGGCGTCGATTAGCAAGGTAAACGTGACAGAACCATGGCTCAGTTTCCGACACCTTTTGGTGGTAAGTTTTGAAAATTGATTTCTTAATATAAGTTGGGGCCAGATTTTAAGACTTTTCACTGATGGGATATTTCAGATAAATTAATAGAGTTGAATTGAGCTGGGGTATAACTTAGAGGTAGCGTGCTTGCCAACATGCGTGAAGTCCTGTGTTCGGTCTTCATTGCCACAAAAACAAACCAACATGAATAGAGAAAATCACACAGTCAACCCTCATAGTATACTTTGGGATGCTTCAGTGACTAGAGACTCCATTTTGTTTCAATGGGTTGTTTTGAAATAACTCCAAGACATCTTAACCTTTCATCCCTGAAGATTTTACTGTGTTTATTTACTAAATGATAAAAACTAAAGTATACTACTATTACCAAACATCTAAAATTCATACATGTATTCTACCTATAAAATTTACATTATATCCAGTTCAGACTTTAGGCAGTTTTTCATTATTTTTGTTCAAATTGAAATCCAAATAAGGTACATGGGTAGTTCATACCTCCTTCTTGCTCTCAGACTCTGCTCACCTCAGGTTCTTGCTTGCCTAGTTTATTTGTTGAACTGAATGAATCATGTTATATTCTTTCAAAGCCTGGATTTGAAGCATGATAATTTTTCCTTTACTTTATCCGTTTGAAACTCATCAGCCTGGGTAAAATGTTTTTCTGGCATGTTATTCATGCATGCCCTGTTTTCTTGTCAGTGTTGGAGTTTGAACCCAGGACCTGATGTATGTTAGGCAAGCACTCTCTCACCGAGTTGCACCTTAGCCCAGAATCTTTTAACAAAACAAGTTTGTGATGCTAAGGTGATCTTGGCAGGGCTGTGGACACAGCACAAGGTGTGATGCCCTAGTTAGGTCCTGCTTTCAATCCCTGGTATTGCCAGAAACCAAAAGGAAATGTAAAGCAGATTTCTTGTGTCAGTTGTAAAGAGAATGAGAAGGCGCCATGTGTCACCCCCTGAGCACACCTGTGAAAGTCTCTGGGATTCCAATCAGACTTTTCCAGACCTTCAGTAATTTTTTTGTTACATGGATTTTTGTTTTTTGGTTTGCCTTTTTAAAGAAGTATATAATTTTATTTGTCTATTTTTGGCTTTCCTTTTGTTGGTAAGTATGAAGTACAACAGGACAGTAAAAGTCCTTTTACTTTGTAGGGCCTCTAGTCTGAGGGGACAGGTGTCTGTCAGAAACCTTTCTGAGTCATATGACACAGTGTCTGAGTGGAGCCTGCTGTCACTGTCACACCCTGAACAGAGGAGAGTGTAGGTAGAGTGTTACAAGCACAATCACATCGTGTAAAACATGGGCGCTGTATGTTCCCAGCTTGGGGACAGTGGTTGGTTTTCACAGAGTTTTTTTCTCCATCATTTAATGACTTCAGTGAATTATTTTTGGAAGACTGGGGACTAAAGATTCATATTTGTCTGAATTGTGCCTCACTGAAGTTGCTTCTGAAAATGACTATTCTGAAAAAGCATATGCTCTGTGTTTGGTCATTAGTTTTATCAGAATATTCATTTTTAGAAGCAGCTTCAGTGAGGCACAATATAAACATCATACAGTTGACTAGTTTTAACTGTGCCGTTTGGTGATCATCAGTACATTTGCAAAGCTGTACAACCATTACCAGATATTTGAATATTTGCATAGAGTCACACAAGATTCTGCTTGTGTTGGAGTGCTACCTCACCACCACCACCACAATCACCACCACCTCCACCACCACCACCTCTACCCTCCACCATCACCACCGCCACCACCGCCACCACCACCAGCAACACCACCACCACCACCACCACCACCACAATCACCACCACCTCCACCACCACCACAATCACCACCACCTCCACTACCCTCCACCATCACTACCACCATCACCGCTGCCACCACCACCAGCAACACCACTACTACCATCACCACCACCATCACCACCACCATCACCACCACCACCACCACCACCACCTCCACCACCACCACTACCTCCACCACCACCACCACCTCCACCACCACCACCACCACCACCACCACCACCAGTACTGGTATTGCCACCACTACTTTTTTTTAGTGCTCCTCTTGAATTTTCATGACTTTACCTGTGACATTTTAGGCACCTGATAGTAAAGTTTTAAGCTTCAATTACCTTAGTCTGTTTCTTAGTTTTATTGAAATAAATTACTGACTTCTTATGTTTTCATAGAATCCTAAATGTAGAGTTATGGGACAAGTTTCTAGGAAGTATTTGAACTATTTTTTAAATTGCTTTGTTCTTCTTTTAGACTTTAGACACATGTCTGCCAAGGACAGTGGTTTATCGCACCATTTATAGCATGCCCACAGAACTTTAAAGTGCTGTGGACATCATGTGTCTGAACATCCGTCTGTCTTGTCTTTGGGCCGCAGGTAGCCTGGACATCTGGGCCATAACCGTGGAGGAGAGAGCCAAGCATGACCAGCAGTTCCATAGTCTGAAGCCGATATCCGGATTCATCACTGGTGTGTGGTCCGCCCCTGTGCGTTCTTCCTGAGCAGTAGGAAATCCGTCATGCGGAGTAGAAGTGGCACGTGTGACCAGTGGGCCTTTAATCCACTTGTCCTCATCCTGAACCTGTGCTTTGGTTACTTGTTTTTGAAGTTTTGTTTATCGTTGTTGTGTGTTCTGGGGTGGTCGAGAAGGCAGAGGATAGCTTTGTGGGGTCAGGTCTCCCCCGGCTTCCCATGGCTTTTAGCAGTCCAGCTCGGGAGCTCAGGAGCTCGGGCCTCAGGTGTTGACTCTTACGCAGAGCACTCTCAGGCCCTCAAGACTCTGTTTTTGAATTGCTTCTCTTGTAACACCTTCAAACCTTTTACAGTCCTTCATGAGTGTCCGGCCGCCTGCTGGACATCTTTCTGACGAGATCTGGCTGTAGTCAGAGCACTACAGTCTTTAAATGGGGTCAGATCTGTGTCCTGAGGCTAAAGTTCTAACCCTGCCTGGCCTGGGAGAGCAGCAGACAGCAGACACTTTCCAAGGATTTTATTGCTGTCTTTGAAAGTCCTTTCCTGCTGTTTGGCCACCATTCAACAGTTCCCTGCAGGAAATGGGAATCTGTGTTTCCTAGGAGGTGTTTTTATATTTGTTTTATGATAGATCTCCAGCTTACTGATTGGCAGGACTTTTTTCATTGTTGCGGGTTCTGTGTTAGTATCAACAGCGTCAATATTCAAAGTAAAAACTTTTTATAGAGTTGTTAACTAAGGAGTCCTCTGTGTGTGCTTTGTTCTGTGTTCCTCTCTTATTGTAAAAAAAAAATAGCCTGTAAATCAGGTGTTAAAACAGAAAGGCTTATATTAGTCTACCAGTTCAGTTCAGGACCGAGGCTTGGCTGATGACCTAAGACTTTTCACTAGGCCCCACCTCCTGAAATCTCCAGCACCTCTCAGCAGCAGCAGCCTGGGGCCGTTTGGGTAGTTCATCTTGTCTGACCACAGCCTCAAGGGGATGGCGTCCATCCCGGCAAATGCCCCATCTTTTCAAGTGTGGAATTAGGTGTTTGTAATGAATTAGATATTAGAGACCTCTGACCTTTCCCATGGGGTCATTGGTGTTCTCAGGGTAACCAGCTTCCTAAATGATTTTGTAGTTTTGCTATAAGAGGATTTCTGTTCACTGCTGCTATTCTGTTTCTCCTGAAACCTTCCCCACTTACTTTACAGGTGATCAAGCAAGGAACTTTTTTTTTCAATCTGGGTTACCTCAGCCTGTCTTAGCACAAATATGGTAAGTTGGAATTATGTGTGAGCCGAATGTAAAATAAAACACTGTCATTTGTTTGGAAATGGAGTTTCTTATGTAGAAAGAGAGTGGGCAGGCCTAGCCAAGAACATCCTGTCACTTTTTCCAGAGACTACTTTTGCAAAGGGCCACCATTTGAGTGGCCATGCTGTGCATAAACATTCAATTGTGACGGAAACATCTGAATTTGGGTAGTTTCCCACTATTGGTTTGGGCTTCATGCATATGGTGCACACTTATTTAAATGCTCCCATTTTTTCCTTTCTAATGGAATTATTCTTTATCTTTCACTCTTTGAGACTTAGTAGTAGTTAGAAATGACTGATGCGTTGTACAGTGTGATACGCGACCAGTGCGAAGTAAGTGCTGACTTCTGTCACTACAGGAGTTGCTCGTGAGCATGAGTAGCACAGGCTGTCAGATAGAGTTTGGGTTCTAGGTTCCCAGCTCTGGGGGGCAATGCTGAATTATGATGCCCTGTAAGAAAGCCACATTTTCCTCTGGCTCTTACCAGGACTGCAGCTCCATTTCCTGAGGGTGTTGGTGTTAGGGAGAGCACTTGGTGTAAATAAAGGCACAGAAAATGTAGTCCTTGATGTAGCACTGTCTGTCTCGGCTGTTGGGAACATATGTTTGCCAGTTTTGGCCTCGATTTTTGATCTAGGTAATTGGCATGTTTGTATTTTGTTTCATAAAGTTGAGTGGGTTGGCAGAAAAACTGTACATGACGGATTTAATGTGTGACTTGACATATAATATCATAGGTCATCAAAACAAAACCCAGGAAGGTAGGTCTTAGCGTCAGAGACCGGAGCTTCCGGAGCTTCCACACAACCACACTGTCCAGCTAATCACCGAGACATGTAACACGCGCACTATTGTGTCAGGTCGATTCGGACTGAAAAGTAACTTTGCAGTCCTGGGCTGTATCGGTTGCCTGCCATCATTTTTTCTGGTTGCCAGCATTTTGGCAGCCAGTCTCTTCCCTTCTTCCCACTGGCGAGCTTGCTTCCACGCTGCTCTTCCAGTCCTAACCGCTGCTCCATTGGGGCTGGGACGTAAAAGGCTCTGGGAGAGAGGAAGCTCGTGTGCAGGAAGTCCATGGCAAGCAGGCCCAGGAGCTGTGTCCACGCAGTTGTGTGTCGGAATCGAGATGCACTTGCGTGGCACCTGTTTGGGTGGTTACAGGCTTCTTGTGGGCTGCAGCCTGGCGTGCAGTGCTGTTCCCTCCGTTCAGGCTGTCTCTAGACCCTGCTTTCCAGAGCTCCTCCACTGACGTGTGCTTCTCTGATGATCCAGCCAGCTTCTGAAGTTTCACTCATGAAGCATCTTAGCACCGGGCATGCCAGCACAGGGCTGTGGCCCTGACACTTGAAAGACCAGTGGATCCTGAGTTAGAGGCTAGTGGGAACTACGGCATGGAACCCCAGCTCAGGGGGACAAAAAAATACCAAAAACTTTCTTACCTTGGAGGCATGCTGCCCAAGTACTCGTTGAATTGTATCCCTGTGTACCCTCCCCCCACCTTCTTAAATTTTATTTTGGCCTGGTGGTGGTGCACACCTTTAATCCCAGCTTTTGGGAAGCAGAGGCAGGCAGATCTTTGTGAGTTTGAGGCCAGCCTGGTCTACAGAGTGAGTTCTAGGACAGCCAGGGCTACACAGAGAAACCCTGTCATGAAAATCAAAAAAAAAAAAGAAGGAGAAGGGGAAGAAGAAGAAAGAAAAAAAATGTATTTTGATTCGGAGTTCTGATTAGTTACCCACTGTAGCCTTGAACTTCAGTCTTCCTTCCTCCGCTTCCTAAGTAGAAGAGATTACTCTGTCCTTCCTCTCTGCCTCTTCCTCTTAACACCAGGGTGAGGTAGAAATAATTCTAAACAGTTGAATTGCCAAAACGATGTCTGCCAATTCTCCCCCTCCCTCCTGGGCGGGGTCTTCTAGGAGCTATGTCATCTTCGGCCATTGTTACAATCCGGCATTACACACTGTAACCTAACTCCTTCAGAGAATTTACCTTTCCTTATTCACAGTCTTCACTGGAAAGCCTACTGGGGAGACAAGCAGTCCCCAAGTCTGAACAGGTTATAGTTCAAGAGTCCAGGAACTAGTTAACTGTAATGCAGTTTCTACAAAACACCACAATGGCTTCTGAGATAGTTCATTAGCTCTGCAACCAAGAAAATCTGGGAGACAGGAGACAGGACAGTGAGCCCTACAGATGCAGACCTCTGGGAGACAGGAGACAGGACAGTGAGCCCCTACAGATGCAGACCTCTGGGAGACAGGAGACAGGACAGTGAGCCCCTACAGATGCAGACCTCTGGGAGACAGGACAGTGAGCCCCTACAGATGCAGACCTCTGGGAGACAGGAGACAGGACAGTGAGCCCCTACAGATGCAGACCTCTGGGAGACAGGACAGTGAGCCCCTACAGATGCAGACCTCTGGGAGACAGGAGACAGGACAGTGAGCCCCTACAGATGCAGACCTCTGGGAGACAGGACAGTGAGCCCCTACAGATGCAGACCTCTGGGAGACAGGACAGTGAGCCCCTACAGATGCAGACCTCTGGGAGATAGGACAGTGAGCCCCTACAGATGCAGACCTCTGGGAGACAGGAGACAGGACAGTGAGCCCCTACAGATGCAGACCTCTGGGAGACAGGACAGTGAGCCCCTACAGATGCAGACCTCTGGGAGACAGGACAGTGAGCCCCTACAGATGCAGACCTCTGGGAGACAGGACAGTGAGCCCCTACAGATGCAGACCTCTGGGAGACAGGACAGTGAGCCCCTACAGATGCAGACCTCTGGGAGACAGGAGACAGGACAGTGAGCCCCTACAGATGCAGACCTCTCTTCCTCCTCAGATCAATGCCACAGGGATCACATGTGGCAGAGTTCATCCAGGGAAACACGTGAATACGAGATTGGAAAGGCTGTTGTTATTCATGACAGTTGTTAAAACTGAGGTTTGAAGAGCTTAAGTACCACTGTGAATTACTAAGTAAATGGATATTGAGCTGGGGCTCAAAGGCAGCTTGCTCCTCCTAGCCCATCATCTTAGCAAGTCTCATTTCATGAAATTTCAAACTGCTTTTCAGAGATGCTGCATAAGCTCTGAGGTTCAGTTCCTAGCACCCACATTGAACTGTTCACAACTGCCTGTAATTCTAGCTCCAAGGGATCTGATACCTCTGGCCTCCAAGGATGCTAGTACTCATGTGCGCACTCACATGCACACATACAAATGAAAATAAAATACATCTGTTTTTAAAAAACCACACTGGGCATGATGCCTCGTACTTATATTCAAAGCATTTTGAAGGTAGAAAAACAGGAGCATCCAGAGTTTAAAGGCAGCCTGGGCTACATGCGATCAACCTTAAAAATGAACCCCTGCCCCTCTGGAAACAGATATTTAAACTCTCCATTACGTGGGTAGAGAGAAGGCTCAGTGGTTAAGAGCACTTGCCACTCTTCCAGAGGACCTGGGTTCAATTCCCAGCACCCACATGGTGGCTCACAGCTGTTTGTAACTGCAGTTCCAGGGGATCCAGTGCCCTCTTCTGACTTCTGAGGGCAGCAGCCATGCACACACACATATACATGCAAAGAAATACTCATACACAATATATATAATCAATCAATTAATTAAAGCTCTCCGTTGAGACTAAAGCCCAAAGCCATCACTGTGTGTCCAGTGTGATCCTGCTTTTGCTGTGTTTCACCTCCTCTTACCTCTTATCTTTGCTCACTCTCTTCCACAGCATCTCCTCCGGAAGCTGACCTCTGTGCTCCTCCCAGGGCAGGTCTCTCCTTGCCGTAGGACCACTGTGTTGGTCTTCTTCCTGCAGTTGTAGAACCCACATAACCGCAAAAAGATGCTCTTCGCAGTTGTCCAGAGTGGCTCCCTTGCCCATGGAACCCTCTTGCAGTCTCAGCTCCACTTCTTGGTGGGGGGGGGTCTTCATCCCAGGCCCTTGAGCATGCTGGACAGAGAGGGCTTTGCCACTGAAAGGCAAACCCAGCCCTTCCCTCTGGTCTTTGTGGTATCTAATCTGACTTGTTCTAAACAAGAAGACAGTGCTCATACCATAGCAGGTGCACCCAGAGTTAATTTTTTTAATGAATGAGTAACCAAACTGTTTCATTTTCCTTATTGCTTGGCCTTATTTTTGGTTTAGTGGGCACCAAATGGCAGATGGATCGCCTGTGACATGTCTGTGCAGAGCAGTGACCTCCTGAAGGTCTGCAGGTTTCATTAACAGCGTTCTGACAGCCGCAGTGTATGCAGAAAGCTTCCCAGTCTGCTCTTCATTCCATGTTCCTACTCACATCACTGTTTTTTTTATTGTTGTTTATTATTGTGGTAAAGAGCAGGTACAGAACATAGAATGCTTCTGTTGGTGTGTAGTTTATTCCTCTTCCTTATATTAAGGGTGAGCTATATAAACACACTTTTTTTTTTTTTTTTTTTTTTTTTTTTTTTTTTTTTTTTTTGCTTTTCTCACTTACTATATCCTGGAAAGCACTTACAGCTCCGTCTTCTCGTTTACATGGTATCAGGCGTGCTTGGTGCTTCTATCCGGTCGTCTCCCATGTTTCTGTATTAGGTTGTTTCCTGTGTATTGTGATTACTGGTAATGTAGTGATTACAGAAAGTTCTGTGATGAACAGCTCTTAGCCATGTGTTTTTATGTTGTTGAAAGTGTACCTTCAGAGTTAATTCATAAGCATACAGTTGCTCATTCTAAGTAAATGATTATGTGGTTTCCTTGCCACTTGGAGTTGTAGTAATTTTCCCACCAAGAGTGTGTGAGAGTGGTGTATGATTTGTTTTATTTGTGTAAATCAAATAAGAAAAGTATACCATTGGTGTAATAGTTGCTTTTCGGTTCCTTTTCTGGATAAAAAACCATGACAAGGCAACTTCGAGAAGAAAGGGTGCATTTTGTGCTGACGATAAGAGCCCATCCGTCACCGTCCCACTGGGGAAGCCTGGCAGCCAGCACCAGGCATGGCATCAGCCACAGCTGAGGGCACATATCTAACCACAAGCAGGAAGCAGAGACCTCATCAAGGAGTCTTTGCAACCTCAAAGCCCATCCCCAGTGACACACTTCCTTCAGCAAGGCCACACCTCCTACGCCTCCCCACACAGGGCTGCCAGCTGGAGACCTAACATTCAAATGCCAGAGACTATGGGCAACCTTTATCTCTCAAACCACCACACTTGGCATCTAACATCTCTGCTCCTTCCTCACCCTGCCTCCTCTTGTTAGGCACCACTTCTGATACATGGCTAATCTCCAATTTATTCCAAAGCCGGTTTCCAGAGTCAGCGTGCCACAGGTGCCTGCTGGGTTTAGCACACACTCTTACTACTTAAGTTTTATAGATTTGGGGTCACCATTGTCCAGAAGTAACTGCAGTGGGCTATGAAAAGGATGACAGAGTCAGTGTTTGCTTTTTGCCAGAAGCCTTGGGCAGTGGATTGATAGCTCTGCTCTAGAAAAGCCGCTGGGTTCTGCTGTCGGGTAGCGGGAGGGGAAGGGTAGAGGGCTGAGCTTTGTAGAGTAACAATATTGCCAGAACTGCCTTTGAGTTCTCTGTCACTAGGGAGTTTTACTAGTTAAGTTTTATTAATTGAGGAAACAAATCTTTTTGTGAATTGTAGACTGATGTTAGAACTGTGCTGGGTACCTTGCTACTGGTTTCTTTCTCCTTGCCTAAGGAAGTGGAAAGGGGTTTAGTAGCACTAAATTATTCTAATCAAACTCTTACTAAAAAGTCTTCTGTCCCTTAACACATGAATCTCATGTTGAATATTTTCAGTTTCCACCAACAACGTTTTCCAGGAGAAGTAGTGTGGGATGGAGGGTGGACGTCTGCTTGGTTCTTTATTTAAACGTAAATAAAGTATGCACATTGCTGTGAATGGAACTTTTCTCCCCTGTAAAAGCATTTAAAATAGCTGAGCATGTTTAAAAATACTTTGCAGAAGAAGGAAAGACTGTCACCTTATTGGTATCTCTTAAATCTCAAAGCTTTTGCAAAATAGAACAACTCATTGGCCGCCAGGTCCTGTCCTGAATATAGATGCAAACCCAAGCAAGTAGACTTTCACAGTGTGTGAGTTTTACACTTGGACCTGCTTGAGTTTAAGCCAGAGGCATGGGAGAGAATCACACGATTCTGTCAACATTTTGTTTATTTCAACACATAAAGGAAGGCTCATCATCAGCTGGGCAGAAGTGGAATAAGACTTGAAAAACAAAACTAAACATAACACAGGAAGCTTTTCTTCCAGTGGCTATGGCTTAGCAGCAGAGCTCTCAGACGACACAGAAGAGGCAACAATAATACCAGTAACTAGTTAATGAAGTTAAAGACCCACCATGTGGCACTTTAGGGCCTGTAATCCTAGCACTTCGGGCTGAAGGAGCAAAAATTTATGGACTTTCTCTATGTAGTGAATTGCAGGCTACCCTGGGCTACTTGCAATCCTGTCTTAAAAGCAAATAAAGAAAGTTAGACTACTTAGCAGAAGTCACTACTAAGAATCGTTCTAACCAGTGAAGTACTGACTCCATTTCTCTTCACTCAGAACTAAGTGCAAATGCGTTTAGTAGTGTCTTACCAGGCGAGAAGACTGGTGATCAAGACTGTTAGAAATACTGGAAAAGAGAGGTCATGCTCTTTGTTTTTCTACTGACGTTATTGTGTTAGTTATATGCTTAGAAACTGAGTGAGGTAATTAAATGTAGCATAAATGACTTAAGAATTTGTGCATGTGTTTGAATCAGGGTCTTTTGATGTAGCAAAAGATGGTCTGGATCTCTTGTTCTCCTGCCTGTTTCCTGAGTGCTGGGATTACAGGCCAGTGGCAGTACACCTGACTTTAAAATACTCTGTGCTTAAAAAAAATAAACACCTAAAAAATAGAAATTAGGGAAATATGCTTCTTACAAGTCTGGTAAAAATGATAAAATTTCATAGAATATGTTTATCAATAAAGTTTCATGAGTTGCATGAAGAAAATGTGGTATAGGAAGAAAATACTGTTTTATTAAAGGAAATGGAAGAATTTGAAAGACGGAAGTATTATTTCCCTTGCTGAGCAAACTACTATGTATATCCAGTACAGAAGAAAACAAGCTTGTGTGTGTGTGTGTGTGTGTGTGTGTGTGTGTGTGTGTGTGTGTGTGTGTGTGTAGTACCTGAATAGGCCAGAAGAGGGCTTCAAATTCCCCCAAGAACTGTAAACAGATAATTGTTTGCAGCTCTGTAGGTGCTGGGAAGTGAACCTGAGTCACTGCAAGAGCAGCCAGCAATCTTAAGAGCTGAGCCATCTCTTTAGCAGCTGTGTTTTGTTTTTGTTCATAAGACAGGGTCTTTGACTGGGGTCTGGGGCTCCTCAGTGAGGCTAAGATCAGTGGTCAGCCTCCACTTCCCTGCAAGAGAATCCAAGTATGCACCACCATCCCTTACCTACTTTTTACACGCATGCATGCCTTTTACATGTGTTGGGCATCCAGGTCCTCATGCTTATGCTGCAAGCTCTTGACCAGCTTAGCCCTCTCCAGTCCCGAAAACAATGTCCTTAAAAAGGAAAAGCAGAGCATGCCGTTGAACTCCTGAGACGGGATCACGGCACATTGACCTGGTTGTTTCAGGAAAGCTGATCTGGAAACGTCTCACTCCATAAGAACACTGAGAGCATAACAGCTCAGTGCAGGGGAGGTGGGTGGGGGTGGGGGTGGTGTCTATGTTGATTAGAAGAAATGTGGTGTAATGATGGATAACACCTCCCCCCATGGAATTACAATTAAATTACAGGTTAAAGATTAAAATGTAGCAAAACAAATTAAAGGCTGAAAACTTAAAAGCTGATAATAAATATTTTGTGTACACAGTGTATAATTTCTATGCAGTGAAGATCCACACAAAATCAGTAGACTAAAATTTTAAAACTCACCTATCTGCAGCTAAATAGTTAATATGCTGTATATAGTGAATGGCAAGAAAAAGAAGTATGATCCACCAGAAATTTGGCAAAGGCGAGAGCAGCAGTTTGCAGAACAGGGAATCCGAGCAAGCAGGAAGCGTAAGAAAGTGAGAGCGGAGGAACACGTGGTTTGTGAGGGTCACGGCTGCGGGAGGACCCAGCTCCTGTGCCAGCCGCCACGGAGCTCCTTCCAGCTCGATGATCTTTACCTTCCAAATAACTGCCGACTTCTACAGCCTGTGTCTCTTCTAGAGAGCTTTAGCTTTATTGCAGGGCACGCTTTTGGTTGAGTGTTTTCATCTGTGGGTAAAAGAAGTGAAGTCTAACAAGTGTTTTTCACGTTGCCGTGAGTGTGCACAGCTGGGTTGGGCAGTGTAACTTCCGGTGCAGATCTGAACCTTTCACTGCCTTTTGCTGCCTTTTCCACGGGAGAAAGTGCTCTTGGAAAACTCATTACATACCACACTTGGGCTGTGGATGCTTGAGGATGGTTTGAAATAGCAAGCACACTCCTAAGCACGGCTTTAACAGTGAGTGTGCAGGGCAGGGTTCTCAAAGCAGTTAACTTGAAGAGCTCTCACGGTGTAGTAGTGTCCCAGAATAGGATAGCATGCCACGCCATTCATCTCCCATGGATGTAGAACAAACACCATGGAAGTGGAACTTAACTTGGCATCTCTAGAAATAACACTATTTCCAGATCCATTTTAATAACATTTAATTACAACATAATTCATGTAACAAATTTACTGTTTGAAATTACCCTATATAGTTCAGTGTTTGTAGAACACTGACTACGACTAGAATTGTCGTAGAATTGTGTGTCACCTCCACCCCTGTCTAACTTTAGAACATTCTTTATTCAAATGAAATCTCTTAAAAAGTAGCAAGTCTTCAAATTCAGGCTGAAAGACCCTCTGTGTCTCTGTAGGTAAAGAATAACTAGAGTGCAGAATACCGTATAGTCACCTAAAACAGCTGGCTCTTCTCCCCACCCCACCCCAAACCCCGGAGCTCTTTTGTTCTCTGTAGGGCGCAGGAGCCGGTTCTTTGGTCTGTGCCCAAGGAGTGGTGTTGAGAAAGAGCTGGTAGTCGCACTTGTCCTGAGCCCGCGCTGCGCTTTCTTGGCAGGGCCCTCGCTGACATGAACAACGACGGGAGGATGGACCAGGTGGAGTTCTCCATAGCCATGAAGCTCATCAAGCTGAAGCTCCAAGGCTATCAGCTGCCCTCTGCGCTTCCCCCCGTCATGAAGCAGCAGCCGGTTGCTATTTCCAGTGCACCAGCATTCGGTAAGTCCGAAAATGAGTCGCTGCCTATGTTTTGTTGTGTGTTTTAAAAATGGGTATTTTCCCCCTTCTCCCCTCAGAAATAGTAAAATTCTTGGGTGATTTTATCTTAAAAAAAAAAAAAAAAGACAGCCTTCAGAAAGATAGTGCTGTCCACTTTGACCCCAAGGGTAAAGACCATCACAATGGAGAGGTTCACTCTCTCTGGGTTTAAGGAACATGCCTGCATTCTGCTGCTGCGGCGCTGTCTCCTGGCTTTCCACATCCCTTTGGTTTTTCAGTCTTTGTTTCTTCTTGTCCATCAATAGTTCCTTTGGATTGTGATATCTGTCTTTTTTTCTATTCAATTTTTAAAATTTTTTATTTTATTTTTTGAGATCGCATTTCCCCCTTCCCTTTCCTTCCTCCAAACCCTCTCATACACCCTTCCTTGCTCTCTTTCAAATTCATTAATTGTTTTTTCATTAATTGTTGTTAAGTGTGTGTGTATATTCCTAAATATGTAAATACAACCTACTCAGTCTGTATAATGTTGCTTTATATGTATGTTTTCAGGGCTAACCACTGGATAACCAATTGCTATGCTCTTCCCTACCCACTCTCTGCATTTCTTAGTTGCATATAGTTCTTCATGTAGGGTTGAGGACCCCCGTCACCTTTCACTGTAGTATGCCTATTGTTATTGTCCTTGTTCAGCTCGTGTTTAGGCAGTCATGTTGAGGAGACTCCATGGGTGTATCTGCTGACATTTGCTGGAGACACTTTTATGGCAAACCCCCATCCTTTGACTCTTACAATCTTTGTGCTCTCTCCTGCAATGATCCCTGAACCTTAAGTGCTGGAGCTATATTGTAGATGGATCTGTTGGGCCTGGGCTCCACAGCTCTGCGTTTTGATTGGTTGTAGTTGTCTGTCATGGTCTCCCTCTGTTGCAGAGGGAAGTTTCCTTGATGATGGTGAAGACTGCACTTATCTGAGGGTAGAAGGACACGTATTTAAAATGTGGTTAGGAGTTATGCTGGTTTAGTAAAGTGGCAGTTGTAAGTCCTTCTCCAAGATCCATAACTTCCCCAGCCCTCGGCAGTTGGCTGCGTTTCCAGTACCAGGCGTGGTTTCTCTCTTGTTGAGTGGGTCTGAGATTCAATCAGAGAGCTGCCGGTTTCCGCCAATGTGTGCGCCACCGCTGCACCCTGTGTCCTGTGCCAGCGTTCATCGTTGTTGTGGTTGTGGTGTCAGAGCTGAGGAGGACTTGGTTGCTTCCCTCCTTTGGAAGCTTGCACAGTACCTTCTGGCACCTAAGGGTCAAAAACCTCCTGACACAGCACTAACAAACGTTCAGTCTGTAAGGGACATCACAAACCAAGTCACAGTACTCTGTATTGTCGTTCTAAGAGGAAGGTGTGAGCTCAGGGCGATCTTTAGTTTAGTAGGACAAGGGTCTATGAGAAGAAACACAAAGCTAGGCATGAACAAAGCCTGGGAGGGGCCCAAGTGAACGGTGTCAGACTAGCACATGGCAGACCCACTTGCCTTTGTGTCTGCAGTACACTCAGCCTGCAGTTAGCTAGCCTATGTACAAGTGGACTTTGCCTGAGTCCTTGAAGGTACTTGCAGCTGGTTTTGTTAAGGCATGCTTGGTTTTCTTTTGGACTCTTCCGAAAGAGACCACAATGTGGAGAAAGGATCCATTGAATAATGATGCTCCATTTTTTCTTTTTCCCCTAAATTGTATGCAGGTTTTTCTTTGTCACTTAGTTTCTTTTCTCTTTTTCCTGCTCTGTGATTTTCTGTTTTGTCAGCATTGCTGTTCTTTTTGAGGCATTTCTGGGCTCACTGCTTAGTGTCTTACATCTGTACAGCTCGCACTGCTACCAAGGGAACCCTTGCATTGCCAGCCTCAGCCTGGGTCTTCTCACCTGGTTGTCACCACATAAGCATTTTCACTAAACGGATTTCAGGAAAATAAATAAAGCCTGTGGGCATAAGAGAAGTTAAAAGTACAGGAGTCCATCAAGTTTACTCAAAGAGCCAGTCTTTACCGGAATCCAGTTCCACTCTCGGCTCAGATGGTAGTCCTCGCCAGCTCATCTTAGCCTTGTAGGCTTTGTTTTGGAGAGGAGGAAAACAGGCTTGTCATCGAGTCTTTGTAAGTGAGGCAGATGGGTTGGGAATGTAGCCCGGTGCTGTGGAGGGCAGTGTCGTAGGTGGAGAGCGTAGTGAGGGCACATGGAGTCAAGTGTTGGTGTGGTGCGGCATTGGGAGCTGGAGTAAAGGGGAGGCATTGCAGATGAGGACCCAGGAGCGTGAACAGGAGGGAAATGGTCACCAGGGCCAGGAAAGGGTCAAGGGGAGTGGAGTGAGCTACCGCTTGAGTAGTTGTTCCTGAGAGATAAGGAAAGTCGTGATTGAACTTGACTTGTGGGCATCTCAGTGACCTTTACCACGTGAGTTTGGAACCAGTGCCTGTATAGGGCCAGAGGAGGGCTTGACGGTCAGCTGAGATGTTCCAGCACTGTATAGAAAGGGAAGGAAGGCCCAGTGCTGCAGGAGAATTCCAAGAATTCAGAATAAGCATCATAGGAAGTGATGGCATCCAGGCTCAGCCTCCAATAAGTATATTTCACTAGAAAATCATTCCTTAGCCAAAAATCCCAGCACTTGGGAGGCAGAGGCAGGAGGATTGCTGTAAGGTCAAGGCCAGCCTGGCCTATATAGTGGGTTCTGGGCCCTTCAGAGATACACAGAGACCCTGTCTCAACAGACAGACAGAATGCAGTCACTTGATGAGAGGAGGGTAGCCTTTGCAGTTGGGTTGTATTGTTGGTTTGACATGCTGGGGACCAGGCCCTGGATCTGGCTGCCCTAGGCAGGTGTTCTGTCTCGGCTCTGCAGTGGGGTAAAGCAATAAAGGAGCTTGGAATGGTGGCACGGGCTTGTAATGCCAGCTTCTAGAGGCCAAGACCGGATTGCAAACTCAAGGCCAGCCTGGAAAAGCTCTGATAGAAGAGTTTAACATTAGAAGACTCAAACGATGCTTTTCTAGTTGGTGATTTCTTAACTGTTAACTAGTTTTGTGTAGTCTTTTTAGTAACAATTTTGACATACTATCTATTTTAAGGTCTTCTTTCTCAGCATGACTTTCAAGGTTACTTTCCTTTCTTTAAGATGAAGAATTTGTAGTTCTAGAGATGAAGTGTCTTGGAAGTTTGCCAGTGTCATGCTTTTGAAAGTCCTGAAGGACTTAGGCGGTTGTTTTAGCACAACCATCAGGTATCTGTACCTGAATCAGCGTGATGCGTGTCGATACATGAGACATTAAATTAATCCGCTGCAGTGAGATGTGTGGTAAAGTGTTGAAGGTGGGTGAGGCCTATAAACCAATCCTCTAGATGTCTGTGAACAGTAAACTTACCCAGGGTGGAAATTCTTTCCATGTGTTGTGCTTTCAATACCTATAAACATTGTTTATAAATATTGTTTTTCCAAATGAAGAGCTGCCCTTGGCATGTAGCTCAGTAATAAATCATATGGTTAGCATGCTCACGGCATTGAGTTCATCCCTCCCATGTAAGGGTTGCAAGTTTTTCTCATTGTATAGTAATGGATACCAGTTGAAAAATGCAAAAGGAATTAAGAACGTGAAAATTACTGTCCTATCACCTAGGGACAATAACTGTGTTGTATTTCTTGAGAAAGGATCTTAGTTGGTAGTCCAGGCTCATCTGGAACATACTATGTCACCAGGGCTGGCATCCAACTCCTGGTCCTGCTCCAGCTTCTTGAGGGCTGAGAGAGCCCCATTTAAAAAGTACAGAAGTCGTGTTGACTGTTAGAAAAAGGAGATAAAAGGGGGAGGGAGGGAGTTTAGTGACGAAAGCATGTATGTGAGAGCAGGAGTCTGGATCCCCAGAACCCACTTCAGAGCTGAACAGGTGTTATGGCAACTGTAATCCCAGCACACAGAGGGAGAGGCGGGACCTCCAGGGCAAGCCAACTGCCAGAGGGTGGGCCTGGCGAGCTGCTACTGCAGCAAGCAGCTTTGCCTCAGGAAAGTGGATCAGGATTCGCCTCTACACACTTGTAAGCACACACACACACTTTGCACACGGCACACACATGGAAAGCTGAAGAAAGGAATACAAGCAATATAGAAGCGTGTAAGTCTGTCACAGTGCGGAGCAGAAGGAAGAAAATCGGCTGTCTGATGTAGCTGAGAAAGAGAAGCAGTAAAGTAGTTGGTAGACATTCCTAAGGAACTGGATCCATCCAGTCAGAGCACACAGGGGGCTGCAGAAGGCCTGAAAGGTCTGGGCAGTCTGGTTTCCACAACCCCTACTCCAACTGACTCCTTGTGTGGGGTCCCGGGTTTAATCTCGGGCGCTGCAAACACCCGGAGCAGGTGACCCAAAACGCCAGCTCACCTAGACCCTTCGGGAGCAAGCCCGTCCCGAGGCTAGGCACATGGGGCAGAGTAAGAGACAAGGGAAGGAGGTGCTGAAGAAGTGGGGGGCGTGGGGCAGAGCCCGGAAAGTCCAGAAAACGGACTCAGTACAGATCGACAACAGAGAGGTTGGAAGCGGTCTTCCTACACTGAGTTATTATTAGAAAACCACGGTACAGCTGAGGTCCCTCCGCCCCTGCAGGCGGTGGTACCACCGGTTCAGACAAGCCGCAGGATGCTGTGGACATGACACAGGTCTTCAGACACCAACTAACCCAGGATTTAAACGTCCCAGTAGCGAGGTGGCAGGGCTCAGCAAAGCGTGGACAGCGAACCTTTATTCAACAAACAAAGACGAAGCTAGAAGCAACTTCAGAGAGACTCCTCTAAAGAGAAATGAAAACCTCTTTTAAAATTAGAAGAAAATGAAGCTAGAAGCAGCTTCAGAGATACTACTCTAAAGAGAAATAAAAACCTTTTTTAAAATTAGAAGAAAATGAAGCTGTAGATATAAAAAGGAACTGACAGATACTGAAATTTTAAAAAGTTGGGTAGGAATTCATGAAGAATCTCCCACCAGGGAACAAAGCAAACCGTAACAGGAATTCAGGGCCATTCTCCTGAAGTAGAAGAGCATGTCTGATAGTACTTAACCTGAAAAGACCAGCCCTGGGGTAAATTCCTCTTTAAATATCATGTGAGCGTGCAGAAAAGGACATCATGTGGTTCGTAAGGGAAGATAGATTAGTTTCAGACGTTGACAGCAGTGCATTGTTGCAAAAGAAAGTTGAGTGACATCGTCAGGATTCCCAGGGAAATATGAACCAGGGAGTTTGCTTGTTTGATTGTTTGGAGATAGGGTTTCTCCGTGTAGTTCAGGTGCCTGTCCTGGATCTTACGCTATAGCCCAGGCTGGCCTCGAACTCACAGAGATCTGCCTGGCTCTGCCTCCCGAGTGCTGGGATAAAAGGTGTGTGTCACCAATGCCTGGCTGAACTAGGAATTTTTAATGTCCTGAAAAAGTGATTTTCAAATGGAGCACAGACAAACTCTGGCCAGCTTGTCAGGTCTCAGGGGTATACCAGTCTTCACTGTGTTTTCACTTACCCATCCACTCTGTCTGTTCATCACCTACCTCCTTTCTCTGTCCTCTCCACTGAAAAGGTCTAAAAACAATGGTTGACCCCAGCAACTGTGGCATCCCCAGATTGTGGACATAGCATTTCTTGCTATCGGAAACCAGAATTTCTTGGGAAAAAGAAAATATCTGGTTCTAGACTTGAAGTATGACATATCCGTGATGAACTTAGAAGGTGTGTTCTTTGATAGTGGTCAGTTCGGAAGGTGCCACCCTAGAGAGACCACCTTGCCCAGAGGAGGACCCTTTGAGCTTCAGTAGTGAGCTGAGTAATTAATGATAGACACTTAGCTAATGTATTTCTAAAGCAGTGTTGCATGTGCTCAGGCTGGGCTCGAACCCCTGCTCCTCCTGCCTCTACTACCAAGTGCTAGGATTGTAGACATGGGCACCACTCTTGGCTATACTTTACAAGAGTGTTTACTTAGGAAAATCACGAAGCTGTTAAAGTGGAGACAAATATAAAAGAGCATTTGTTCTAGTCCCAATATGCTTTTATTGGTTAGAACATATTTATAAAGAGATACTTCTCTCAGTAACTGTTCGGTTACTTTTAGGTGCGATATATATTGAAGAGGCAGGAAAAATGGCTGATTTGTTACTCCTTTTTATTTTTGGTACCTTTATTTTTTTCCTTTTTAAATTTTTTGGTAAATTTTATTATTTCTTTAAGAACTTGCAAATAAAAACATCACACAAAAATTAATGAGACCCAAAGTCTATTCAGTACATTTGTTGCCATTAAATCTACTTCCATTACTGTTTTTTGTTGTTTTAAACACAGTCTTCTGTAGCCCAGGCTAGCCTCAAACTCTCTATGTATCTAAGGGTGACCTTGAATTTACAACTCTGTTCTGGATCAGAGGTTACAGTTCTCTAGAGTTCTTGGATTGCAAGCATGTGCCTCCACACATGGTTTGTGAGATACTGGGGTCGAACCCCTGATTCCTGTGTACCACAAAAAACGCTCTACTAACCAAGCTGCATCTCCGACCCTTATGCTTTTCTTACTGATTCTCGTCCTGATGAATCGTCTCCAGGCTGCGCGTACTGTAGCTAGAGTTTTCCTGCCTGGCCCACAGTCAGGACAAATCTCTGTCACCCGCCAGTCCCACAGCATCTCAGACCCAACCAAGTAAACACAGAGACTTATATTGGTTACAAACTGTATGGCTGTGGCAGGCTTCTTGCTAACTGTTCTTACAGCTTAAATTAATCCATTTCTATTAATCTATACCTTGCCACATGGCTCGTGGCTTACCGGCATCTTCACATGCTGTTTGTCATGGTGGCGGCTGGCAGTGTCTCCCTCACTCAGCCTTCCACTTCCCAGCTTTATTCTCCTCCTTGTCCCGCCTATACTTCCTGCCTGGCCACTGACCAATCAGTGATTTATTCATTGACCAATCAGCAACACATTTGACATACAGACCATCCCACAGCACTTCCCCTTTTCTTTTCTTAAAAAGGAAGGTTTTAACCTTTACACATCTCCAAAGTCAGTTTGGTATATTTGGGAATTTGGGCGTAGTTTCTCTTACTACTTTCTGCTGGAGGGGGGCGCTGTATCTTCTGGGAAAACAAAGAAAATTTTAGGATCATGGAGTAGTCCGTGAGGCTGTATCGTCTGAGCCAGTTGCCTTGAAACCATTCTGGATGTTGGATCATCTGGGCCTTGGTGTCACCTTTCAGGGGGTCTTGGCTGGTCAAACCTGATGTATCTTAATCTGGAACAAATCCATAGCCTCTGGCTTTCTGTGGGAACAAAAGCAGAATCTCCTTTCCAAAGCAACATATCCTTATATCCAAATTTTGAAGTCAAGGTACTTTTAAAATATACATTTTGGCATAACTCAACAACTTTTATAATCAAATGTTTTTTTGTAGTTAAAAATCCCAAAGACAACACAATCTAGATTCTCTGTGTAATATTTATCTTTACGTGGCTTATTTTTTATATTAATTTTACTGTCTCTTTAAAGACTTTATTTTTTAAAACTATGTATTTGTTTTTATAACTGTATATATCACCTTTTTTGTCTCTTTCAAGCCTACGTATATTTTACACACATTGTAAATTATTACATCTGAATCTGTCTTATTGTGAGTCTATTGCTTTAAGCTGCAGCAGCTGTGGCTGCTGGCTCCGCCCACCTTAGCTTCCCAACATGGCGTGGTACTTTTCCACCAGCTCTGGGAGCTATCGTGGGTCTATGCTTTTATCCAAGCAGCATGTAGCCCAGAAACCTCTTTTTTTTGTTTTGTACTAGCAAAGGCTAAATCCACCATGTAGCTTAATGTGCCACTTGCAGAGGCCTCATTCCCGCCAAACTGCAGGTCGAGCGCGCACGCTAGGAACCCACAAGTAGCTCAAACCTGCAGCGGCCGCTCATTTGAGAGAGACAATTAGGAACTGTTTTTAGCTCCGTTTTAGAATCTTTTCTCAGGTTTTAGGTGGAAACTCTTGCCCCACGTTGGGCACCATCTGTAGCTAGAGTTTTCCTGCCTAGCCCACAGTCAGGACAAATCTCTCTCACCTGCCAGTCCCACAGCATCTCAGACCCAACCAAGTAAACACAGAGACTTATATTGGTTACAAACTGTATGGCTGTGGCAGGCTTCTTGCTAACTGTTCTTACAGCTTAAATTAATCCATTTCTATTAATCTACACCTTGCCACATGGCTCGTGGCTTACCGGCATCTTCACATGCTGTTTCTCATCATGGCGGCTGGCAGTGTCTCTCTCAGCATACAGTCCTTTCCTTGTTCCCGAAAAGAATAGTGTGGGTGATAGAGGAAACTGTAAAGACTAACCATGGGCCACGTGAGAAAGAGAACTCAAGGGCCTTGTGATTCTTGACATAAACCTTTGTCTTCTCTGACTGTTTAACCTGAGGGTGTGTGTGTAAACTTAAAGAATTTTCTTCGTGCAGTGCTGAGTGTGGAAGCCATAGCTGTGTGTGTCAGCCTAGCAAGCACTTCCCAGCGAGCCGTACTCTCAGCCCTGTGACTGTTTTATGTGGGGACAGACTGCATCTGGGACAGCAGGACTGGGTTCAGTGTTGCTGAACGTTACCGTGTGACTGGCTGAGTTTGGCTGGGCTGTTTTCTTGTAGGTATAGGAGGAATTGCTAGCATGCCACCACTTACTGCTGTTGCTCCAGTGCCCATGGGCTCCATCCCCGTCGTTGGAATGTCTCCACCCTTAGTATCCTCTGTTCCTCCAGCAGCAGTGCCTCCCCTGGCCAACGGGACGCCTCCCGTCATCCAGCCTCTGCCTGCGTTTGCTCATCCTGGTAGGTGCCCACGGCAGACCGTTGCCACCACTTACAGTTTGCTGTTCTTTCTTGTAGATATCGTGTTACTTTCTAGTTAGAGCTAAAGGATACTACTTCCTTACAGAGAAAGAGAGCGTAGGCCATGCTCCTATTGGATCCTCATTTTCTCCCAGCATATGACATGGCGCACGCTAAGAGTAGCAGGAGGGAAAGGGAATGTCACTGCAGAACTCGGGCACCTCTGTAGACAAAGGAACTCAACAGTGAAAGCCAAGAGCATAATTTCCTTTCAATAAGAGCAGCAGAGACTGAGCAATATCTGAACATTTTGTATTTTCAAGTATCGGTTACTTCTATTCTTCAACTTCTGTGAATGGCTAATACAGAAGCCTATCCTCTGAATAGAATTCCGTGGTGAGGAAAAGTGAGCACTGTGGATCTTTGAACAAGGAGAACGAACCAGACTGAATGGGGGAAGAAAGTCAATTAAATGGCCAGATATATTAAGCTTACAATATTAAGCGCTTGTTTAATTGAAGGAAAGGATGTAGTTATTTTTGTTCTTGGTTTAATTTCATTTTGAGACTTTATTTAAAGTCTTTTCCTATAATTAAAAGACAGCATCTTCTGTAGATATAGATAGCCTGGTCTAACAATCATAAAAATTTATAGCAATTTGGGAATCTTTTAAAAAAGCTGCTTGGGTCTATCTGAGGAAATTTAGCAGTGTAGCCGTCACGTAAACTTTAGCATCATATCTGTGTCACTGTTACTGTTCCTGAGGTGACCTGCACTTAGGGCAGTATATTCCAGTGAGAGAAGGAACGCACTGGGCCTCCGTTAGTTTAGTCCTGTGCAGTCCTTCGTGTGAGTGAGCGACTGCGTCTGTGCTAGCTGCTGACGGAGCTCATGCAGCTGTGTGTGGAAGAGGGAATCCACATGCTCTGGCCAGTGTTACAAGACACTAGACAGGGTGAGGGGTGGAGGGTATGGGTAGGGTCTCATCAGGTCAAATGAGAGTCACACAAATCTGTCCCTCCCTAGCATCACAATTATCTGGCCAACACTGGCCAGCCTGTGGCTTCTTGGCTGCTACATCTGGAACTAATAATTTAGTAGTAAAAAAAAAATGCCTTTTTTTGGTTTCGTTTTTTTTTTTAAAAATATTTATTTATTTATTATGTATACAGCATGTATGACTGTGGGCCAGAAGAGGGCATCAGATCTCATTACAGATGGTTGTGAGCCACCATGTGGTTGCTGGGAATTGAACTCAGGACCTCTGGAAGAGCAGTCAGTGCTCTTAACCTCTGAGCCATCTCTCCAGCCCTTGGTTTCGTTTTTTTGAGATAAGCTTTCTCTGTGTAGCGTTGGCTATCCCAGATCTCACTGTGTAGACCAGACTGGCCTCGAACTCAGAGATCCACCTGCCTCTGCCTCCTGAGTGCTGGGATTAAAGGTATGTGCCACCACCTCCGGGCAGAAAATGCCATCTTACATATATTTAAGCCGTTACTTCATTGACTTGGGACAGTACCTACAAAATGGGACACTAAATGTTCACTAGAGAGCAAAGTTCTGTGGATGCCAGCATTATGGCTCAGTCAGGGCTTCTCAGCAGGACAAGTAAATCTAGGCAGGAGACGGAGTAAAGGGCTCGTAGCTGGGACTCCACACTGAAGAAAAGGAGGGTTGTCACTGCTTTAGATTTTATGACTCGGTGTTTACATGTTTTAAATAAGAAAAATTTCTAATTTTTATAGACTTAAAATTACTCATAATATTTTATGTTACAGCAGCCACATTGCCAAAGAGTTCTTCCTTCAGCAGATCTGGTCCAGGGTCACAATTAAACACTAAATTACAGAAGGCACAATCATTTGATGTAGCCAGGTAAGACTGCTTGTTTTCTTTTGTTTTTTTTGTTTGTTTGTTTGTTTTTGTTTGGTTTGGTTTGGTTTGGTTTGGTTTTTCGAGACAGGGTTTCTCTGTGTAGCCTGTCCTGGATAGATCTCACTCTTAGACCAGGCTGGCCTTGAACTCACAGAGATCTGCCTGGCTCTGCCTCCTGAGTGCTGGGACTAAAGGCGTGCGCCACTGCCGCCCAGTTAAGACTGCTTGTTTTTAATGGAAAAGTTAGTAAGGCATTATTTAATTCCCTTTAAATGGATTTTGTTAATCTTAATTTTTTTTTAAGATTTAGTTCATGGGTTTAGTGTTTTGCCTGTATGTATGTACATGTATGTATGTATGTATGTATGTATGTATGTATGTATGTATGTATGTATGTGCACCACATGCCTGGTGCCCACGGAGGTCAGCGGAGAGTGTTGGATCCTCTGGAACTGAAGTTCCATAGGGTTGTGAACTATCAATGGGTGCTAGTAATCAAATCTGCATCCTCTACAGGAGCAGCAAGTGCTTTAAACCACTGAGTGGTCTCTGCATAGCTCCTCCTTTATTTTTACCTTGTTTAATTTTGTGGAATGCTAATGCCTTTTAAAATTCTGCATAATGCTATTAGAATTTATCACTTACTTACTGTGACAAACCAAGGACATGCCATTTCCCCAATCTTTTTAAGCAAGCGTACAGTAGCACAGGTTGGATGTGCTGCTGCTCAGTGGGAGGGCGCTTGCCCAGCACATTCGAGGAACAGCGTTCACCACCAGCACCAGGAAAGAAATAGAATTGGATGGACTAGAACAGACTCTGGGGAGCTCGAAAAGCCAATTAATGATCTCCTATTAATCCTTTAAAAGGTTATTAATTTTTTATGAGATTTGAACCAAAGTTGGACTGGCTTTTAATACTGTCATAATCTCATAATGTCTGACTTAGTAGTCGAACAGTAGTGAACACCAATTTTAATAAAACATTTTTCAGACTAGTGTTCACAATAATTGTATGTGTGGCTCAGTTTTGAGAGAAGCTCTATAGTCTCCTTGCTTCTATGTGGCCAACCATAGTTCCCTATTATCTCTGTTTCTTTCACCCCCTTTTTTCTATGTGGCCAACCATAGTTCCCTGTTACCCTGTATATGTTTCTTTTACACTCCCCCCTTTTTTTCCTAGGGCTGAGATTTAAGCTCATCTTCATATTAAATTTCCTCCCTATCTCGGGCTGAAGTCTGTGGCTTTAACTTTTCTTACATGTCGTTAAATTCTGCCTTAAAATTGCTTTATTACAGTCACGTGACTTATTGATGGTTAGCAAATATTAGAGCTTTTAGATAGTTGGGTTTTCCATGTGGGTCGTGATCTTTCCAGAAATGTGAAGCTGTACCTTTTCTGTGGTAGAGCTGCCTTTTAGGTGACATGCTTCATAAGTTTTCAGTCTGCGTAAACTCTCAGGATGTGGTAGGCGGCTTGATAAGTCTAATCTGGGCGGGCGTCTGTGTGCAGCACTTTATCTTTGCAGTGCAGGAGCAAGGTAGTTGTTCCCTTTAATAAATAGGCAGGAGCTGGAATCAGCAAAATATTAGACAAAATGAGAGAAGTGCTGCAGAGGTGCTCACAGCAGAATCCATTGTGGTGAGTGTTTTCATTACGAAACTTAGGAACTAAAGAAGGTGAGTTTGTTACTTTCCAGCTGTTGAAAGCTGACGCTTAAGAACTTGGTGTAGTATGTGTAAGTACATGGACACCACACATGGTAATAAATATTAACTAAAACTTCAGTGTGTGGTTAAAATCTTGATTTGGTATGTGTGACCTGAATCCCTGTAAGTGTGGAAGGAGATTCATGTGGAGGCTGACTTGTCATCCGCCCTCTCTGTCTCCATTGGGTTTCGGTTGTTTAACTTAGACATTGGACCTTTCAAGCCATGTGTGTCGGTGTGATACTTGTGTGGGCTGTGTCGCCTGCAGAAGGAAGGAATTGCCCAGGCTCACTCTTCGCAGGGTTTCCTCAGGTCAGTGTTGTAGCACATTGGCCAGGAGACATCAGTGTTGGATTACAGTCAAGAAAGTGGAGCTTTGTCCATGACCGCTCCACTGATTAGCCAGGACCCTGGACATATCCTGTTTCCTCTCTGGGAGGTTTTCCATTGGCCAGAATTGAAACCTCCCAGTGGGATAAGAAGTGGGCCTAGGGACTGTAAGATGGCTCAGTGGGTAAGAAGTGGGCCTAGGGACTGTAAGATGGCTCAGTGGGTAAGAAGTGGGCCTAGGGACTGTAAGATGGCTCAGTGGGTAAGAAGAGTGCTTGCCTCCAATACTGAGGACCTGGGTTCAGTTCCCAGGACCCCCAGGCGGACAGAGAAAACCACCTCCTGCAGGTTGTCCTCTGGCCTCTACACACGTGCCATGGCATGTGCACATTCTCTCTTTCTCTCTTTCACACACACACACACACACACACACACACACACAGAGGTATATACACCTCAAACAGATAAAGAAATGTAAAATCAAAAAAGAAATGCGTCTATATTTTGTTGTAGAAAGGTAAGTATTTTAAAGGGTACTTTTTAAAAGGCAATTGCCAGCATGGCTTTTTAACTAAAGGGGAAATTCCTGTATCCTTAGGAAAACCTGGGCAGTATATAATGCCTCGGTTCCTGGTATTTTTTTCATATTACTGGAACATTTAGATTGTTAAATTATATGTAGAAATTGGTTTTGTTAGTTCTTTAAGGATTTCTCTGTGTGTGTGTGTGTGTGTGTGTGTGTGTGTGTGTGTGTGTGTGTGTGTGTTTGTATGCCGTATGTGTGCAGATGCCTGCAGAAGCCAGAAGGGGGTGTTGGAGCCCTGAGCTGGGTCACAGGCAGTGTGAGCTGCATGACATGGGTGCTGGGAACTAAACCCGAGTCCTCCGGAAGCACGCACTCTCAACTGCTGAGTCGTCTCTCCAGCCCCTAATTCCCCTCTTTTGAAGGATGTTTGTAACTTAAGGAATGTAGAAGCACTGCAGGTGTGGCTGAGTGGGACCTTGGCCTGCTGCAGGGGTCCTGGGATTGACACCAGTGCCCCCAGGAGGAAAAAGGAACCGCTGCCAACCTGAGGTGTTAGACAAGTTCTCGAGCCTCAGCCAGCCATATCTCACCCTGTGTCCCCTCTCCCTCCTCTGTCCCCGCAGTGCCCCTCCAGCAGCAGAGTGGGCCGTGCCTCAGTCATCAAGACTGAAATACAGACAGTTGTTCAACAGCCACGACAAAACCATGAGTGGACACCTAACAGGTATTTACAGACGAAAATTCAGTGAACTACAGTCCTCGCTTTAACTGTGGGTGGTTTCTAGACACTGAGTCAAAAGTGCTTTCCAAATGTCTCCTCTCTTTCCTATTCCACTATCTGTGTTACCTTGTGTTCTCAACTACTGATAACGCCATCCATGCTTACCCTGTTCTCCTCCGCCTCTGGTCTTCACCCTCTCCCGCCTGTTGGTAAAATGGACCATAGACCAGGAACCCGCTTGCACGTTGAAAGCCACTCATTAGAGAAGTGGGACATGAGTGAAGAGAAAAGTGCTGCGAGCAGAGCATCCTGGGCTTCTGAAGAGCGCCTTTGTCGTTGACGTTGCCTGTTCCATGGGTCAGGCTGAGGCCGGATGCAGGGCAAAGGTGTGGGATGAAGGGACTCTGCTCTGTCGTGATTGGCTGGTGCTCATCCCTTTTGGATCTCATTTCTTCATGTGTGAAAAGTTCAGAATTAATTTATAGGATCTCAGTGGGTTTTCTAAAGTGTATTGATTCTGTTATCCAGGTCAGAAGTATAGATAGAGAAGCATTTCAGATGCCATCCCAAGCCTTTATTGTGAGGTTTTATTACAACTACCCATTGGAATGTTATAGAGAAAGCACAATCTTTAGAAGGCATATAGAGACCTCTTGTGAACTGTTAAGTCCTCCAACAAGTGGGAAAAGGAAGGAGCATGATTTGACTGGGCAAATCATTACACACAGAACTCAAACAACTTGCAAGCATTTGAGTGATTTTATTAAGACAGGACCATGGTAGGCTTTCGCATGAGGACAATCAGGAAGATGTTGTTTAGCTTTTGGTATGAGTGGGAAATTGCAGTCCTTACCATACACCGCTAAGCTTTACACAGTGGCAGAGCAGTAGTGAAGTGAAGGGTGCAGCTCATTGACAGACTGCTTGCCTAGCCTGTGCCAGTTCTTAGTTTGATCTGTAACAACATTTGAAAGTTCTGGTTCTTCATATGTTGTTTTACTATTGCTTGTGATTATACCTTTACTTCCAGATGAGAAATTAGTCTTTGTTTAAAAAAAAATGACTGGAGGAAGCCTTAGGTCTGTTCTGCTCTTGAACCCTGTCTGCATAATAGATCTCCACAGTCACCTCGGATAAACACATGCATCTACGGGGCAAAAAGTCAGCGCTTGTCAATTCTCTACACACCACACTTTTCCAAAATTTCACCAATAGGGAGCAGCTCGCAGGATTTTTCGGAGGCATTAAAAAATCCCAGCACTCAGGAGTCAGAGGAAGGAGGATCTCTGTCTACAAAGTGAGTTCTAGGACAGCCAGGGCTACACAGAGAAACCCTGTCTTGAAAAACCAAAAAGAAAACAACAACAACCACAAAAAAGCTCAAAACCCACCCTAGCCCGTGCAGACACCGAAGAAATGCTCCATAGTGTCACTTTGAGTGGGTGTGTCTGACACTGCACTCCAGACACACTCAGTATTGCTTTAGAACATTGTTGGTATTTGTTGTGAATTGTGAATTGGTTTAGAAATTCTTTCATGTTGGGGTGTGTTTTTATGAATGATAAATGGAGCACCTACATCTTGAAGAAATGACTTAGATACTTGAATTTAGAACCTTTCAGTATCTGGGGCAAAAAGTAAGATTTGAAGTATTCTAGTTTGTTCCAGCAAGCATTTAAGGTGTAAATTTTATCTTCAAGCCAGACTGTTGTGTAATCATTAAAAAATAAATGAAAATTAATATAGTATGTTTTAAGTGGCAACAAATGATGTTCCCTGTATGTATTTATGGGGAATCTATAGGGGTTTCCTAGGCAGCATTAGACGGTGGAAGTGGAGCTGATGAGGAGCTTGATGAACTGGGAAAGTCAACCTCTTTGGTTGTTACTGTTTTCTTCTTTCGAGACAGAGTTTCTCTGTGTATAGTCCTGGCTGTCCTGGAACTTGCTCTATAGACCAGGCTGGCCTCGAGAAAGTCAGCCTCTTGAGAACTGTGGAAATAGTTCTGAGCACTCGGAATCCCCAAAGCAGCTGCTCTTCCAGGAGAAAGAAAAAAGGGCGTCCAGAGAGCCAAGCCCAGAGGCCCCAGGAAAACAGTCCTTTTATACTCTGCTCTTGGTTCTTTTTTTTTTTAATTTTTTGTGAGTTCTAGTTTTAAAAGAACTAAGAAGCGTTTTTTTTTCCCCCCCTAAACACATAATTATAGCTTATCTAGTTCAGTAGTTCTCAACCTTGCAGTTGCGATGGCCTTGTTTTAGAAATACCAGTTAAAATACAAAAGTGGCAGGTAATGTGCTCTTCTGTGACGTGGAGGAGAAGCTAGACTCTGCTTGTGTTATAGGGTATTTGCACACTGTGAAGATGTGTCACTGTGAGTGGTCTAATAAAGAGCTGAATGGCCAATGGCTAGGCAGGAAGAGGTTAGGCAGGACTTCCAGGAACAGAGAGGACTCTGGGAAGAAGAAAGGCAGAGATGCCAGGATATACGGAGAGGAACTAGGAGGTGTAAGATGGAAGAGAGGTCATGCCACTTGGCAGAACGTCCATTAGTATAAATGGGTTCATTTAAGTTACCAGAGCTAGTTAGGAACAAGCCTAAGCTATAGGGCGAGCTTTCATAATTAATAATAAGTCTCTGTGTCGTTATTTGGGAGCTGGCTAGTAGGACAGAGAAAGACTTGTGACATGCTTTTACCAGCGTTTTCATTCCCTGTGTTCACATGTATTGTCGCTTTTAGCCTCCCAAGAGTTGTACATTTCCTACAGCCTAACTGACCCAGGGCACAGCCTGCAGCAGATGCCAGTGTTAGTGTGTGTCCTCTCCTCTGTTCTGAATGTGATCCCCAGGTAGCATTCTGCTGCAGTTTCACAGCAAACATTTAAGGTGTAAATTTTATCTTTGTGACTGTTGTGCAGTCAGTAAAAATGTCATCAAACTTTGGTTTCCTAAATCTGGTTTCAGATTCTAAAGCGTGTCATGAAGTTCTGGCTACATAAAGAGTGTGTTGGGATGCTAGTTAGTCCATCTTCAGAGTGGCCCTTACTTACCCTGTGAATTTCCTGGTGATCTAGTTGAAGCAGCTGGCTAGACACACGCCCCTTTCTTGTCACATAATTTGATATATATGTTATCCTATGCTTTTAAAAAGGAGAGAGGACCTGCACTTCTTTGTCTAGAGTTGAGGCCTTGGGGGCAGAGGCAGACAGATCTCTGTGAGTTTGAGCCCAACCTGGTCTATTTAATGAGTTCCATGACAGCCAAGGGCAGATCTCTGTGAGTTCAAGGCCAGCCTGGTCTACAGAGCGAGTTCCAGGATGGCCAGGGCTACACAGAGAGACCCTTTCTTGAACCCCTCTCCCCAAATAAATAAAATGAATTCTAAGAAAATGTATGCTTTGATTGTGTTTAAGTGTATGAATTAATGTATACTTTTTTGCTAATATGTTATATGTAAATAAAAGTTAAAATATTGCCAGTAACGGACATGGTAATTGTCACCTGCTGGGTACTTTGCATGGGTGCTGAGCCCAATGTTAGGGTCCTTCCAGTGGGTCCTGGATGTGCTCACGGGCCCCTGGAAATGAGCAAGCCCCTGAGTGAGGAGCTGCCTCCGCTCAGCAAAGGATGTACCTAGCCAGCAGCCTGCAGCCTCTTGCCTGTTGGTACTTCTCCCTTCCTTTGGGGAAGTCATGGTGCTGGATCTCATGGTCTCTGCTCTTGGCTGTGCACGAACACACCTGTTTCTGTGTTTCCCAGTAAGGAGACGTCTGGAAACTCAATAATGGAGATGTGAGGTGTCCGCACGGGTAAGGAGTCTTCCTGGAGTCACTGCTATGGCTTCCCATTTCCTGGTCCATGTGTAGTCCTGGGACTGCGCCTTGAGACAGAGCGGGAACTATGACGTATTTGCCTCCCCCGACACTGCTCAGAATCTGCACTTACAGTTTTCAATCTCATAGCTTAAGTTTTTTGTGCCAGAAATGAAGATATTTATCATTATCTTAACAACAGAAAACTGATTTTGAAAGCAAAGTTGCAATTCTAGTAACTGTTGTGCAATCTTCAGTCACTCACATCCTTAACATATGTGTAGTGGGTGTATGTGGTGATGGCATTAGACGGGCTCTGTTAGGGCCCCTCTTCCTGCAGAGTGGCTGACTCTTCCCTTAAGTTGTGTGATGACCATCGTGGTGAAATCAGCGGGTGGTAGCTGTGGCTGAAGATGTTTAATTTGTAGCTATTCTGTCTCCATTTGTAAGTAAAACCCCAGTACAAAAAGAGGGGTAGTCTGGCCGAGAGGGCAGGCTGTGTTTGAAGCCCTGGTCTTTCTGTGCTCACTCCTCACTGGTCATTGTGGGTTTCCTGTTTCTTCCCTTTTGTTGAACTTTGTTCCTTTCACAGAGCTCTGGATAATAGCACATACTGAGTGCAGTGTTGTGATTGCACGAGATTGCACATCCTGTGTGCAGCATCTAGACTCTATGTGCAGGGGATGTTTGATTCATCGTTATATCTTTTCTCTGATTTCTGGTTAGGTCCCCAAGCAAGAACTATTCTTATGCAATCAAGTTTACCCCAAGCTCAACTGGCTTCAATATGGTAAGGAAGTACAAGTTCCTCGGTTTGTATAAAGTAGAAACTTAGAGTGGTTTTTCCTCGGGATTTTAGATTCATGTCCTTATTTAGAGAAGATGGAATATGTGTAGTTTTGAGTAAGTTGTGATAATCAATGCTCTTGCTACAAGGACAGGGATGTTAGCACAGTGAGCCCCAAGAACTCAAGACAGACTAACAACTCCTAACCCAAGGCCAGGTTCCTTTTCCCCCATGACTTCAAGCCAAGCCTCTTATTGTTTTACCTATAAATATTTAAATATATTTCATTAACTTTATCCATAATGCCAGTAGTTCACCTAACTAGGTAGTCATTCCTATCAAATTAATGAGCTAATCATCGAATGTCTTACATCAGCTAATGGTTTGTATAGTTTTATTTGTTCAAGGGAGTGAAACAAACCTATATAATATTTCATTGATCAATCTAAATTTCTTTTAAATATTATTTTATTTTACGTGTATGTGTTTTGCCTACACATATTTCTCTACCATGTGCATGCCTGGTACCCTTGGAGGTCAGAAGAGGGCAGAGTTAGAGATGGTTGGGAGCCCCACTCTGTGGTGCTGGGAACCGAACCTGGGTCTTCTGAGAGAGCAGCAAGTTCTCTGAACCACTGAGCCATCTCTCCAGCTCATTAATTGATATATTTTAAAAAGTCCCCTTTAATCTCTACATTACCCTTTCTTGTTCTCTATTTGCTCCCCAAGTCTTCCCAAAACAAAATGAGGTAGTTTATTGAATTGTTTCCTAATGGCTTGACTTTGCTGTATTCCTCTGGTGGTGCTTAATTTGTTTCTGTATTTCCTGTGAGATGATAATTAGATCTAGAATGAGGCTTTTCAGTTTTAGCACTGTGGCATTTGGGGGTAGCAGTTCTTTTGGGGGGGCTGCCCTGTGCATGGTAACATCTCTGTCCTCTACTCATCAGATAATTGGTGCCGGTAGCCATGACCCCCAGCCTCAGTTCTGACAACCTAGATGTCTCCAGATGTTAGCATGTGTCTTTTGAGGGACCACATCACTCCTGGGCATAAACCACTTCTCTGGTTCTACTTTGATATTTGCTCTTTGGGGTGAGACTACATTAGCGCTATTACTGTGTTCTGTCTTTGAGAGGCACAAAATGTCCCTGTTAGTGCATAATGACTTTTAATAGCTCTTGATGAGTGTTACTCCAGCTGTTCTTTTTTCTTTTCTTTCTTTCTTCCTTCCCTTCCCTTCCCCTTCCTTCCTTCCTCCCTCCCTCCCTCCCTCCTTCCCTCCCTCCCTTCCTTCCTTCCTTCCTTCTTTCCTTCCTTCTGTTTTTAGGCACAAGCTTGCCTCTTTTAGTTGTGTGTTGATAGCTCCCTAGAAAATAGACCTGGTGTCTGTCCACTTACCACGTCCCAAGTCTTGGCAGGAATGGCTATGGCTGCTCAACAAGGGACCATACTACAGCCCCTCCCCTCTTCCCTTCTGCTCTAGAGTCTGCTTTTTACTTAGAGTGGACCAACTCTGAAACAGATCTAAGACATAACATTTGTGGAGTTGGATTGGCATGTGTTAGGTCGCTCTCATACCCCTGATGCTTTTCATTGATGATTTCCTAAGACATTTGAGGTATCTCTGTTGGAATGTTATATTTTCCTTCTTCACACTAAAAAGATGCTTTAATTTTCATGGCCCTTTTTTAGCCAGTTTATGAGGGAACATGAGTTTTAACTCCCTTTCAGTCTCCTTTACATTGGAGTAGCTGAGAGCACAGCATCTGGAGGTGACGGGTGGGTTTGCGGCTGTCTGTTCCGTTGAAAGGATGCACACATCTAAGGAGGAGAGAAGTAAGTCAGAAGAGCCATGGGGCCAGGCAGGGAGAAGAGGTGAGCAGCAGGAAATGTGGGCTCTCGGGTGCTCCTTGCCTTACATCGCAGTTGTCGCTCTGTAACTTGACCGTTTTGTCAGAGACGTACATAACTGCCCTCTGAGAGGGCCACTGTTAGCTCATAGAAATTACACCTTATTGATAGTAGCCAGGAAGCATGTGACCTCTGAAGACATTGCAGAAAGAGGAAGACAGTTTTTGATTGGTTGTCATCAGCAAAGGCAGACTCCTGACGTGGCGTTTGTGCTGTTGACCCTCTTGAGAATACATGTGTGCTCTCACATGTCCATTGGTAGTCTAGAACAATCAGCTGTTTACTGTAATTAGCTACTTGGACAAGTTCATCATAAGCCTGATGGTGATTGGATTGCTACAATGAGGAGAGAGAGATGCCCCCAACTCTAGAGGGGGGCTGGAGGCTACAAACATCAATCCATAGATGAGAGAGTGAATGGCCGGCCAATGGGTGGAACATGACCTGCACCCATTTTTGTAGGCGGCTTTATTGTAAATGTAGGCATGCCCATTCATTTACATACTGTCTATGGGTTCTCATCAAGAGTAAAATCTGGTGTAACAGGGCTTGTGTGTCTTACAGACCATGAAATAATTTGCTGTGTTACCTTTTATCAGTCCTTTGTCTAGTACATAGTATTTTCACATTACAAGAACTTGAGTATAATATATTTTCAATGGCTTGCAAGGATTGAAGAGGATCATTATAATCATAATTAGCATTTGTGGAATCCTAAAGACAATTCCAACTGTATGGATTATTTTTTGTCCTTCCAGTAGTCTGAAATAGTACTTGTTCTACAAGCTGGCACACAGAAAGATTCTGTTGGCTTAGGATCAGAGTAAGGAAATAGAATTTGCAAATCACTGGTGAATAGTAAGAAGCATGCATTTTCGTGAACTGGATTGCATGAATTTTTTGTTGAATTAGGAATCTTTCTGACATTGATCAAGATGGAAAACTCACAGCAGAAGAATTCATCCTGGCTATGCACCTAATTGATGTTGCCATGTCTGGCCAGCCACTGCCACCTGTCCTGCCTCCAGAGTACATTCCTCCTTCCTTTAGGTAAGTAACATTTGATTCTTGAGAGAATTTGCCTGGATCCCAAACTCGGCTGTTTCCTTTCCTGGCATGAAGATGAACTATCCATGAAAGAAGAGACTTTAGCTTAGCTCAGTGTTTTAAGGCTGGTCCCGTTTTGTTCTCCTGAGCACTTATATATTCCATGTAGTAAAAGCATCAAGTAAAAGACCAAGGTTGTTCGTTTTTGTGCCCATCGATTACCAAAGCTCACCAGAATTGTACTCTCACAGTGAAAGAGAACCAGAATGAGAAGGCATGTAGGAAATCAGAGATCACACCTGTGAATCACGCACATTCAAGAGGTAACAAAAATGCTGGCATGTAGAAATTATAATCAGGAAGATAATTTTTAAAGATTATCCTGGCCTGAAACAGACTCAGACGTCAAGACTAGAAATGTTAAGAGAAGCAGCCATAGTGTATGAACACACCATCCCAGAAGGAGAGATCTAGTCAGGAGAAGCCCGCTGGGACTGTCATCCTCCTGCACCAGTAGTGTGTGAACACACCATTCCAGAATGTCCTATTTACTGAATAAAAGACAAATAAGATCTGTGTTTATATTCGAAGTCCTCAGCAGAGAGTTGGGCACAGTCTCTCTGAAATGAAGAGTGAAGAGTCATCACCATCTGCTTCTGTGTGGTTCTGGGAGCAGCAGAGGGAACTGTACAGGTGGGAAGCAGCAGGCAGCAACCCTTCAGCTTCAGGGACCTGTGTGAGAGAAACCAAACATTTGAAGATGGTGTTCAAAAGGAAGCATAAAAAGGGTCAGAGATTTGTTTTTTGAGATAGGATCTCACTCTATTGCCTTGGCTATCCTAGAACTCTCTCTGTAGACCAGGCTGGCCTTGAACTCTTAGAGAATCTGCCTCTGCCATCCATGTGTTGGGATTAAAGTTGTGCCTCACCACATCCAGATGAGAGATTGTTTTAAAACACAAAGGTTGAGGGTTTAATGTGACACTTATAATGAGTCGATCTCGAATATTATTATGGGCCAGTCTTAATCTTCTTCCCAGAGGCCTAGAAGAGAAGCTACAAATGATGAGAATTATTTTCAGGAAAAGAATCTAAGTACACCGAGCTCTTAGTCCATCTACTTTATTCCTCTGGGATAAAATTCTGTCTACACAGCTACAGTTCTGTACTCAAGCCTAGCTCCTTTCTTGCCTGATTTCTCTCTACCTTTATCTGCTGTCCCCTCTAAGTTCTACCTTAATTCTCTCATCGTAGTTCTGCCCCATCTTGGTCTCTCTCATCTTGTTCTCCCCTGTCTGGCCTCATCTTCCATCTCATTCTTCTAGTTCTCCCGTCAGAATCCTCAAATCCTCTCCAAGTCTCTGAGGTTTACAGTTATATACCCATGCAATAGCTAAGGCAAGGTCACCAGGCTTGAATTCTTACAGGGTCATAAAGGCAAACAAGAGTTTTCCTCAGGCAGTGACCGTCAGGCTTTCTTTTATAACCCAAAAGGGGAGTGGTAAGGGAGGAGGTTAACTAAGAGCTAAAATTGGTTAATATATCAGAAAAAGGGAATTTATGTGCTCAAACTACATTCCTAGAGGTGGTTAGGGAAATGTTAGGAGTCTATAATGTTAGTATAAATACTACTAAGGCTATATGAGAAAGAAGGGTCTGAGCTTAATTTACCTTAATTCAGGAGATTGTTAGGCCTTAGATGCTTGATAGGTACTTCAGATAAAGTACACTGTTATGAGTTCTTGGAAGCATACATAGTGTACAAGAAAATCATTGTAGAAACTGGCTAATATTATATACAGAAGCTAAAGTATCACCAGGACTTCTTAAGCCATGGCTTGACCTTTAGAAAAGTCCTTGATCTTTCCAAGTAGTAGCTTTTGTGATAGTAGCTGGATTCCATTACATTTCCCTGTGACTTGCAGCAAGTCGATTTGTTTTCAGAATCATAAATATGGTTTGTGTTTAGGGGTGCTAAAATAGAGTTTCTAAAGGGAAACGTGTTGGTCCCAGTTAGCTTCTCTGTTGCCTTCCTTGGGGAAGCTAAGAATGATTTCCAAGGGTAATGGTGATAGCCACCAAACTTACTTACCGAGTGGTTACAGATTCAGCCCTCAGGGGTGGTTCTACCTTGTGGCAGTTCTAGGTATTTTATTGGTTTGGAGAGTGCTGGGGATCGAATGCATGCAAGCATGTGCCACCACCGAGCTGATCTCTAGCAGCAGCGTTTTGAGCAAGCTTGGCACTCAGAGTCTGATGACGTTCAAATGCCCATCTGAAAAACTTTCCAAGTAGAGAAAAGCAAATCTGTGCTCTTTCTCACTCTCACTAAAACCTGCTCCACGATGAGCTGTAGTCATTCCTTCCTTTCTTTCGCAGAAGGGTTCGCTCCGGCAGTGGGATGTCCGTCATAAGCTCTTCGTCGGTGGATCAGAGGCTGCCCGAGGAGCCGGCATCAGAGGATGAGCAGCAGTTGGAGAAGAAGCTACCCGGTGAGCGGCCCACAGCTGACTAGCTGATGGACGGCAGGATGCCGCCATTTCTTCAGCCACATATAGGCAGGAGGAGACACCTTGGAATCACTGAGAAATGAGAAGGTTATGAACTCTGCTAGTGCACCTTTATCCCACTGTCTAATTGAAACCTGAATGCCTGCTGTGAAACAAAATTTCTATAAAAATAGCCGGGCAGTGGTGGTGCACACCTTTAATCCCAGCACTTCGGAGGCAGAGGCAGGCAGATCTCTGTGAGTTCGAGGCCAGCCTGGTCTATAGAGAAAGTTCTAGGACACAGCTAGGGCTACACAGAGAAACCCTGTCTGGAAAAAAAAAAAAAAAAAAGAAAGAAAGAAAGAAAAACTTCTATAAATGTTACCCGTGGAATACAGAGCACCTTTGGCATTAAGGTGGTTTCTTGCTATCAACAATGCCGCAGTAGAAACTTGAGTCTCCTATTGATATTTTATTTTGCTTGTCCGGGAAAACTGGGGACTTGTAAACAGAAGGAACGTATTTTAATTTTAATGTGAACTGATTATATAAATAACCCTCATTTTCAGTGGCAAATCTATTATGCCTTTAAGTTAGTCTGAAATGAGATGGCTCTGAATTATTAATGAGATGATAATGATGCTAAGATGCAGTTGAAATTATTAAGTCTCTCTGTCTTAACTACTCTGCTGGTGTCACAGTGCATTTTTAGTGCTCCCCAGTTAATTGTATGAGGCACTCACTCTTCCAGCTGATTAAATTGCTTTTCAATTATGTTTAGTGATAAAATACTTACTATAAATGATCTATGAGCTAGGCTGTATGTTAAGTACAGTGAAAAATTTAAATATTTCTGTGATTATACTCTCAGGAATACTATATTAGTTTTGGGGTGGGGGCTTGTTTTCTGAGACATGAGTCTTTGTATGTGGCCCAAGCTGGCCTGGATTTCACAGCAGTCTTCTGCCTGAGTCCCGTGAGAGCTGGGATTACAGGTACGTGTCTCCACACCTGGTTTCTATAAGATTTAAGGCACCTATAGAAATGACCCGCTGACGCAGCACCCGGAGACTGAAGAAAGTGGAGAGTTTGTGTGTGCATGCTCAAGCCTACCTGGGGTTGGCCAAGATGGAGAAGAGTTGTGGGAAACACATCTCCACAGAATAAGTCAGAGTTGAGGGAGTTAGGAATGAATCATCATTCCATGTGTAGGGACTGATTACATTCAGTGGAAACACAGTGTCGTTGTCAAATAAATACAAGAATTCTTACATTGGGGGTTGTCTCTTTCTGTGGGCAGTAAACATTTGTGTATAGTCTTAAATAGGAAAGGACATTGGCAGAATCCTCCCCCTCCTTCGCCCCTCCTCGTTCCCCTCCCCCCCCTCCTCCTCCTTTTCCTTTCTTTTCTTTTCTTTTTTCTCCCCAGTCTAGAGTATCCTAAGGCCCTGGGCAGTTCTGGGTTTGGGTTTGAACTGCAAGTATGCATCCTAGTTACTCTTTGAAAATGGTGATTTTTTTTCCATGGTTGATGTCTTCTTTGTCTTCAAGTAACGTTTGAAGATAAGAAGCGGGAGAATTTTGAGCGTGGCAACCTGGAGCTGGAGAAGCGCAGGCAGGCCCTCCTGGAGCAGCAGCGCAAGGAGCAGGAGCGCTTGGCTCAGCTGGAGCGGGCCGAGCAGGAGAGGAAGGAGCGGGAGCGGCAGGAGCAGGAGCGCAAGAGACAGCTAGAGCTGGAGAAGCAGCTGGAGAAGCAGCGGGAGCTGGAGCGGCAGAGAGAGGAAGAGAGGAGGAAGGAGATCGAGAGGAGGGAGGTGCGCAGCCCCAACGCCCGCCCGCCTCTGGGGGCCGTGGTTCAGACACACTCTTCTTTTCCTTGTGAGGCTTAGCATGTCTAGAGTTGCTCAGTGATCACCACCGTCTTTTCCAGAACATTCCATGACCCACTGAGCAGCTGTTCCCCATCTAGTCTTCTCCCAGTGCCTGGGAATTGCTAACTTGTGTACCGTATCTATTTGCCGTTTCTATAGAAGTGGTGAATTTGGTGCTAGACCCTGAAGGGGAATCGGCTCCCTGTCTGTCCTTGTTTGAGTATATTGCTACAGAAGCAATGCTCCTCTTCTCCCATGTGAAGAAAATGTAAAGACAAGTTTTTTTTTCTTATTTAAAAATGTTTTAGTTTCATCTTCTAGTTATTGCTTAGGAAAAGTATGTAGTCATTAGTAGCTTTGTGTTCAAGTCTATACAGATAATAACAGGGTTTTGTGTTTGTTTATTTGGGGCTGGGGATTGAGCACAGCAGTGCTGAGCAGATGTTGACATCCCTAGTCCCTGGAGATAGAGAGTGACCCTAGGCTCTGTGTGTCCCCAGGGTTTGCTAAATGAGAGGCCGTCACACTGCCTGGCAGTCAGTGTAGAGGTTGGCATGTTGAAACTACAGTTTTTATGGTTAAAAAGGAAATAGTGATTAGGAAGCTGGGAGTCACGGGCTTTTAAAACTTGAGATATGTTTAGAGTGCCCCTGATGTGAAAATCTAATCTGAAATGCTTCTAAATCCAAAAGTCCACTCAAAAAGTTAGATTTGGGATTTTCACATTAGGGGCAGTTAACCAGTTAAGCCCATGCAGACACCTCAGGAATCAGGAACACTTCTGACCTCAGGAATCAGGAACATTTCTAGTCCCTGTCATCCTCTGGACAAGAAACACTCAACTTATATGAAGTAACTTCTCTTTCAACAGGAGAAAATCAAGTTTATTTGTTCTTGTCGTTGAGGATTTTAGTTTGATTTTGCTAGATAAGAAAACTTCCCTTCCTCCTTGAGTCTGTAAACAAAGACGACACATTTACCGAGTCCATCTTGCTTCCTGGGAGGCAAGAAGGACAGGACTCCAGCGGAACGGCCCTGTCCTCATCTGTGTCCTATACCTGCATAGTCAGAGCCCATTGTACGTGAGCTGACAGTATATGGCGTTTCACCATTAGGAGGAGGGGCTCACTAGACATGTTTGTTAAGAAACATCGCATAGTGTTAGAATTCGGAAATTAATAAGCGATCTATAACCACAGGCTGCAAAGCGGGAACTTGAACGCCAGCGGCAACTAGAATGGGAGCGGAACCGGAGACAGGAACTCCTGAATCAGAGGAACAAAGAGCAGGAGGGCATTGTGGTCCTGAAGGCCCGGAGGAAGACTCTGGAGTTTGAATTGGAGGCGCTGGTGAGTGCGGCTCTCCTTCCTCAGGCCTGCACAGAGACCTTAGACACCACACTCACCCTGCTGTCTTTCCTTTATTGAAGAATGACAAAAAGCATCAGTTGGAAGGAAAGCTTCAAGATATCCGATGTCGGCTGACGACCCAGAGGCAGGAAATTGAGAGCACAAACAAGTCTAGAGAGTTGAGAATTGCTGAAATCACCCACTTACAGCAGCAGCTGCAGGTGAGTTCCGTGCCTGTATTTTAATTCATTCGCTTATTAACAAAGGTTCACTATCCACCATTCATTAGGCACTGGGGGCAAGGAGGAAATAGGTTGGGTCCTTGCCTGAGAAGTAGCTTCCAAGTAAACTAACAACTGCTTTTCCGGACAGTGCTCTGGGCCAGGCATCTGTGAGCCCAGAAGCCTTAGCGGTGAATAACCTAACTGATGCTGTCTGTAGGGGTGGTGGTCACTAACCATATAAGTAAAGTATGTAAGGGTTGAGTTTCTCTCTCCCACAGCCCTTAGGACCAGAGCTGTTTAAGATTCCAGCTTTTCACCGGGTGGTGGAGGTGAACGCCTTTCATCCCAGCACTCGGGTGTCAGAGCCAGGCGGATCTCTGTGAGTTCGAGGCCAGCCTGGGCTACAGAGTGAGTTCCAGGAAAGGCACCAAAGCTACACAGAGAAACCCTGTCTCGGAGGAAAAAAAAAAAAAAAAAAAATCCCAGGTTTTCTTTTTTTGACTTTAGAATATTTGCATACATATGCTGAGTATCTTAGGGAAAGGAGCCCAGTCTAGACATGAACTTTATGTTACATATATGCTTTATATGCAGACCCTGAAAATACTTTTGTGTTATTTTTAGTGCATCTCCATTTTAACTATCATGCCAGGTGTTGAATTTTCCTCTTGAGGATTCTTGCCAATCTTCAAAGCATTGAAGAGTGTAGAGTTTAGACAGCGGGTTTCAGATCAGGAATGCTCAGCCTGGCTGGCTGGGGAAGGGGAGGAGGAACCTGAAGACCAGGAAAAATTTCAGCTTAATTCAGGTCTTCTGGACAGGCGCTTCTGTGAGGATGGCATTTGAGCGAAGACCTGAGCTGATGATGAGCTGAAAGCTCCAGGCAGGGAAGAGCCTGTCCTGAGGTTGCCCAGGCTACCGGAGGCCAGTCCCAGAGTTACAGTACCAGGACTGCTGGGTGGAGCAGATGGGCGTCAGTTCAGGACTGTGGTCCATCGGTGGGATGATTAATGGGATCAAGTGTTTCAGTAGATATGTGAATGACCGTGTAGATGACTAGCTGGGGATACAGTGGAGTGCTGTTAGCACTTCTGCCTCCATTTTACTGCCTGTCCAAATCTGTGATGTGATCACTCGCCTTCCTATCAAAGCTTGAACTATAGGGTGTCAGTGAATGTTGATGTTATCTGTAGGTTGTCAATCCTTTAAATACTTCTCTGTCAGGCTTTTTCTTTCAACATGTTGGCTAGGGGATTTAATTGACATGGAGTGAATAAGTAGGTTCCTTTTTAATCTCTAGGTAGCATTCCACCATTTACATAGTTGTGGAGTTTAAAATTTTTTTAGTACAGTTTTATTTATTATGTGTGTGGGGGGGGGAGAGGGTGCATGTAGATGTGAAAGACAGCTATGGGTGTGACTTCTCTTCTACCATGCCAGGGTTGGCAGGCCGTCCCACTAAGCCGTCATGCTGGCCTCAGTTTGGGATTTCTTTTCTTTCTTTCTTTCTCTTTCTCTCTTTCTTTCTTTCTTTCTTTCTTTTTACTTTATTTTATTTTTTGTTTTTCTTTTTCGAGACAGAGTTTTTCTGTGTAGCTTTTGGAGCCTATCCTGGAACTTACTCTGTAGACCCGGCTGACCTCGAACTCACAGAGATCCGCCCGCCTCTGCCTCCCTTCTGAGTGCTGGAATTAAAGGTGTGTGCCACCACCGCCCACCTGTTGGGGATTTCTTAGAGTAAAACTGCAATGAGAATTTATGTGCAAGTCTTACGTGGAGATATGTTTTGCTCTTGGGCAAGTTTTTCAGTGTGAATTGCTGTTCATCATGAGTTTCATGAGCAGCTGTCAGTGTTTGCACATTTCCTTTCTGACCAGCATGTAGGTGAGTGGTGTGCCTGTTCCTCATCCTCACCAGCGTTTGTGACTGAATTTTACCACCTCTGCTGGGGATGTGGCACTGTGGCTTTAGTCTGCATCTCTGCATTCCGGTGCTGTTGTGTGCCATTTGGGGTGTTGATTGGCATGTGTCTCTGTGGGTTTTGTTGAAGGACACATCCTTTGTCCATTTTTATTGGATTGAAGGTGGTGAGCTCCTTGCATTTGCCTAACCAGCATGGCTGTTTGTCAGCTAACTTGTTTTGCAGATAGATGTTCTTGTCAACCATGGTACCCCAGCTTTCACTTGCTATTTCTGTTTGATGTGTTTTGTTTGGTTGGTTTTTGAGACAGGATCTTGCCATGTATCCCTGGCTGGTCTGAAACTCTCTGTAGACTAGGCCTGCTTCAGACCTATGGCAATCACTCGAGTCTCTGCTTTCTTTCCAAGTTCCACAGGCATGTACCCCACTGTCTTATCATTTTTGTGTTGCTTTTCTAAGGGGCAGATTTGATAAGGGTCAGTTTGCTAAATTTTCCCTTGGTTCTAAGAAATCACCGACTCCCGGTGAGATAAGTCCGAGCTCTGCTTCCTTTGAGGACTTCCTTGTGCGTGGGTCCAATCTGTCGCAGGTTGATCATTGCATGCAGGTTCAGATAAAGGTTGAGACTGATCTGTTTTCCACACAGAAACTCGGCAGCGTTTGTTGAACTCTCCCACTGACGTTCCCTGGTAGCTGTTGGGAGTTAATTGAATATTCTTGTAGAGGTCTGTTCTGGGTTGTGTTCCTTGCTCTGCTGTCCTTCCTCCCAGTCTGTTGATAATTACGGCTCCTAGTGTGAACTCCATGGTTACCCTCCCTCTTCCCTTCATTTCCTCTTTTTCTTATGTATATCCTTAGTTCTTTATATCTCCACGTAAATTGTAGGAATAGCCTGGTAGGTTTTGTTTAAATAATGTTTTTTTGATCTTCGAATTTTGTTGGGATTTCATTGCATTTATAGATTAATCTGAAAAGATTTGTCATCTTAACAGTATTGAATCACATGGCCTCAGTCTCTGTGTCATTACGTATTTCAACAGTGTTTTTTAGTTTTCAGTGTACAGGTGTTAAGTCTATGAGATTTTCCTTGCAGCCAGGCAGGTGGTGGTGGCGCACACCTTTAATCCCAGCACTCAGGAGGCAGAGGTAGGTAGGTCTCTGAGTTCAAGGCCAGCCTGGCCTTCAGATCGAATTTCAGGACAGCCAGGCTACACAGAAAAATCCTGTCTCAAGAAAACAAAAAAAGAAAGAAAACTGTATTCAGTAGATAATAAAGCTATTGAAACTTTCTGTTTCTTCTTGAGCCTTCTTGGTAATGTGTTTTGTAATTAATTTGTTCAGTTATCTAAGTGATCTAATATATATTCATAGAGGTGTTCACAGTGTCTCTTCTCCTTTGTCAGTCTAGGTCCCTAGTGGTGTATCCTTCTCCTTTCCTGATGGCAGCCATTGCATCTGTCTTCCACTGGCTCTGCTTCTCCGTCCTCCCTCTCCTCCTCCTGCTCTTCCACTGGCTCTGCTTCTCCGTCCTCCCTCTCCTCCTCCTGTTCTTCCACTGGCTCTGCTTCTCCGTCCTCCCTCTCCTCCTCCTGCTCTTCCACTGGCTCTGCTTCTCAGTCCCCCCTCTCCTCCTCCTGCTCTACCACTGGCTCTGCTTCTCTGTCCTCCCTCCCTCCCCAGCTCCCCTTCCTCCTTCTGATCTCCTTTCTCTGACTTTCATGACCAACCTAGCGGGAAGCTTATTGGTTTTATTGAATTTTTTTTCTTTTTTGTTTTGTTTTCGATACAGGGTTTCTCTGGGTAGCCCTGGCTGGCCTGGAACTCAGGAATCCCCCTGCCTCTGCCCCCTGAGTGCTGGGTTTAAAAGCATGGGCCACCACCCAGCTTTGTTGATTTTTGTTTTTTGCTTGTTTGTTTTTCAAGACAGGGTTTACTGTGTAGCTTTGGTGCCTTTCCTGGATCTCGCTCTGTAGACCAGGCTGGCCTCAAACTCACAAAGATCCTCCTGCCTCTGCCTCCCAAGTGCTGGGATTAAAGGTGTGTACCACCACAGCCCGGCGATATTTTTCAAACAAGCACTTTTCTATGTTGATTTTTCTGTGACATGTCTTTGTCATACCATCAACTTAAGCTCTTTTCTTTATTGTTTCCTTTCCATTTACTAATTTGGGATTAAATTTTACTTTTTCTAGATTTATTGGCAGGAAGCTCAGATAATTTAATTTAGGCCTTAATTTGTTTCTGATACAAATATTCTGAGTTACAGACGCCCTTGCCACAGCTATAGTTATACCCCATGGGGTTTTAGACATTAACGCTTTCATTTATTTATTTTGCCATTTCTTTGATGGGCTTGATGAACTTAGGCTGTTGGTTTCTAAGTACTTATCTTACTTGTTTCTTGTTTCCGTATGTTATGATCTGAAAGAATATTTTGTGTGAATTTAGTCCTTTTAACTGTATTGAGGCTTTGGACCAAGTGTATAATCTTAGTGAATATCCCATATACACCTGAAAAGTAGGAACGTTGTGTTTCCGTTTGGTGGTGTGCCCTGTAAGCAGTTAGAGCAAGTTGATTCATGACAGAGTTCTAGCTTCCTTACTGATTTTGTCCCTTTTTTGGTGGTGGTGGCCGTGCTGGGGCTCACACCCGTGTGAGGTGTGGTGGTGGCCGTGCTGGGGCTCACACCCGTGTGAGGTGTGGTGGTGGCCGTGCTGGGGCACACACCCGTGTGAGGTGCACCCTTGGCCCTGGTGACTGCTGCCGTCCTTCACTCAGTAAGGAGCAGTCTCCCTCCAGATGTGCTGTGTGAGTCCCTTTGTGCCCGTTGCTTCATGTGCTTGAAAGTCATCATCAGTTTGGGATTTGGGGCCATCATCTTGTCAAGTAGCCAATATGAGATGTTCATGCCCAGAAATTGTTGTCAAATATTTTTATAAAATCACTTTTTTGAAGTATATTTTTCTGTATTGTAGCCTCTTTTATTTGTTTATTATTTATTTTAGGTGGGGGCCTCAATCTGTAGCCCTGGTTGGCCTTGAGCTCACAGAGATCCACATACCTCTGCCTAGTGCTGGGAGTAAAGGTGTGTGCCACCACATCCTGCCCGTGTAGCTTCTCTTGTTAACTATTACTGAGAAACCATAAAATATTACCCAAAATATTTAGGGCAAAGGCCATGTGCTCAGTATGCTGGTATTTTGACTGAATGTTTTATGATCGAACACACTCTCACACACAAAAGTGTTCACTTATTGGTAAATGCAGATCCTGAATAAGTGGCGAGGGGAAGGGCAGCCCGTGCTTTGAGGAGGGAAGGCACACAGGCAGTGAGAGCGGCTTCCTTTGCCCCTTGCATGCAGTCAGTCCTGTCCTCTTCATATTGATGTGCATACATTTTTAAGAAGATTAACTTTAAAACAAAAATGTACGTCTGAGTGTCTGTGTGGCTATGTACCCTTGAAGGCAGTGCCCATGGAGGCCAGAAGTGTAGAACTCTCTAGAGCTGGAGTTACAGGTGGTTATGAGCTGAGTGCTGGTATGGTGATTTGAATAGGAATGACCTCACAGACTCACATGTGAGTGCTTGGCCCATAGGGAGTGGCACTACTAGGGGGTGTGGCCTTGTTGGAATAGATATGGCCATGTTTGAGGAAGTGTGTCATGGAGGCGAGCTTTGAGGTCATATATGTTTAAGCTATGCCCAATGTGGCACAGAGTCTTCCTTCTGCTGCCTAAAGATGGAGATGTACAACTCCTAACTCCTTCTCCAGCACCATGTCTGCCTGCATACTACCCCGTTTCCCACCATGATGATAATGGACTAAATCTCTGAGCTGTAAGCCAGCCCCAGTTAAATGTTTTCCTTTGTAAGAGTTGCTGTGGTCATGGTGCCTCTTCACGGCAATAGAAACCCTAACTAAGACAGCTGGGGATCAACTTGAGTCCTCTGCAACAACAGCCCTGGGTCATCTCAACCCCTGAGCCATGGCCAGCCTGGGTTATGCATTTTAAAGTGGTGTTTGCATGAGTGAGACAGTCTCAGTGATTGGAGCCGGGTTCCTCCTGAAGCTTCTCCATCTTGGTCAAGAAATGAACTTGAGGGTGGCTTGGTAAGAGTCCTTGCCTGAGGGAGAATAAGTCAAGGAACAGTTGCGTGGGCTTTGCTCCCTGGGACAACGATCTGCTGTATATTTTGATTTGTGAAAGTCTGGCAGTGGGTTCTTCATAGCCTAAGAGCTTCCTGAATCCTCTCTATTGAGTTACCCTCCTACCGTGCAGGCCAATCCCACAATTCCTTCTGCAGACCCTGGTGTGTGTCCACAGTTGGCTCCCAAGGGACTGACTGGTTCTGAGCCTCTGCAGGAAACTCTTAAGTAAGGCATTTTTTTCTCACAACAAGAGTCATTTTTCTCCCTAAGGTAAAAATAAATGTCAAGTAAATCAGCAAGGCTGCCAGTTTACTAAAGTGACTACAAGATCATTTCAACTGAACTTAAACAAACACTGTGCTTGGCACGTTACCCATCAAAACTCCAAATAGCCTTCCTTATACAGTGTGGTTTTAGCTTTTTTCTTATGCCAGTTTTAAAAAAAAGAAAAAAAGGGGTTGGTTCAGGACTCCTGTGTTTAAAATTCCTGTGTGATGGAAAAACCTGGGTGGCATCTAGCATTCTAGCTGTGACAGATGCCTTTCTGAGTTCTGTGGCCAACTTCAGGTATGCAGTGAGCCTCATTGCAGTGCTAGTGAGTGCCAGCACTCAGAACAGAATGGTGGGGTAACTCACTCACAGCATCTCTGCTGGATCTCTGCAATTAAGAGATCTTAAGTTCCTCTGAGACCTCCTTGAACTGCACTTTTTAAAGCTGATAAGTATTCAGTGTCTCAGCAACCACATAAGCAGAACCAAGGGAGCCGCACCTTCACTTCATCCTAGGGAAGAGCACTGGGGTTAGTCCGTCCCTCCGTGAGAATGGCAGTTAAATGCGTGAAAGGCGCGGGGTGAAGTTGGGGTGTCTGGAGATGAAGACTCGGGTGCTGGCTTTTCTGAGGCTCAGGCACTCGTTGCTCACGCTCTCTCCCCCTCTCTCTACTAGGAATCTCAGCAAATGCTTGGAAGACTTATTCCAGAAAAGCAGATACTCAATGACCAATTAAAGCAAGTTCAGCAGAACAGTTTGCACAGTAGGTATCTCACTTACTTATATCTTTCTTTTGAGACAGGGTTTCACGATGTAGACCAGGGTTGCCTCAAAGCCAGCGCTCCGCCTGCCTTAGCTTCCTGAGTACTACAAGGTGTTTTTTTTTTTTAAGTTGACGACCTTTTCCTCAGTGCTGGCATTGATTAATCCTCCGGCTTCGTGCACGCCACACACTTGTTTTATCACTGAGTAGTTAGTGTTTGTCAGCTCCATCCCCTCCAGGGACATGAAGGGTGAACGTGTTCCTCACTGCCAGCTACAGTTCTGTCTTGTGTGCTCTTCTGAAACAGGAGATTCACTTCTAACCCTCAAAAGAGCCTTGGAGGCAAAAGAGCTGGCCCGGCAGCAGCTGCGAGAGCAGCTGGACGAGGTGGAGAGAGAGACCAGGTCAAAACTACAAGAGATCGATGTCTTCAACAACCAGCTGAAGGTGACTCGTGTGTGTGTGTGTGTGTGTGTGTGTGTGTGTGTGTGTGTGTGTGCATGCCCTACCCCGTGATGATGAGGTGGCGCTGAATCCCAGGCAGAAGGGTTTGTTGGGCTGGTCTGTGAGCAGTGGCTCAGGCCTTCCGGAAAGCGCATGCCATGGTGCCCCTAGTTGTCCTTACCTTCTTTGACGTCTATAAGTTAGGCCTGTGTGATTGGCCCTGCTCCACATTATAGTTTTATGAATTTCTTTCCTTTTGCCAGCTTATAACCACACCACCTGCAAGAGTATGGCCCAATGTGCTCTCTTTCGTGTGTTCAGATGCTTTTATGTAAGACTGAGATTTCTCTGCCATCCCTTTAATATCGTGAAGTGTAGACCTGTGTTGTCACCTTTCATTTTTAAATGCCTTTTAACTTCCTTGTCTCTTGGGGTCATTGCTGCTGTCTCTAGCATGGCTGTGGCTTTGTTACTGTGAAGTAACTCGGGGAAACACCACAAAAAACCTCTTTTTAGTGTGGTGTTCTATTGTCTTAATAGTGTAGACTCAAGTTGAGTGTGGTAGTATACGCCTTTAATCCCAGAACTCAGAGGCTGAGGCAGGTGGATATCTGTGAGTTCAAAGCCTGTCTAGTGTACAGAGTGAGTTTCAAGACAGCCAGAGCTACATAATGAGACCCTTTCTCGAAAAATAAAATAAAAAGTTAACTCAAAACCAGGCCAGAGCCGGGCGGTGGTGGCGCACGCCTTTAATCCCAGCACTCGGGAGGCAGAGGCCGGCGGATCTCTGTGAGTTCGAGGCCAGCCTTGGCTACCAAGTGAGTTCCAGGAAAGGCGCAAAGCTACACAGAGAAACCCTGTCTTGAAAAACCAAAAAAAAAAAAAAAAAAACCAGGACAGAAAAACTTGTTTGTTATAATAATTATTATATATTATTTTATGTTCTTATCAGAAATTAGATGTTATATTTCTCAAAAAAATTACTTGCTTTAGTTTTCTACCTTGAAATTCCTTATACTTTATTATGTATGGGCCATTTATTTTCTGATACTAAGAAATAAAATGCCTTGACTACTAAAAGAGAATTTTAAATTAGCATATTTGAGATTTTTTTTGTTACCCTCTGGATTGAGAGTCCATGCCAGATTGTCTAGACATCCAAGTTAAAATATTTGTGCAGTTCTTTCAGCGTTGGGTAACGAAAGTTCTCAATTGTACAATTCCAGGAAAGTGCTCACCCTTAGGGAGTACTGTTTAGCCAGCTTAGTGGTTTTCTTCACATTACTTTCGTGTTTAGCTTGTGTGTGTGTGTGTGTGTGTGTGTGTGTGTGTGTGTGTGTGTGTGTGTTCTGTATTTGAGCATATGAAAGTATGTGTGCCTTATCAGTATTGGAGGTGCATCTGTGAGTTCTCCATCCACATGTACAATAAGAATGCTCGCGTTTGCTCCTATTGTAAGTTTCCACTGTTTTAAGCAAGAATAATCTAACACTGAAGCAATTTGACAATGCTTTCAAGAAGTCCCTGGGTGTGTAAACCACTGAGCATTACTCAGCTTCTTCTGAACACAGAAAGGGCACAGTTGCCATAATGCTGATTACTTTTCTAGAAGTTTGACCTAAGACAAGTTTCAGATGTTAGGAATATGTTCTAGGCAGACTTGGACTAATGCTCAGATCTGTGGATTAAATGACGTTGACGATCACTGCTGTTGCCATTGATAAAGAGAACACCCTCAGAAGGGCTGAGTTGTCCTGTGACTAGTGTTTAACTGGTGATGCCTGTGGTGTCAGGGCTTCTCAGAGGCTAAGTTTAGCTTCCCCACACACTGGCTCTTTCCCAAATATGCTTGTTTTAAAATTATAACCTTTTTTCTGCCTTTTTAATTCTTACTTTGGCTTTTTATTAACTGTAAAGTTCATAAGGCAAATGAAAAACATAGCTGTGTTGTTTGTAGCTTAATATCCACTTGCAGGGTCAGGTGAAGGTGTTATATTGTCTGAGGTTTGTTGTTTCTAAAATTCCTCCTAAACCTGTAGGAACCAAAACAGAAATGTTGTTGAAGAACCAAAAGATTTGTAATTTTGTTGAGCCAACAAAGGGGCTGAGTTAGCATTTAGTTTCTTTGTGGCCTCCTGCTGTTCTTCTTTGTTTCCACAACACTGGAAGATACACAAAGCACTTTCCCTGACTTCAGAGCATGCATTCATTAGCAACCATAATTCCTTGTAGGGATTAGACCACAAGGAGCCTCGGCCTGAGTCTAGTGTTTCTTTGAGGCCCTCTCCATACAGCAGTGCTTCCGGAGCCTCTCCATCAACGGAGTGAGATTTACTTCTTCTTGTCCAGTCGGCCCACCTTCTTTTCCAGTCGGCCCACGCATCTAGCTGGCCGTGCATCTGCTGTATTCTCAACCTTCCTTTCTCAAAAGAAAGCCCGACAATAAATTAGGCTTTAGCAGGTTTAGTTCATGTTCGTGAAGTTTGTGCGTTCACTGGCGACATGAACCAGTTTACTGTCTGGGGTACTGAAAAGCTTTAAAGTGAGTTGCCTAGGACACCGAAGCCGTGTGAAGCAGTTGACTCACATGTGAGGATCTGCCTGTGGTTAGCTGCTTGCTTACCTTCACACGGACTCACACCTTGTTTGATTTTGTAGGCCCCAACAGGGGATCATCAGAGCCCAGTTTAGCACTGATTGTAAAGTGTAAGACAGCACATTTGTGGGTATAAATGTGTGTAGTTTTGTGGCGGAGAAGTAAAAACTAAGGATGTTGATTATTTTTCTTTTTATAAATAAATACCATAATCACATAATCTAATTTGTTCCTTCCTCTAGAATGTCTGCTTGAGATTCATTCTTCCTCTGAGGGCTTTTCCCATTTTCTTTATTTTAAGAAGAATTGTATATCTGTTCTCTCTATCTGATAAACAGTGTGGAAATTCTCAAGTCTTTAATAAAGAGAGAACAGTGTCTTGCTGTAGGCAGATTAGCAGGACTTTGTTTCATATTAGAACCAGAGTATCACAGAACTACGAAGCAATAGCTCAGTGACAGAGCATTTGCCTAGCATGCATGAGGCCATGGGTTCAATTCCCACTGCAAAATAAATGAAAAAATGGTGAATTAGCGTGCTTAGAATTATAGCACTGCTAGTGACTTCAGGGTTTGAGCACATGTCCTCAAATGCTCAACCTTTACACTTTCTTCTGCTCTCTTGGAGATGCAGGCTCCTCTGCTTTCCCATGCTTCTAGATAGATACCTTCAGTGTAGTGTTTCTATAGTCCAAAGACTATCCCGGGGTGGAGATGGCAGGTAGCCCGGCCGGGGGTAGTGTGAGCTGTGCCTCACCCTCTCTTCCCACAAAGGTTCCAAGATGGTCTTAGTTTTGCATCACCCCCAAGCCAGAGACTTTGCTTTTGTTTATAAAGGAGAGGGCAGGGCAGAAGTACAGTACCCTGACACCTAGGGACTGATTTGATTCCTGATTTGACGTGCCTAAAATTCAAGACTCAATAGATTTGATGGGAACTCTAAAAATCAGTCTCTGGATAGTTGATGGTCAGATGAACCATCTAGCCAGTACCCGACTACCCAGGGGCGGATTCAATAGCCAGTGTTGCTGCCATAAGTTACTTTCTCTCTCTCTCTCTCTCTCTCTCTCTCTCTCTCTCTCTCTCTCTCTCTCTCCTTCCTTTTTTTTTTTTTTTTTTTTTTTTTTTTTAGGAACTCACTATGTCGGTCCTCTGCTTCAGAAGTTCTGGGGTTAAAGGCATGTGCCATCATGCCCAGCTGCGTTACTACTACTTAATATCTTCATTCAGTATCCAAATTTATTTACCAGAAATTTCTGTTTATAAATGCGTCTTATATACAACAACCATCTCAAATTCATGCTCTTGAAACACCAGTTTTAAATTATTTAATCTGTAACTTCCTTGTTATACCTCGTTTTACAGGAAATCAAGTTTCAACTTGATTAGACAAGTCGTGTGTAGATGTAACCAACTGTCTTATTAAATAAGAAATACAGAACCAATGCAAAGAAGAAAGCCAAGAGATCAGAGCTAAGAGCCTTACCCTGCAGCTAGCCTCTTAAGCCAAGAGACCTCTCCGAAAGAGCTACTTCCTGTGTGTTTGTCTTTATATAGACTTTCTGTTCTGCCTTCTCATTGGTTGTAAACCCAAACACATGACTGCCTCGTCACTGCCTGTCTGTAGAGACTTCCAGGTCTTCTATGGTTGGGATTGAGATTAAAGGCGTGTGTCTCCAATGCTGGCTGTATGCTTGAACACACAGAGATTTACCTAGCTCTGTCTACCAAGTGCTGGGATTAAAGGCGTGCACCACCACTGCCACGCTCTTGCTTCTTTGCATTGGTTCTGTGTTTCTTATTTAATAAGACGGTTGGTTACATCTACAGTCGTGGTCTGAAGGGCATGTAGGGACATGCATATAATGACTGGGGTCTCTTTAACGTACAGTGCTTAGAGATAGCACTGTGAAGAAGCCAGCCTTTCTAGTACCTCCTTATCTGTGGCCATGTTGATAGTTACTGAAACAGCTTTCCTTAGCACGGACAGTCTAATTATATTCCAAATATCTTAACCATAATGTTTAGTGGTTAGTAGTTACTGCTCTTCCAAAGGACCTAGCACTCACATGTCGTCTCAAACCCCTCTGTAACCCCAGCTCCAGGAGATCCATTGTTCTCTTCTGGCCTCCATGGGCGCCAGGCATGCACATGATGTACAGACATACATGCAGGCACAGCACTCATGCACATAAAGTAAAATTATTTAAAAACCAAGGTGGACAGCTCTATAGGACTAACAACACCTAAGGTCAGACTCTGGCCCCACATGCACTTGTACCCACACATCTTCCTGACCTCACGTGCACACACTGCAAATAAGTAAATAAATAAGATGATGCATTCAGTTTCCTGAGCACCAGCCTAGTTTTCCCCTTTCCTTCTTACTCTTACATCACAGGAAACAGGGGGATTGTGCTGTTGCTGATGAGGTCTCGAAGTAGGATAAAATGTAAACCTTTCTGTGGTGTCTATGGCCTCTGATAAGGCCTCTGTGCCGAGTCGGTCATGGATTAGATGTCCTGTGTGTCCTCAGGACTCTGGAGTTTGATTTAGTGATCCTTCCACAGTTGGTCCTTTTGTGTGGGTGACACTTGACTTTAGCCAAGAATGCTTAGATGAGTTGATCTCCTCTGCTTGTCTTAGAAATACCAGCTCTAAATCGGCAACCAGATTATCCATTCATATTATTGGGGATTATTACTTTTCATTAAGAATTACTGTGGAAGCCACTGTGGCTGAGTTTTTGACATAGTGCTGTGAGGCTGTAACACCCCATGGTACTCCGGTGAGGAAGGAAATTAGAAATGGAATTCTTTCTCCCCTTGAGAGTTGACTTTTCCATCACAACTTCAGTCATAGTGGGGCGCCATCGTTACTTCCCAGTGGCCATTCTTGGATGCCTCTGTCCCTCCCTAGCTAAAGCCCTTGTCCTAGGTATCCTTATCCCAGCAGCTATATACCTAGGGCTGTTGTCTCCGGGGCTCACCCAAGCTGCATCAAGCCTAACTCTCCATGCTCGTCCTGCCCAGTTCTCCCCACAGATCCCCTTCCCTCCCATCCTCTCTCATAGCTCCCTGTCTACCACCCCATTTCCAGTTAAACCTTTTGTCTCATTGGTACCTCTCTTAGGAGGGACTGAGCCCACAGGCTTTGTGTACTCTGGGCAGATGCCACCAAACCACACCCCCATACTAGCGTGGTTTTTCATAGTTCTAGGTGCTCACACTTCTGATCTGAAGTGCTTTGTCACGTGATGTGGTTTTCAGTAGGCTGGTGGGACATTTTGGTTGTTTCTTGGGGATGCTATGCCACGAGGAAATCAGATCCTAAGAGATCACCATCAAATTGTAACTTTTCACTTTGAAAGTAGCTGCTGTTTTGGTGTGGGGCAGTTGACAGCTTCACACGTGGATCTTGTGAGGACAGAGGCTCTCTAATAGATGTGATTTGAAGAAAAATAGCCTCTGCAGTGTGTGTTGGGGGGTGAAGCCCTCAGAGCAGAGAGCCCTCAAATCCATGGACTCCAGTCTGTCATAAGAAGGAACTGAGGGTTTCTTGTTTTGTTTGTTTGTTTGTTTGTTTTGTTGTTGTTGCTGATTTTGGGTTTTCGAGACAGGGTTTCTCTGTGTGGCTGTCTGTCTGTCCTGGAGCTCACTCTGTAGACCAGGCTGGCCTGGAGAGATCCACCTGCCTCTGCCTTCTGAGTGCTGGAAATAAAGAATTTTTAACAGTGGTTGTGTGGGAAGTGTTGTGTGTGTTTTCAAAGCAAGGGAAATTTGGTATGGATTAGTTATCATAATAACTATAGTTTTATTCATAAATCAACCTATCATAAACTAGTTGCCCTCCAGTACTCTTGAGTCTTCTCCAGTCTAACTCCCATTGCCCTTCACAGGCGAAGTCCTTTAGGAGCAGATCCTGGCGGTGGGGGTGGGGGAAGGGTGGGAGTGTGGCTCAGTAGTACAGCATTGTCTAGTGTGTGCAAGGTCCCAGATTCAATCCCCAGCCCCACAGATAAGTAAATGTCGCGAGGAATGGCATGGTGCATTGTGGCCTGCTGGGATATAATCTGGGACAGTGACTGGTCACCAGTCATGTTAAAATGTAGTGATTTCAATTTCCAGGTGAACATTTGTCAACCCTGAAAAGTCATCTGCCCATGTCCAGGGCATTGCCACTGTGAAATGTTGCATGCCCGTCAACAGTTTGTGTGCATCTGCTTATGTCTTCCCTAAACTGTCCTGATCCCTCCTAGGAGCTAAGAGAAATACACAGCAAGCAGCAGCTGCAGAAACAGAAGTCCATTGAGGCAGAACGGCTGAGACAGAAAGAGCAGGAGCGGAAGAGCCTGGAGTTAGAAAAGCAAAAGGAAGAGGCTCAAAGGTGAGGCTTTCCCTGGGCTGCAGTCCTCTGGAGAAACCGGATTTGCTCTGCCGAGTCTCACTTCTCCAAGTGTGTGTGTGGGCAAGCAGACGCGCATATATAAGTCTGCATATGAAAGTGCCCCTGAAGTTTTTCCTCAGTTCCCAGTCATCTGCCATGTAGATAATGGAGGTAGACTAGGAAATTGGGACACTTGGTTAGCTCATTTGCATGCCAATGACCAAAATAGGTTTCCAGTTCACAGCCCTTTAATAACAGTGATAGTCAAAGTTGCATGGTTTGAAAGCAAAGCCCCTGAGCTTGCTCGCCACACAGCTTCTCCAGCAGGACTAGGATTGTACCTCCCAGGCTCCTTTCTTCTTTATTGCAACTGCAAATTAAACTGGAGTACAAAAGCCGAAGACTTGCCATCGCTGCTTAGGACACAAACATACTTTTGTCTGCTTCTGTTCAGATGTTTGTGCCTGTTGTCTAGTATTTTTCCAAGTAACATTCTGTAGTCATAGAAATTTTCTTGTTACCTTTTGGTGTCTCTGATTTTGTTCATGGGTATGTGCTATTTGAAATTCAGTTAATTTTAGAGTCCGGGAAGTGAGAATGACCACATGTCCCAGGGAGATGCTACGGATTATAAGAAACGGGTTATTGAAATTACTCTGAAAAGAGGGGGCACTAGACATCGTGGGGTGAGTCGGTGACGGTGGGTGACACTCCACAGGAGCCTCCGGGCCTGTTTGCGTTTGTACGCTTCTATTTTTAACGCCCGGGAACTCATTCCCGTTTATTAGACTGGACGTTTTTCTCTTTTGCTTTGCTCGGTTTTCCCTTTAGAGTGGGACTCGTTGTGTGTGTTGATGAACTCGAACTCAGCACCCCCCCCCCAACTTAACACTGTAGGATTGGGTTTTTTGTTTTGTTTTGTTTTTGTATGTGCGCACCTTGGGCATTCAAAGAGGTTTGTGTGACTGTGCATCTGTGGAGAGCAGAGAACCTCTTGCAAGAGTAGGTTCTCCTCCACCATATATGTTCTGCGGATCAAACTTAGGTTGTCAGATTGGATCAAGTGCCCTTATCAACTGAGTCATCTTCCTGGTCTCCAGTGTTGTTATAGTTGATACAATGCTTTAACTAGTGCAGCAACATGAAACTACGTTCCTACAGAGCGTAAATAAACTGAAAGTGTAATGTAGAAAACACCATCCTACAAATAGACTATGTACTGCACATTCTAACTAACTGTATGAGTAAATAGTACCCAAAACTTACCTTCATAAGTCTCTTCTTTTTTTACCCTCTAATAAATGTACTTTAATGCTTTGGCTGCAGGGGGGGGGGGGGGGACGACGACACACATTGAAACAGAGTTTCTCTGTGTAGCATGGCTGTCCTGCAACTCACTCTGTAGAGCAGGTGGGCCTGGAATTCACAGAGATTCTCCTGCTTCAGCCTCTATGTAGTACTGGGATTAAAGGCAAGCACCACCACACCTGGCCTTTTTGTGCTTTTTAAAAGACATTTTATGTATATTAGGTTTTTTGCCTGAGTGTATCTCTGTGCACTGTATATGTGCGGTGCTCTCAGAGGCCAGGAGAGGGCATTGGAACCTGTGGCTCTGAAGTCACAGGTGGTTGTAGCTATCATGTGACTGCTGGGAACCAAACCCAGGTCCTCTGCAAGAACAGCAAGCACTCTTAACCACTGAGCCATTGCTCCAGCCCCAGATGTCAGTTAATGTGTTTCACCTTCAGGTTTGGGAGCAACATGTATGCATGTCAATGTGGTGCCTTCTGCATGGGGGACTGTAAGACTCTCGTAGTTATGCGCTCACTTAAGCAGTGCCTGTTTGCAGTATGTTAGATGTCCAGTTTTCATCAAGTTTATGTTCATCTGGGTTCTGTAGCTTGGTTTTGGTCTTGGTTTTTGTGGTTTGATAACAGTTTCAGCATTGAGATATACTTCTTCTTGGTCTTATTTATAGCCACTTTATGAAATACATCACAGTTTTCTTCCTGTGTTTTTAAATCATGTGATTTCATTTTGCTCAAAGCCAGAGAAGTCATTCTGTGGATTCCATTGTGTGTGTGAAGAGCAGATTCCCTTGATATTCAGCAGCTCCCTGACCAGAGGGGCTTTTTGACGAAAAGCGGGGACAGGACTGTAGAATCAGGGTTGCTTCCTTGCTGTAATCAAGCGTCTCTGTTGGCAGACGAGTTCAGGAAAGGGACAAGCAATGGCTGGAGCACGCACAGCAGGAGGAGCATGCGAGGCCTCGAAAACCCCACGAGGAGGACAAACTGAAAAGGGAGGACAGCATCAGAAAGAAGGAGGGCGAAGAGAGAGCCAAACCGGAAGTGCAGGACAAGCTGAGTCGGCTTTTCCATCCCCACCAAGACGCAGCCAAGCCAGCTGTCCAGGCACCCTGGTCCAGCACAGGTATCGGAAGGGGCGGAGGCTGTGCAGTGGGGCTCTTGTGTGGTGCCCAGCTCTCTCAGAGTCACCTTGGTATGTCTGTTATGTACAGTAGACAGCGTCAGCTCCCCAGAGCCTCTGAGCAGGGTCTGTGCCTAATCGTGATCTTGAGTTCTGTTGTTTTGAGACAGGGGCTCACTGTGTAGACAGTCTGGCCTCAGACTCAAAGAGACCTGCCTGCCTCTGCCTCCTGAGTGCTGGGATTGAAGGCGGGTGCTACCACTCCCAGCTTGCTTATACTAATATCAATGAGATGTCTGTCTCTGAGTGGATACTGTAGCTCTTTACCACTCGGGTATGTTCAAATATGTTCAAGTCGCCTCACTCCACTGGTATCCAGGAACCCTCTGCAGACCTGAGCCAAGTGGCATGAATTCCATTATCAAACCCTATTAGTATGTATGTTACAAATGCTGAACTTGACCTATTTTGCAAAAAGTCACTTACTGTTTCTCTAGTTTGTTATTTTCCCCTGAAATTGCTAGGCTGTGTCAACTGGTTTTTGTCTACACTGGCTTTTGTGCCATTTGAAAGTGTGTCTGGTTTTTTTTTTTTTTTTTTTTTTTTGCTCTTTCAATACAATTTGCCTCTTTAAAAATTTAAATAAGTAGAAGGTTGACCTAAACTTGTTTAGGGAAAGTTAACTAATAAAAGCTATCCCTTAGATAATATCAGGTGAAAACTCAGATGTGTTTTCGAAATCCTTAGCCACCCACAGAAAGCAGCAAATACCTTGACACGTCTCATAAACCACGTGCTTGCTCCCTGACCCCACGGTGGGTGGGTGGGAGGGAGTGAGACTCAGTGCTGGGTTAGGAGCTGGCCCTGCCTAAGGTGCTCTGGCTGGAAGAAGGATCTGGAATGGGCATGGAGGAGGGTCCAAGGCAGAGTCAACTTACTTTCTGAGGTTTCTCTGTGGTCTAAAAAGGAATTCAAATTCCTTTAACCTCCGGGGCCAGTAAAGTTCCTGTGCCTCCTCTCAGTGTGAACTGAGGACAGTTTTTCTCCTTAGGTCACACAGATAATAATCTACCTCACTGCTTTTCAGCTAAGATGGGTGTCAAGTTACTTGTAGCTAGTGTGTAGAAAAATTCAGAGGGCTGTAATTAACTGTTAGCCAAAATCTGAGAGTGTCCTCTACCAGAATGCATTTGAGAATTTTTTCATTTGATTTAAAAATCTAAATTATCTTCATTATTCGTGACCCAGAAGTACAGAAGACTCAGTTCCCCAGGGTCATTAGGACATTATGTGGAGTTAGCACTTAGGGTTATGCGATCCTGTTAAGTGCCCCAGAGACCAACGTTTACCTCTGTTTATGTGGAAAGTTGTGTTTCTCTTCCTCTTCCCCTTCTCTAGCTGATCGGATCTGCTGTCATCCACCAGCAACGCCCTGGGTGGGGAGCAGAGCTTGTTGATGCTTTACAGATGCGCATTGCTAGAGCCAAGAGGCAGAGAAAGGCTCTCTGGCCTGCCTCGCCCACCACACTCAGTTCTGGGAACTTGTTTTTGGAGAACCCACTAATGAATTCTCAGTGTTCTTAGCTGCTCCTCTCAGATTCTGTTCTCCTTCAGCATTCAGTGTGTGTGTCAGAAATTCCTTGAATGGGTGGAAAGACTTCCAATAGCATGTCAGTGATTCCTGTAATGTGTCCCTCCTCTTCCTAAACAGAGAAAGGCCCGCTTACAATTTCTGCACAGGAGAACGTAAAAGTGGTGTATTACCGAGCGTTGTACCCCTTTGAATCCAGAAGTCACGACGAAATCACCATCCAGCCAGGAGATGTAGTCATGGTAAGAAAGATGGCCACCAGATGGCAAAAGATGGCAAAGATTGGCATCTGGCCCCTTTTTGCACTTTGTTGCACAATCAGGAAATCTCCAGTGAGTGTGAAATCCAAGGGTGCAGAGTCGAGGTCTTTGGAGCAGAAACTCAACGTTCCTTCCTTTGTCTCAGAATGGAAGTTTGTGTTCAAAGTGTGTCTTGACAGCACTTTAATGCAGGTGATAAGGATGGTGTGTGTATCGCACCCTTAGTGTGCGTTCAGTCCCGTGACTACCTGATTGTGTAGGCTAGACCACTACACACTATGAAGAGTCTTGAAGAAATAGTTGCAAATGCAGAATTCCTCCGCTCACAGCTGCTGCAAGTTACGGTTTGGTTTGGTTTTTTTAAGTGATGAATTAAATACAGAGAATGTGCATTACTCTTTGGAAAATTAACAAAAATGTTGAGTTTTACTTTGCTGCAGTTTGTGCTCCTGGCGTAAACGAACAACCCAATACAGTCTATATTGTAACGTTACAAGATCTAATTCTAAAAGGAGAATAAAGCACCGTGGTTGATCTGAATTATTTTCTAAATGACTTGAATTTCTTGATTCACTTACAAGTAACCGAAAGTTAAGAATTGAGACATATGTGTTTTTCATCCTAGGATATTAAACAGTGATCTGTGTTTCAATGAGGAACTATTGCGATAGTGGGGAGCCTCTAACAAATGACTCCTTTTCCCGGAGTTGGCCAGCTAACCCCAGTTTGATTCCATAAGTAGAACTTAGATGCGCTGTAAGGTGCACCATGTCATTAAACGTCTTTCACCTTGCTTTTAACCCTTTGCTTTCCTGGTGGAGGTTAAGAGGGAAAGGGTAAGTGCCTCCGTCAGGAAGTCTGCCTCTCGCTCATGTCTCGTTCTTTAAATCGCTTTACTTCTGTGTAAGTGAGCAGACCTTTGGATGTTGTGGCAGTGAAAACATGTTGGGATCTGTACCGTAGGGTTGTGCTGAAAAGAAAAAAGTGTAAATCGTGAGCATTTGTGTGCTGGATTCTGTTTGCTGGACTCAGTCTGCAGGTTCCATACTTGTCAAGGTTCTGCCTGGCGCTTAGATTAAACTTACAATTAAACATTTGAAACTTTTTCTCTTAAAAGAGAAGAGTCGAATGATTTCCTTTCTGGCTTACAAAACTATTTATTTATTTCCTTCCTTGCTTCCTCGACACGGGGTCTCCTGTAGCTCAGGCTGACCTCAAGCCATGCAGCCAAGGCTGGCCTTAAACTCTGGCTTGTCCTGCCTCTGCTCCCTCAAGGACCATGAGTGTGAAGACAGTAAGGCTGACGAGTTATTTGCCAATCTCGTGACATTGCGTAATTCAGGGCTCACTTATACTTCTGTCAGGATTGCAGCCATCAGGTTCTCAGATTCCTCAAAACGGCGTTGAAAAATAGCAGACTTGCACATCAGTCATCCATGTTTCCCCTTTGAATATGGGAAGTCTTGGTGGGGGAGGGGTCCTTTAAAATACTTTGCTTTGAGACTGATTTGCTCCCAAACTATGTTTTCATTGTTAACAATCGAACGCGCCATCTTGTGTGTTGTCCTATTCTGAAGGTTTGATCATATAAAGAAAATATAAGATGATGTCTGCCATTTGACTACTTAAATCCTTCTTGGAAAAGGCGTGAGGAACAGATGAACCCAGTCGGTGGTGTAGTTCTCCGTGACTGTCCAGTAGCCTAGCAACTTAAAGAAGAACGGAGTCGGTGTGAATGTTGTGCTCAGGGGCTCCTTTAACTGAGGCTGCTCATCAGCCCTGATGGCTGAGGCTTAGAGCATTAGCAATAATGGCCTTTTTTCTGATGTGGAGGTCGCCATTCCTGGGTGTGTGTGTGTGTATGTGTGTCTGTCTGTGTGAAGTTTGACGTCTGTTATGCGTTGCCCATACACCTGGACAAGCAATGAGAGGAGCTTTACTTGTTAAGATCTATCTGGGGATCGAGCACCGGCCGAACATCTGAATGCCGGGGCCAAGATGGGAGGGGCACCAGGTGTGTCAGAATAGCTCAAGGAATTTCAAAGTGGCTTAGTGTGTAAAGGAGCTTGCACATGAGCCTGAGCCCGACCTGTCTGGTCCCTGTCACCATGGCAAGGTGGAAAGAGAGCGTCCACCCTACAGCTGTCCTCCAGCTTGCACGTGCCCTCTTCACCCCACCCCCGTGTCCACCTCCACCTGCGTGCACGCTACAGACATAAGTACATTTCTTTTTTAATCACGGCCTTGCTTAGCCCCCAGACGGGATGGCAACTTTCAATCCGAATACACAGTGCAGAATTCTCTCTAGTCCTTTCACTGGGGACTCGGGAACCTATCATCTAGCCCCACCCCTTTGTCCTGTCAGAACTAATCCTAAGTCATTTCTAGAAAACCGTCCAAAGTCCAAGGGCTTCTGTCACAGTTACCAGCTACCTTGTCATTTTGTGCTGAAATCGCTCCCTGTCTCCTCGCCAGCACTGGGATTATAGGCATGTGCCACCACTCCTTGCTTTTACATGGAGTATAGGGACCCAAACTCAGATCCTCATGCCTGTGTGGCAAGAGTTTGCATTCTTTTTCTACTTGTGGAGAAAAACTTAATATAAAAAGCATTTTCTTCCACCTTCTTTAGCTCTCCAAAATGTTACCACCTGGGTTCAACTCCTTTCACAGTTGGTCTGAACGTCACTGAGAGACTGGTGTGCACATCCATTTACAGGCACGGGGCCAGATCTGACGAGTTAGGTGCTTCAGATAGTAACATAGCCAGCTTCGTGCATTCACACATCCTCCTGTGTGCCACCACAGCAGGCTTGCTTAGTTGTAGTAAAGGAAGAATTCCCTGGCCTCCAGGCTCCTGCTTTAGGAAAGACATTTGAGGGGCTGGAGAGATGGCTCAGTGGTTAAGAGCACAGTCTACTCTTCCAGAGGACCCAGGTTCAATTCCCAGCACCCACATTGCAACTCACAACTGTCTGTAACTCCAGTTCCAGGGGTCCTGATGCCTTCACACCAATGCACATAAAATGAATTTAAATAAATTATATAGAAAAAAAAAAGAAGAGACATTTAATATCCTTACACAAGCAGGCAAGATGCCCATGCACAAATTTAATAATAATAGTAGTAGAAATAGAACCACCATATGATCCAACTATACTATTCCTGGGCATATATATACAGGACTCTATCCTACTCCACAGAGATGCTTGGCTCATCCGTGTTCATTGTTATATTATTCATTGGGAGCCGTAGAATCAACCTAGATGTCCATTAGTTGATGAACGGACAATGAAAATGTGGGACATATGGACAGTGGAATTAGGAAGATTGTAGTTAAACAGATAGAACTAGGAAAAATTGTATTGAGTAAGGCAGCCCAGGAACAGGAGGTCAGATGCAGTGTGAACACTTGCATGGGTGGATCCTAGCTTGGAGCCTTTAGCTCTGTTTGACTTGGAGGAGCTGTAGAATCTAGGAAACTAGAGACAGATCACTGGGATCGAGGATGCCTTAGAGGAGGGGCCTAGCAGAATACAGGTGACATGAAAGTGTTGTCGGGGATAGGGTGCAGGGGGATGCTGGCAGTGGAGAGGTTAAATCAGGGATAGGGGTGGTAGGATGGAGAAGATCAGGGAAGGGGACAAGGGGCAGCATAGAGAGAGTTACCCAGATAAGGACGCATGGAAATCTACCGTTTGTAAGCCAAGGTTTAGGAAAATGTAAGTTAAGAGCTTGGAGAAATTGCTCAGTAGTTAAGAGCACTCCCTGCTCTTCCCAAAGACCCAAATTCAGTTCCCAGCAGCCATGACAGGCAACTCTTAACCACCTGTAACTCATCAGATCTACAAGGGATCTGATGTCCTCTTCTAGCCTCCAAGGACAAGTGTGCATGCGTGCCCACGTGCACATAGACACATTAATTTTTTTAAGTTAAAAAATTTAAGAGTTTGAAGGATGGTTGGATAATGTACCCCAGAGCAGGAGAGAGCAAGGAATGGACCCACAGTCCCTCTTCAAAGTCGTATCCCCAAAAATCTAACACTCTTTCACTGGGCCCCATCTCCTAACGGCTCTTCCACCTCTCAGTAGTGTCGTGCCGGTGAAGCCTTTGGCACACAGCCAGGAATGTCGTTCAGGACCCAAATGTAACAGCAGTGCTTCCTCTGGAATCAAGTTGGAAATGTAAGAAAAACCAAAGCTGCCTAGTGAAATGGTGGCTAGTGTGCAGGTAGCCGCTAGACTTCAGCTTTAACCAAATGGATTTAAATCTGAAGTGACCACTGTGCACATCCCGCCTTTACACCCAGCAGGTGAGATGTACAGTGAATAGTTAGTACTGTCGACTTGCTCTGAGCCCAGATCCCAGAAATGTAAGTAGAATCTAGGGGCTGCGCTTCAATTCCATGATGTGCTATCAGAATTATTCCGAAAGAAACTGGGATGAATGGGATAGACTTGGTTAGAAAAATTATATGAAGATTAAACTTATTTGTTAAATAGAACAAGAATCCCTCTTAAAAGCTACTATTGGGTGAGTGTGCTTTGTGAAAAGTCCAAGTCTTAGTCTGCCATGTTACCAAATTTATGTCCTTAACCTCTTTATCTGTTGTAGTCTTGTGTGTTTCCAAAATTGGCTTGACGTTTTGGGCAAAGTTTTCCAAATCCAAGAAGAAATATCTCTCGCTTTCATGTTGCCCCTTTTGTTTTGTTCCAAGTGGCTAAGTGTGAAGAATGAGTTCCTGCTCCCTCCTCCAGACCTTAACCGTAGTCATTAAACTAAGCCGATCCCATGAGATTACGTAAGTCACTGTCCTGAGACTACACACTGTTGTCGAGGGTAGTAAGTGAAGCCCGGGATGATTTCATCTTTCCCTTGGAGATGGGAGCTCTTGTTGGTGAAGGCGAATCTGAGCTCGGGGTCCCTCTAGCTCCTGAGGATGTTTAGAGGTGCACATGGTTTCTGCCCTTGCTAGTGGCAGACCAGGTGTGGTTTCGTAGCTGGGTGAGGGCTAGATCTTTTCTTAGGGTCAGACATTGCCTCTGGACTTCTGATCTCATTCTTTACATCCAACCAAGGCTCCTTAAACAGATGACGGTAGATCCTGCAGTTGGCATTTATGACGGTGAGAGTTCCAGACAGACAGAAATGAGATATCAAATGGGTCCCTATAGGAGATGATCTGGCAGGAGGTTAACCGGAGCCAGGGTTCGAGACAGGCTTCTGGAGCCGAGAACCAACCAAAGCTTGTTTTCAGTGAACTAGATCGAAACTAGGTTGCAGGACCAAAGTCCAGACATGAGAACATTGCATAAGGTCAGAGCTGGATTTCCAAAACTGTGTTGTTAAAGGTTTATCAGAAACACACACCTTTAATCCCTGCACCTGAGAGGCCGAAGCAGGCGGCTCTCTGAGTTCCGGGCTGGCCTGGTCTACAGAGGGAGTTCCAGGACAGCCAAGGCTGCACAGAGAAACTGTCTCCAAAGCAGAACAGACAACAAAGATGTGTCAGTTCTCAGAGCACTATGCTAACACGGACATGTTAGACAAAGAAACCGAGGCAGGCCTTGGAAGTTAAGCTTGCCCAGTGCATACAGTTAATAGCTACAGAACCTGTATTTAAAATGGAGGCAGTCTAAGTGCAGAGCCCTTTTCTCCACCATTACACTCAGCAGTCTTTTGTGTTCGATATAAACTCATCACTTGCTCCACCTGACATTTCCTTCAGTCCTGAGTTGGAGGTCGAAGAACCTGCCCAGGGAGTGCTGGTGTCCTCAGAAGCGGCTGTGTTTCCTATGGCCCACCAGTTGCAGTGTGGTCTGATGCTACCACTAAACACAAACCAGGAGGGCAGAGGAACCCTCATTTGAGTTCAGCCTCAAAGTAAATCCAACTAGAAGATCATAGTTATTACAAACCCTCCTGCAGAGAGGTGACTGGGGCTGCCCAGGAGAAGGGAAGACAAGGGAGCCAAGTGGGAAGTGTGTTTGTACCTGTGTGAATGCAAGCAGCAGTGATCATCTGGAAACCAGCGCCCTGGGAGATCCTGTCCAGGACTCAAGAGTCCTCCTTTCTGTGTGGAGAAAGAATTCTCAGCCTTAAGGAATTACTTTTTAAGCCAGGCAGTGGTGGCCACACCTTTAACCCCAGCACTCAGGAGGCAGAGGCAGGCGGATCTCTCTGAGTTCAAGGCCAGCCTGGTCTACAGAGTGAGTTCCAGGACAGCCAGGGCTACACAGAAACCCTGTCTCAGGAGGAAAAAAAAAATTATTCTTTGAGGCTAGAGAGATGACTCAACGGTTAAGATCACCTGCTGCCCACAGAGGACCCAGGTTTGGTTCAGGTTTGCTGTTTAGACCTACCCTATCCCTGTGGTTTCTGAAAAGTCACCTTAATGTCCAGTGAAGTGCCAGATGGCGTCAGCTCCGGGCCACTGTGCAGGGGTGAGAACAGGACTCACTGGACTCCGGTCCTCAGCCAGCTCTCTCATCAGGAGTGTGGTTGCCCTCCAGAGCCATCCCCACCACTCATAAGCTAGTGAGGAAACTGTCGGGGTGTGGAGGATGGCTTGGGCCATTTTGAATAGCTCTTTGGGGACAGAACTGAGGTTAAAGCATTCGGCATAGTAGACAGCCCCTCTGAAAATTTTAAACAAAAGGCTCTGTTCTCCGTGCGATTTCGTGGATCTTAAAATTTAGTTCATAAAAAGAAAATTATAGTCCCACGAAAGCTGATGACGGCCGTAAATAAGCACCTCTTCCCTTTCCTCATCTAGTGCCCGTGGAGCTCTGAAAAGGCTGAACACGTGGGTCAGCTTTGCTTCCCAGCCAAACCAGCTACGGCTGTTGTTTTTGTTTTTTATCCTCCTTGTCCTTATGCTTAAAAAAAAAAAAACAAAGCTTGGTTAGTGGAGTTTTTTAGGGATACTGACTTTATGTTGGTTGCACTCTTTGCTTGAAATAATAAACCCAAGTCAAATTATTTTTAATGATTACATGACTCCCTGAGTGATGAAGCCTGTCAGATCAATTCACAATTCAGAATGTCCAAGGGCCTGAGGTACTTTTACTCGGCTGTCCTTAGGAGCTGGAGGGGTGGGGAGCAGAATAAGAACATGCCTTGTCACTTTTCTGGACACTGAGACTTAGATGAAGACCGTCTGTGCTGTGTGTCAGTTATGGGCAGAGGCTTGGGGCTTTGTTGTGGTGGGATGATTAATGGGTCCAGAGTTGACGGCTGTCCATTTCAGTGAAACGCTGTGACTTCCCACAGGTGGACGAGAGCCAGACTGGAGAGCCAGGGTGGCTTGGCGGAGAATTAAAAGGAAAGACAGGATGGTTCCCTGCAAACTATGCGGAGAAGATTCCAGAAAATGAGGTGCCCACTCCAGCCAAACCAGTGACCGATCTGACATCTGCCCCTATCCCCAAACTGGCTCTTCGTGAGACCCCTGCTCCTTTGCCAGTGACCTCTTCCGAGCCCTCTACAGCCCCCAACAACTGGGCAGACTTCAGTTCCACGTACGTGTTAATATGCTGTCTTTGACAAGTTTGAAATCCAAACTCAGTCATCTTTCCTTCTTCTAGTTTGTAGAGTCTTGAGAAAGAAAGAAGGCACGTGTTCATGACCCCTTCCTCTGGCTAGCCTAAGGACAAGTTGGGGTCCTGGGCCTCCAAACTAGATTTAATGCCGTTGCCAAACAGTGGTGTACCAGGGTACAAAAGAAAGTCATCTGTGTTTTGTCCCATCATTCATCTGTGTCTTTCATTTTAGAGAAGAAACGGACAAATACAACTTCCTAATAATCCGTGCTGACATTTGTGTCAGTCAGCAAAATATTCAGTTGTTTCCTGCAGGCTGGGAAATGACACTGTTTTGTTAGCAAGGAACAAAAATTGCAGTCAGTCATGTGGTTTGGAATAAGACAGAAAGCGGTTTCTGTGGACCCTGGGATGTTGCTAACCTCGAGCAAATGTGCAGTATAGAGAAGGGGTACGTGCCCTGTCGTCAGAAAATGGCATTGGGCAAACAGCCTGTGAGCAGAGGTTTCTAATGAGAGAGGAGCCACTGCCTAGACCTCCTTTTGGAGGTCCGTGCCCTACATGTGCAGTTGTCCAAACGTATTTCTAACTAATGCAGCGAGAGTATGAGGAGGAAGGGCGTCAGACTTCTTTTCAAGTTGAATAACCGTTTAGAAGAGACAGCATGGACGGCAAGGGGCCAAGGCGTGTTTCTAGAGAACGATGGAGTGGAACAGCTGGGAAGAGAGCAAGCGGAGCAGTGGCCGAGGACAGAAGGAGCCGGGGGAGGAGGGTCGCAAGGTTTCCTCACACGTATTTTCACATAAAGGTGCTGAAGAGTGCCCTCCCTGTGGAACTTCTGCCTAAGAAACAGCCTTCTACTGGCCTAGACCAGACCAGCCTTACTTTTCTCGGTCTTGCTTGAAAAGCTCTTGACTTTCCAAAACGAAGCTCCAGTTAAGATATAGAATTGATACCATGGTTGTTTGTTGAGGCGGGGTCTCATATAGCACAGGCTAACCCCAGACTCATCACATGACCTTGAGCTTCTCCCAAGTGCTGGGATTACAGGTGTGCACTGCCACACTTACCGTGTGTGGGACTCTGTGTGTGCGAGGCAGGCTCTAGTCCCGGCCCTAATGTCTTGTTTTGTTTTTGTTGTTGGTTGGTGGCTTTGTTTCTTCTTCCTGTGAACCAGATCACTGCCCCTTCCTTAAGAACTCTGGTGTACCAGTCCTCCGATGTGCAGAAAAGCATCTTTCCAAACCAGAACATCAAGATGGACAGTCTCAGGAGGAGTTGCTTTGATTTTCAGATTTGCTTATAGGTCTTATAAAGATATAAACAGCATATTACATTCAGATCTATACTCAAAACAGATGAGCTTACCTGACAGTATAAAAATCACAAAATTGGGGCTGTCCTGAGATAGGACACCTAGCCTGCTAGGTAGGCCACTGTGGTCACCGTGGCCTCTGGGCATCTGACCGGGTGTTTGCTGTGGACACACGGGACTGACTCGGCTGCCAAGCTGTAGTGTCTCCGGGTGCAGCGCCCACTTCCTTCGTACTTAGCTGCTGCTGTCGTAGTAATTTTAGTACTTGTGAATGTTTCCTGCCTACTGATCCAGCGACCCTCACAACTTATCCAGAGTGTCAGGGTGTTCTAGAGAAGAGCTCAAGATGGAGAGAAAGAACAGTGTTCTAATCGGCCGGAGGGACACTGCTAGTGTATGTAGTGGAGTCAAACCTGAGCCCAGCTTCTTTCCCATCCTCTCTCTTCTCAACTAGAGAAGCCCACATAAATGTCGCAGATCTGTTACCTGGGGTGCCCTCTTTGTGTGGGTGTCCTGTAATGCCAGGCCACTAGAAAGTGCTGCTTCTGACGTGTGCTTTTCTTCTAGGTGGCCCGCCAGCACCGGTGAGAAACCAGAAACGGATAACTGGGACGCATGGGCAGCTCAGCCTTCTCTCACTGTGCCCAGCGCTGGCCAGTTAAGGCAGAGATCGGCCTTTACACCAGCCACAGCCACCGGCTCCTCCCCTTCTCCCGTCCTGGGCCAGGTAGGGCAGTCGGTGAGGGTATGAGGACTGAGTGTCATCTGCAGCTAGCGTGATTCCAGCAGCAGCTTAGCAGACTTCTGTTGTCAGTGCATTCAAAAGCAGTCTCCTCCTGTGAAGCTGGGTGGGCTGATGGAACCTAGTTCAGAACCTGAGACTTACTGTAATCCTCAGAGGTCAGAGGCCTTAAGCTGTCCTGCCTCTGTCTGAGAAGCTTCATTGAAAAAGTGGCATCAGAGCTTCAATGTTGATCGATTAAAAAGGTATCAAAACTGCCCTGGGGAGAGTCAGGTTGCACGTAAAGAAAATTCTGGGTCAGCCCACTTGGCTACCCTAGTGGTCCATACTGGAAAAGGTGACCAATTTCAGGCTAATGGGAGGGAAGCCCTGCTAAAGAACAGTATTTCTGAAAGCAAAGGGGTTGTTGTTGTGAACATTTCTCTCTAGGTTAATGAGGGGTTGTTACTGTGAGCATTTCTCTTTAGGTTAATGTAATCGTGATGAAGGAACGAAATTAATCAATCAAACAGCACATGCCCATCTGGGAGGCCCCAGGAGATCGTAGGGAGTTTCTGTTCAGGAAATGCTTAAAATGGAAGAGACGGCAGGCAGATCCAGGGGGGAGTGGTGTACAAGAAGATTGGAGCTGCCTAGCAGCCATGCTCACAGGGCACTTAATGTGAAAGCCTAGAGCCTCCTGAGTTCTGTGTCCAGAGCAGGGTCGGTGGCAGAGGGAAGGAAAGGAGCCAGCCGAGGAGGGAGAGAAGAATCTAGTGAGAGGAGCCAAGTGTGAGGTGGTGGGAGCGGGGCCTCCGGCTGGTGCAGCCCATGGCGGAACACGGTCTGGAAGGAGAAGGGGGGTGCGAGCTGTACTGGAGCAAGCATGATGCCCCAAGGGAAAGGAGGCCGCCGGGGACAGCAGACAGAGAAAGCAGCAAGCGCCCGAGAGCATGCTGCCGGGCGTGGGAAGGACGCCTGCCCAGCAGTCCTCTGCTTCTGCCCACACTCACACGGAAGCATGTCCTGCCGGTGCTCGGTGACCAAGGAGGTGCTGTGGGTGAGGCGTGAGTAAGAGCCGTGGGGGCGAGAGTGAGTTCTAGAACTCGGGGAAGGCTGAGGTGGTCATGTTTTCAGAGACTGCTTCGGGCCGAGAAGAGCCTATCATGGACAGTAGAGTCCATCTCTTGGTGACTGAAGGAAAGGTAAAATCATCCAGGGTGCAGGGAGGTGCGAGGAAGTGGAGCCATGAGAACTCTGGGTCTGTGAGGAGTGGAGCAGAGGACAGACACAGTGACGCTGTCAGTCAGTGAGAGTGAGGAGCAAGCTCTGGGGGCCTGTGGAGTGGAGCCGCTCAGTAGAGGCTAGGAACTGCCCAGGGAAGAACGCGGGCTCCCTGGCGGACGGAACTCACCGTTCTCTAGCAATAAGTACTGCCCAGCTCAGGACTCGGACTGTGGTACTGGAGCCACCTCACTGTTGTCAGTCACAGCAAGGCTCTGCACAGGTCTTTCTGAACGCTGTAACTGCCTTAGAGGAGTGCCATCTCCTTGGTACATACGGAAGCTGAGGCTTGGAGAAACCTACCCATTGCCTGAGTGTCACACAATCGAAAGTGGCAGACCTTGATTCAAGCCCGGGTCACAGTCTTGTCTGACCTCGGGCTGGTTCAGGAACCTAACATAGGGAAAGAGTGTCAGGGGAGACGTCCCAGACTTTTGTAAAGGCGCCGAGCCAACGGCTGCCCTTCCGTTCTGGCCTGGAAGTCCATGAGGTACTTGAGAGGATTAGCAAGGGGGAAGCACTGGATCCGTGAGCAGGGAGGGAAACGGGCTGGAGAACAGTGGTCTGGGGGCTTCCCTGTAGGGAGGGAAGAATCCACGCAGAGCAAGGGTTAGAGGTCACACACACACTCACGGAAGCTACTGAGCACATCCGAACACAGAACTAAAGATGGCTTTAGTCACGCTCCGGGCTCTGGGCCAACTCTCCTTGTGCATTAACTTTTGCTCCTTATCCATTTACGTGGATAACTGAGGTGGGACTTGTCTTATTTCTTTAAGTTATCGCAGTGATTTAAACAGATACTAAGTGCCTCCCCTGCCTTTGCAGCCTTGTCTCCTGCTCCACCCCTCCGTGAGCAGAGGCTGCCCACAGCCCCGGGTCCTGCTGCTTCTCCTGGACCCCTTGCAGCTCACTCCGCATGCCGCCTCGAGGCCTTGGCCTGGGCTGAGCCTCTGGCCTGGAGTGCCCTTCTGCAGCGCTAGCTCTCAGAACCCTGCTCATCCCTCAAGGCCCAGCTCTAATGCCGCTTCCCCTGTGAAATTGTCTCTGGTGCCCCGAGGCGGGCTCGGTCCTTCTTGCCTCTCTGACCCCGCAGTGAAGCACGAGAACGTCTGTGTAGTGTATTTCACTCCTCCAAATGACATGCTTAGCTGTTTCTATCTCTTCCTTGTACACTAAGTTCCTGACTAGAGGATATTCTTATTCCACTTTAAGGTTAATAAAATGTTTTGTCCAAACTATGTGCAGAGAGCAGAAGAGATGTTTTCTTCATCCTTCTAATCCCAGCTGTCTGGAATTATGGGAAATAAAACAAGCACAGTCCAGTGCATGGCCTGTTTGCATGTGTCCACCCAAACTGAAATACCGTTCGTCTCCTAAAATGTCTGCCCCATCACAGTGAAATACAAAAGACACAGAGCTTCTGCAGCTGAAGAAGCATGGCTGGGTGGGGGTCTTGTCTCCACGTCTGAAATGCACGGTTGCTGAGAAGCCACGAGGTGCCTGGCACTCGGGCGGGCGGAGGCGGTGTCCTTTGTGGCTGTGTGAGCACTGTGTGCACCTCTGTCTCGGTTGTGATCACGGGTCCTTTATGTCGTTCCACACAAGGGTGAAAAAGTGGAGGGGCTGCAGGCTCAAGCCCTCTATCCTTGGAGAGCCAAAAAAGACAACCACCTAAACTTTAACAAAAACGATGTCATCACCGTTCTGGAACAGCAAGACATGTGGTGGTTTGGAGAAGTTCAAGGTCACAAGGGGTGGTTCCCCAAGTCTTACGTGAAACTCATTTCAGGGCCCGTCAGGAAAGCTACAAGGTACTGTATTTATCTGCGTCTCTTTGATGCAAGCAGTATTGGATATTGTTGTTTGTGCCCGTTAGATTCATTGGTGGGAGCTGCGGGATAGCTGTCTCTTGAAAAGTTAGAATGTGTGTATGAAGGACAGAAAGGGAGCCTGTGTTCGTGAGCCATTGTTTTCCCCTGGCAGGGAAGCCTATGTTCATGTTCTGCATTGACTTCTCTAAGAATCCCTGAATTGTTTGGGAATTATGACTCTTTATGCTTAGTACCCAGTACAGTACCAAATACATGCAAATACTTAAGATCAAGGCATGTGGGAAAATAATTGGAAGAATGAATGAATGGCTTCTTCATTAGTGTCTGCATGTGGCATAGAACCCACAAGGTTGTTATTGATTATTCCAACATATGAGGATGTCCAAAACCAGCCGGGAGTTGTAAGAGGATACCACTAGCAGGAATACCCTGTGACATCTGCTAGTCAGCACTGAAAAGATTGGCATTGAGCTTATCTGTCCTGTGTAGTGAGGAGGAGAAGCAGCGGTGTGAGCTTGTGTGTCCTGTGTAGTGAATGGGGGAAGCATTGGTGTGAGCTTGTGTGTCCTGTGTAGTGAATGGGGGAAGCATTGGTGTGAGCTTGTGTGTCCTGTGTAGTGAATGGGGGAGGCATTGGTGTGAGCTTGTGTGTCCTGTGTAGTGAATGGGGGAGGCATTGGTGTGAGTTTGTGTGTCCTGTGTAGTGAATGGGGGAAGCATTGGTGTGAGCTTGTGTGTCCTGTGTAGTGAATGGGGGAAGCATTGGTGTGAGCTTGTGTGTCCTGTGTAGTGAATGGGAGCATTGGTGTGAGCTTGGTCGTTCATGCCTCTAGGGCCCTCACTGTGCCCTAACCCAGCTCTGGTGACTGCTGCAGCTGTGGTTTTTTTGTTGTTGTTTTGGTTTTTGGTTTTTGGTTTTGGTTTTGGTTTTTTTTTTTTTTTTTTTTTTTTTTTTTTTGGTTTTTTGAGACAGGGTTTCTCTGTGTAGCTTTGCGCCTTTCCTGGAACTCACTTGGTAGTCCAGGCTGGCCTCGAACTCACAGAGATCCGCCTGGCTCTGCCTCCCGAGTGCTGGGATTAAAGGCGTGCGCCACCACCGCCCGGCCTGGTTTTGGTTTTTTATTTAGCTTTCAAAGAATAAGTGTCAAGGTGTCATTTGGCATTCTCAGGTGAGAGTTAAACTGCTCTCTTCTTCCCTTCTTACAGCATCGATCCTGGCCCTTCTGAAAGTCCTGCTACCCTAAAGAGAGTGGTTTCTCCGGCAGCCAAGCCAGCCGCTCCTGGAGAAGGTGAGGACCGGGGTGTGTTGAGCTCTTGAGGAGGCTGAGCACATTATTCAGTGCAGACTGTAAATGATCACAGTGACTGGACTCACACTTAAATAGGCCGTCTGTTTCTTTCTGTTCCACCTCCTGAGGTAAAGCAGAGGCTGAACTCTTTATATAAACTACTTTCCGAAGTCCTTTCAAGATAGTGCTAGAGGTACTGGCCATCTAGAGCTGGAGTCTAATTCCTCTCCTGGCAGTGAGAGAAGCCCACTGCATTCACTAAGGATCCAGTTCCGAGCATAAGTCAGTCATGGCCTTGTGTCCCTATGTAGCCCTCTTGTCTGACTTACATGGATAATTGTATTGCTTTAAAACTGACTGCACAGCCACCGGGCGGTGGTGGCGCATGCCTTTAATCCCAGCACTCGGGAGGCAGAGCCAGGCGGATCTCTGTGAGTTCAAGGCCACCCTGGTCTCCACAGCGAGTTCCAGGAAAGGCGCAAAGCTACACAGAGAAACCCTGTCTCGAAAAAACAAAAAAAAAAACAAAAAAAAAACTGACTGCACAGTCCAGTGAAGCATTCAGAACACCGTGAGTGTCATGAGGACACCCCTGCTGAGGCAGAAGATCGCTTCTCTGTGCTCTGTGTGAGTGACCAAGCTAGATTATTTAGGCCTGAAATATTCATTTTCAATATTTATTACACAAATAATTACTGCTTTTTCTCCTCTGATCTTTGTTATATGACAGTCCTGGGTATTATATGCCAGGCTGTGGAAGGAGGTATTATTTAAACGTTTTAAAAATGACCCAAATGTACATAATAGAGGCCTCACTAGTCTTTTCCATTCTTCCTTACCGGGTGCTGGCCGACCGGGCCACCTGAGCTAAGCCTCTGCGTGGCTATGAGCAGATCTGTAGTTACAGCTGTCAACGGAGGTGTGTGGCGACTTTTCACAGGTGTCTGGAATACATTATGTGGTGACAGAGGGTTCTTCCTGCACTACAGTAAAATTGTTGCGTGCCTTAGAAACTTTGCCAATGGAAAGTCGAGTTCTTGGAATAATTGCTTCAGCAGAGGCAGCACAAATGAAGAGTCAAGCCAGTTCCGACTCCCAGGAACAGTAGACCATTCTTCAGAAGACTTTTAAATAATTGTTGTATAGTTTATAGACATAGTTATAAAACCTCATCACTGCTAAAAAAAATTCCAACGTTTTCCACATAACTATTATTATTTATTTTCATATGGATATATATTTATGATGTGAACTCCATTAGAATAATCATCTTTACACATTCACATTTTCTTAATAATTATTTTAGCACTATTAGAACAAGGCAAAAATCTCTTTTTCAATGTAATATGCCTTCAGTCTAATTAAAAGCAAATTTTACCTTTTCCCTGAAACAACAACAGCAAAAACTTCAGTGTCTTATGTGTCAACAGGTCTCCCTAGAGAGGGAGAATTCATATTCTGGCTCTCTCACAGTAATTACATGATTTCAGTCACGCCTCAACTTCATCTTTGAAGTGGGCATAATAACCACCCTTTTCCAAGGAACTTGTTACTAGGATTATGAGATAAAATGTGTAAAGCTTTTAGAATGAAGGCCAGTAAATGTCTGCTCCTGCCTGCTTGGCCTCGTGTGCTTGCTGCCTGGGAGAGGCACTTAGAGCATGATTGTTCTCATGGGACGGCAGTGTGGAAGGAACACGTACAGAGACAGCAACACTTGAGGTCTTAATAAATAGGTCACAGCTGACCCACACTCCCTCTGAACGTCAGGCAGCAGAATAGAGGCAGAGTCTGTTCTTAGGTGGTAGCTGTCTGTTTTGAAATGAGTTGGGCATTAGAAAAACCAGGAAAGATTGCTGATCTCATGGAAGGAGAGCTTGTAGGAGGATATTGGCATTAGAAATTCTGAGAAAGGCTATTTACAGATTAATGAGCCCCTTGTTAACAATACAATTAAACATCATCTAATTGAAACTATGAAGTCCCCTTAAATAGAGTATCCATTTGGATAGATCGAAGTAGTGGCTTGGGACTGGCCTGTGCCCCTCTCTTAAGTGTCTCCTGAAAGGGGAGCCTGCTGGGAGCCCTCTGAATTCTCTCATGGAGTCTGGCTTTCCCACAACCTTGTGCAGGGTGGGGCGAGGCATGAGGAACCTCTCAGTCCTTGCAGGCCCCTGACGTTTTGCAATACTGCACTCAGCTAGCGGTCCCATTTCTGAGTTTCCTGAACATTCTGATGGATACTCCAACATTTTAAATGGATTTAAAGAAGGTGATTTATATATTGAATAATCCAGGAAATGTGTAGAATGCCAAGACTCCTGTCAGAAATGGCTGGGTGGGGATGCGTGGTGAAAGGGAGCAGACATGAGCAGTCAGTGTCCAGAATACTGAGAAATCAAATGAGGATGAGAGTGAAAGGAGATGCCCTGCTAGAGCTTTGATGTCCGCCGGCGTGGTACTGTTTCCCAGTTTTAACTGTGGAGCTTCCTGTTACCAGCCTGCAGGACCAAAGACAGGGTCTTGTTTTCCCAAGGACATTTGGGTGACCTGTGTCAGCTGTGGGTCTAGCAGTCAGTGCTGGCTTCAGCATGGGTCACTAGTCACCTGCATTTGAGGGATACCCCTTGTGGTTAGGGATGTCCGTTTAGCTCAGACTTGAGGGCTTTGCTTCCCTTTACTTATTTCAGTTTTCATTAGGACAAAGCTCCTCATGTTCGTCCAGGGAGGCGCCGCTTGCAGCCATGCCTGATGGCCTGACTGTGATTCCCAAACCCAAAACCCTAACAGCATGGGAAAACTGACTCCTGCACCTTGTCATCTGACCTCCACACATGAGCCACATACAAAGTAAATGTCAAATTGTCCAAGGAGGTCTCTATGCAAAGTTCTGGTTGCTAGCCAGACTTACGCTCTGCTCTGAAAGGGTATTAGCGCATGTAAGATATGTTACAATGTAACAATAGAGTCTGCCCTGAGAGCCTCATGTAAGACACGTTACAATGTAACAATACAGTTGGTCCTGAGAGTAAGCCTTCTGAAAGGCTTGGTTTTTATTACTTTTTAAAAATGTATAAAAGCCTAGGACAAAGTGGATAAAACTTAGAAATAAGAAACATATACCTCCTCCTGTAAATATTCTGTATTAACGTCTGGGATTTTGTGTCCAGTGATCTTGACTATGACTTTGTTCTGAGCCTTGGGGTCAAATCAAAGCAAAGCAGACTTCTACTTAGAGTTAAGGGAGATGTTCCTGAGGAATGTGCACCTCTCCAACTGGAGAATACCAACTCTTAGTCCTTGAGACTAAATCACATGAGTAGTATTTCTAATAAGCTTGTTAGAGATGATTGGTTATTTTCTTGGGCTGGGGAGACGTGTTTGTCATCAATCCCTGTACCTGCTTGTGCAACTTGAGTGGCAAGCAGATGTCCAGCCATAACCAAAGGCCTACTGTTTGGCTCTTAAACAGCCCCCTACCATTTGTATACACGGTACTATATGTCTCAGGTGTTCACTCGGGCACTTAAATAGTGAAAGGTGTATCCTTTGATTGATAGAAAGTATGAACTGTATCTGAAAGTCTTCTAAAACTGCTACATGCTCCCTCAAAACTGAAATACAAATATTTGCATACCAAGAGCCTGCATGCGAACACATCCTACCCTGTACATAGCACAAAGTAGACACTCACTCGATGTTAACTAAAGCTGAAGGTGGAAGCGTTTTTTTTTTGTTTTTGTTTTTTTCATTTAAAGAGGTGATGTATGTAAAGCAACCCTAGATCGTTGTTGATGTTCCGTCAGGAGATGTACGGAGCATTTGCTCTGTGTCCCCGTGGCTGGACCCCCACAGCTGCCCCTCTCTGCATGCACCTCATCTCTGTGTGCAGTGGTGAACGTGGAACCCAGGAATGGCGCGGCCCTGGGTTTTGACCTGTGGCGAGTGTCTCTTGGATGGATCTCACCCTGACTTCCTGAATCATAAACTTGCCTTTGCAAAGCTGTCTGGGATGTCTTTAAACAATCAAGCTCTCTCCGTATCTCAATATTTCTCCAGAATTTATTGCCATGTACACTTACGAGAGTTCTGAGCAAGGAGATTTAACCTTTCAGCAAGGGGATGTGATTTTGGTTACCAAGAAAGATGGTGACTGGTGGACAGGAACGGTGGGCGACAAGTCCGGAGTCTTCCCTTCTAACTATGTGAGGCTTAAAGATTCAGAGGTAAACCCACATTAACTGTTTCCTCTCCCTCTCTGTGTGTGGTGGTTCTCTCGGCGGGGGTTGGTGTTTGCCAGCGGAACCCTGTGTTGGGTTCTGCTGAGTTCTGGATTGCAATGGTAACTGACGTGTCTGACCATGTCCTTTGGTACTGTGGGGCAAGCTTGGGCTTCCTCCGTGCAGAACTCTGAGATTAGGCGGAGGCTGCACTGGGGGCTCTCATCTCTCTCCAGTGGTCAGTGTGGAACGTATTCCTGTATGTAACCAATTTATGATTCTGAGTACACTGGCTTCACTAGTTCTTCTTGGCCATCGGTTCTTTGCCTGTGTGAATGAAGGCGTTCTGGTTCACATCTGTTTTTTGCCTCACAGTATAAAGACATTAAGTTCCAAGAGGTTGGTATGTTTTGGGCATTGCCACTATCCTTATAGCGCGAAATGACTCCTTCGATATCTGATTGCGTAGGATGTGGTCTTGAGTCGGTGCAGACTTCATGAAATGGTTGGGGTTGGAGCGTTTTAGAGTGGCCAAGTTCAAGTCAAGGGAGTTTCGTGGTATAATATAGCCATTTAACAGACCCTAGGAACAAGCCGACAGGAATGAACCTTAGTGTTTTTAAGGACAGTAAATCCATAGTTGTTTTCTTCCCTCACATTGCCTAGGCCCAGGGAGAGAAGAGCTGGCAGGAGCTGTAGAGCTGCGTCACTGAGACAGTGAATGGACAAGGCGCTCACTGGCCCTTACTGCCAGACAGTGCACATGGGCTCCCTCTGTGGGCCCTTGTGTCCCTAGTGGCTGTGGTGAGCATGGGCCTTGTCACTTGCTGCTGTACATTTGCCATTGACCTTCTCCCCCCAGGAATGACTCTGTGTGCTTTAAAAAATCTGAGTTACTACTGTTCAGGGGAGATTTATGCTTGCTGTGGTATTGAGAGCAGCTTGCTAAATTCTGGGTGTTTGTGTAAGTCTGCCCACCCTTACAGAACTTGGCAGAAAAAAGCTGGGAAGAAATCATTTTCCCTTGTAAGACAGCTGGCCTGTTGGACTCCATAAACCTAGAAAGGGAAAGTCCAACCCTTCTCTGGGCCAGCAAGTTGGCCTTAGATTATGCAGATGACATTTCAGGGGTTCAGTTCCTGCCATCAGACACGAAAACTCTTAAAGTGGGGTCACTTTTGGAACAGGTAAAATCCAAAACCATTGGTTTACATCTAAACTTTTTAAAAATTTTATTCATTGAAATTTCGCCTAAGTTTTCTGTGTGTGTGTTTATATATGTGTTTTATATATATATATATAGAAAGAGAGAGACAGAGAGACAGAGACAGGGAGATAGCTTTGATACATTTTTAAGTAACATAATAAAATAAGCTGTTATACTGAAAATGTAAAAGCTATTTCTAACACAATATTTTAATAAATTACACCTTTCTATCTGAAAGCATCTGAAGCCCTTCAGCATGAACAACATGTGCTGGCCTTAAAAGGCCAACTGAATCCCAGCACTTGGGAGGCAGAGCCAGGCGGATCTCTGTGAGTTCGAGGCCAGCCTGGGCTACCAAGTGAGTTCCAGGAAAAGGCGCAAAACTACACAGAGAAACCCTGTCTCAAAAAAAAAAATCCAAAAAAAAAAAAAAAAAAAAAGGCCAACTGACCTGTGGGGTGTTTTCTTCCCATCATCTTGAGTTATTTAATTATTGGCTATGGAATAACTATCAGTTAAGATTTTTAAATCAAATGTCTTCAAATGACAATAAAAATACAAAGTTCAGTGTGAGAGCAAAGCTTCCTACAAACTTAAAGGAAACAGTACACTCTGGTGGCGACACCAGGCTGGACCCATGGGGCTGAGGAGCTGCCCTTCCGTCCCCCGCGGCCTGCAGCTTCTCAGGGGGAGCCCGCTGGAGCCACCTGACCTGTGGCCGCCCCGTGTCAGCCGCTCCCCTCTGTGTGGAACATGGGGTTACTACAGGCCCATGTACAGGAAGTAGCTACACTCTCTCTTTTCACTGCTGTCTCATTTGATAGTCAGCCAAAAAAATAGCAAGAAAATTGATAGTTTATAATTGTGCTCATTAATTAAAGCTCATTAATTAGAGTCAAATTTATTTCAAGCCTCTCCTCTTCAGTGGTCATTCGATTTCAGGGACTAGAAATACAGCAGCAGTGATGAACTGTGTTCTTCATAGACATAATGCACATTTTTATCTTTACAGTGACCGACTTGGTTTATTAAACCCTTCACTTTATTCCATTGAAATGCTTAATTTACTACAAGGGTAGGCACTCAAGGGGGAGCATTAAGTGACAATAGAGCACTTTGTCACACAGGCTGCATTCTGGCCCCTGTCCTGGCTCTCATGGTCTCTGCTGGCTGACTCAGCTGGTTAAAGTTCCATGGCTATCCGGGAGGAATTCAACCCCGCAGTGTTTCTGGAACACTCAGTAGTTGGAAGAAAACATGGTTTGCTTTACGATTGTGCTTCCAGCATAGAGAGAGAAATGTCAGTGCTCAGACAGTGTGAAATTGGATAGAGAGAAGTGAGGGGGAAGGGTGGAATCCATCCCCCCCCCCCCCATGCGGGTTCCGTCTTAAAGAAAATTCTAGTGTAAATATATAGAGTGAGATATCTGGGTGGTAGACTCAGGTGTCTGTTGTAGCCTCTGGGCTTTAACTATGAACTGTTTCCTGGCTAGCCATGAGGCGGTAGAGCGAGCTGAGAGGGGACGGTAGTCCCACCGTCATGGGGCCTTCTGTTGGATTTGCCCAGATCCAGGATGTGCCTGGGCCGCGTGTAGCCGGACCCCGAGCCTCCTGGCTTGCAGGACCACCCATTTGCTCTCTCCCAGAGTAAAGGCCGCCTGTTTGAGGGTGCCTGTTTCCACCCGTTACCCTGATACACTGTCAGATGTTTTTCCGTGTTTCCCAAGAATGAAATGAGGGATTTAGGTGCTCTGGCGGGTTTGCATTGTTAATCATTTTTTTTAAGTTGTACGGTCGACTCTTCAGCATGCAAATGAGACCTTCTGCTCTGTTTTAAGGGCTCTGGAACTGCTGGGAAAGCAGGGAGCTTAGGAAAAAAACCCGGTAAGTTACAGCCCCCGATGCCTGTTTCAGTGTGAATGAGTGCGCTTGATAGTGTTCCCAACCTTGGTTTATTACAGCCAGAAATCTAAAGTAGAGGCAGAGGAGTCTTCCCTGATGGTGCGTGGGTAGACCCTTCCCTGTTAATGAAGTGTACATGGCTGTGAAGTGTGGCTGTTGCTGAAATGTGGGCAGTGGAGACTTTCCCAGGCAGGATGGTGGGAAGTTGAAGTGTAGGGAGCCGTCAGACTGCAGGGTCAGCCGCTCTGGGGGCATCAAACTTTCCAAACTTACTGAGTTTGGAAAGCCCTTGCTGGTTCCTGTGGCACATGCAGCCCCAGTGGTACCACCAGTGGCAATCAGAGTGGCAGCAGACATTGTCCCATGATGGGTTTCATTAACTTAGAATCAGGTGGTTCTCCCCAGGCAAACACTGAAGGTACAAAATGATAGTCGGGCCTCAGAAGCCAAATTTTTAGTGTATTTAAGCAAAACCCCATGTTCTATTAATAGTGGGATGAAGGAGGAGGAGGCAGCTGTGAAAGGACCGGGTTGGTGTGGCCCTGCTTCCCGGCCAAGGTCGCTGGTGTTATTTTGCTGTCAAATCCTTAGGAAATTATAGGTCTGAACGTGTACTAGTGTGCTGGAGGGGCTGCGTGCTCAGCTCCCGTGCATGTAGCCAGGGAAAGGGGATTTTAGTCAGAGCACACGGCGGGATCTGAATCAACATTTGTCATTCCAGAGGGTCCAGATAGTGCTGGGGTGGGCCTCACTTTACCCTGGAACTAGCAAGCTGCTCGGGGACAGGGCCTCTTCAGAATGCTAGGGCAGATTGCCGGCCCGTATGCCAGGGCCTTTGAGGAGCAGAAGAGGCTGAAGCCAAATAGGACACTGATTGGGACCGTCTCCAAACCAAAAACTTGGAATCTAGAACTTGTCCTTGGCATGCCAGAGGAGTGGCCCCTTCCCCACAGATCCCCTGCTCAAGCTCTCGGTCGCAGCCAGACTAGCTGTGAGCTGGGCACCAAGCCTTTGCCTTCCTGGGTTTTCTGAAGCACCAAGCAGGCCCCTCCTGTCATGTGGCCAGCCTCCGACTGCAGGGCAGAGTAATGGGGCTTGTTGAGGGGGAGGGTCTTAATCCCCCCTGGACGCAGCAGGACAGTAGGACACGTCAGAACTTGGGGCCTCCCCACCCCCTTCCCTCTGTCTTTCTGTCCTCCACACTTCTTTCTTGCCATCCTTCTTCCTTCCTTTCTGCTCTGCAGGTTCACTGAGCTGGGCGAGTGTAGAGGAGTAAACCGTTTGCTCTGGATGGCTTCAGAGTTCGGGCAGCTGCAGCCTCAGGGGCACCAGAGTCTTTAAGACTCAGGAAAGCTATAGAACTGTTGACATTTTTTGTTTCTATACTGAATTATTCTTTTCTATTCTCATAACTCTATGTTCCTCCTGTAACTTGGAATAAAAGGAAGTTAAGCTCATGGTTCCGTGATTTCAAACCAGAAACTCATGGGTCGCTTCTAGAATATGAGCCATGGCTGATTTGACTGTGTTGATGGGGGTGACAGACAGTCCTAAGCCGTGTGTACGTGAGCTGCAGCCAGGCTCCCGTGGGTTTCTGAGAAAAATCGAATTTCTCCTGTTAGTATCCAGGCAGAGGGAAGCATCCTCAGATTCACAGAGCTGGAGGAGCAGGGACCTGCTGGCCCTTCATCGGGGTCCATAGTAACTATGGGAGACTCTTTGACAGGAAGCAGAGAACAGGCAGGATGGGACTTCATGGCAGGAAGCTGCTGAGTCATGAGACAGTGAGGAGCCCAAAGAAGGCTGAGCTGAGTGGAAAGGCCAAACCCAGGTGTCCGGATTCAGAGCCCCACCCCCCAGAGTAGGAACCAGCCAGTATGCTGATTCCCATGGTGTTGCTCTCCGATCCTGGGAAACTGCTGTGTATTCTTCGAAATTCCTTCTCTGCACTCAACGGTGCACTACAACATTTGATCTTGTTTTTCAGAAATTGCCCAGGTTATTGCTTCCTACGTCGCTACTGGTCCTGAACAACTCACCCTGGCTCCCGGTCAGCTGATTTTGATCCGAAAAAAGAACCCAGGTGGATGGTGGGAAGGAGAACTGCAAGTTAGTGTCCCTGTTTATTTGAAATTCTGTCTAAGTGGAAATGTGCAAAGTCTCGAACAGTATTTCACTGCAAAATGCGAAGAGCCCTCGTAGTCTGAACCCTGCACCTGTCAAGGGACTCCTGTGTCTTATGTGTTTGGTTCTGAGAGCCGGGAGATCCTCTGAACTGCATCCCATGTTCAGATTGTGAGTGCAGGGGACAGTGAGAATTTGCTGAGTGAGATCTGGATCTGCATAGAGACCTCTTCATGTGTCCTGGCCTGGCACACGGAAGTAGAGTTTCCTTAGAAGTGTTTCAACGTGTGCTAACATGGCTGGTGTTTTCTGTGTGGATCACATCTGTTCACCATGCTGTTTTCAGTTCCGGTGTGTATTGAAATCACGTCACTCATTTCACCATACCAGATCCCTCCCCAAGATATTGTAGGACTGTTACTGTGTATCGTCATGGTAGAGAGTTAGGACGGTCATAGGATACCACACCTAAGGGGATCTTTATGTGAGGACAAGAGAACGTGTGTGGTGTTTAGTGGCTCCACATAATGCTCATTATTTGCAAGCATACAATGATAGCACCGTTGAGAACTGGGGTGCTGCCTAGTCAGCTGATTAAAATGGCCATCACTAGTGGGGACAAATGGATGTGATTCCTGCAAACACGCTACCTAGTAAGGTCGCAGCATCTGTACTGTGTCGACAGAATTGCAAATGTAAGATAAATACAGAATGAGGAATATTTGGCTAAAGTAGAACAGGGAAGGACTACACACTTCAAAAACACCAATGACTAAACCTGTAGATCCCAGCACTCGGGAGGCAGAGCCAGGTGGATCTCTATGAGTTCGAGGCCAGCCTGGTCTCCAAAGCAAGTTCCAGGAAAGGCGCAAACCTGCACAGAGAAACCCTGTCTCAAAAAACCAAAAAAAAAAAAAAAAAAAAAAAAAAAAAAAGGGAGTTAAAGAGACAGTGACAATATCAGAGTCTCACCTGGACTCTATGAAAGGAAAATCTGTGGCAGAAGAAGAAGGATGCAGAGGCCATGTTAGATCAGATGTCTACAGCATTGTCAACTTTACTAAAGCATAGTTATTCTAGAGTTCAGTTGTTTATACTGTGGTTTGTTTTTTAACACATGCCTAATGAAATATGTGGGTTCAAGAACCATGGTTTGGGGACTAGAGAGATGATTCAGTGATTAGGACCTGAACTAGGTTTCCAGTACCCACATCAGGCAGCTAACAGCCTGGAACTGGCTCCAGGGGATCTGATGACCCCTTCTGGCCTCTTTGGGTACACACACACACACACACACACACACACACACACACACACACACACACAGAGTAGATTTTTTTAGAGAGCTATGTATGATGTGAGAGCCTGGTAACCAAGTGGTTCCTGAAACAATCAGGGGTTAAGTGTGCTCCGACATTACTAGAGAAGATGAAACTTGACTTCCCTTGTGTTTTGGAATCTTTGGGGCTCCTGAAGCCAGCCATACATGCATGTCCGCACCTAGGAGCAGCTATACCTAAGAGGCCGGCCCGCTGGCTCTTGCACAGGAAATGCCTCGCTCCTGCCTGCCATCTTTTCCTCACTCAGTGCACACCAGTCTGCAGGCTCCACCTGGCTTCGCTCCACTGCCCCCCCCTCATGAAGGGGAGCGTGGGCCATGTCTCACCACATAGGCATTCCTTAGTGGCCTGCCAAAGGGCTGAGTTCCCAGCAGCTGTCTGGTTTTGTATACAAGGGACGCATACAGTGTTTCTCCATTAGAGTCTAGCATTTGGGGCCTGCTGCGTAACACAGGACGTCTCCGCTTGTGAACTGGTCACTTGCAGCTGCCCCTTTGTGAGAACCCGGTGTCCCTATAGAATGAGCCCTCGTTAACTGTGCCACCAGGCCGTGCCCGCAGCCTGCTTATCACGTTACCCCCCCGGTTTCCATGTGGCTCTGAGCAGGATGGTGTGACAGACAGATAAGTCTGAGACGGAAGGGGAGGTGTCGGCCGTGGAGTGCGGAGGGCTGGGTGGGGTGGTCAGAGCAGAGGGAGACTCCTTGGGAGGAAGAAGGGCTGGCTGCAGCTCCCCAGCCATGCATGGCTCTCACAGCTGTGTCCAGGCCATCCCGAGGGAGGAGGGAGGACCCACGCTGTGGTGCGATGGACATCCGGGGAAAGAAATGCTCTTGGCCAGAAGAAGAGCCGCAGTCTATGGTGTAACTGATGATACAGACTTACATAGGGAACTGCTGGTGGGCGGCCGAAAGAGCCCTGTCCGGAGGTACCGGCCGGCCGGCACAGCACCCTTGTTGAGACTCCAACCCCAGGTCCCAGGAGTCCATTCTGCTTTATATGTGTGAGGAGTGGGGAACTGAAGTGTTTCTTTCTTTCTCATTTTAGACATGGTCTCACTATGTAGCCTTGCCTGGCCTGGAGCTCACTGTATAGACTAGGTCGGCCTCAAAGTCACAACATCTGCCAGCCTGTGCCTCCCAAGTGCTGGAATTAAAGGCGTGCACCACCACTCCGGGCCTCAGCTAATTTCTGAGGCAGGGTCTCACTGTGTAGTCCAGGCTGGACTCAGACTTGCAAGTCTCCTGTTCCTGCCTTGAATGCTAGGGTTGCAGGCTTGTGCCAGCAGTCCTGACTCCCATTCTGCTTTGGATGTGGCCATGATAGATGTGGAGAAGGTACGCAGTCCAGCCGTCCCCGGCCACCTGTGTCTTGACTGCCACTGGCCTTCTGGTCCAGGTGTCCCTCTCCCGTTGGAACATTTTCATGGCTCCTGTCACCTTTCTCCATCATTCCTCTGAGGGCCCTATAGGGGACCGGCCCCACACTTACTTACCCCAGGGACTCTTGAGGAATGAGAGATAAGATACTTAGTTAGAAATAGAGAGGAGAGAAACAGAGAGAAAACACAGGATGGACTCGTGGGCCTGGATCCTTATCCGCCGAAACTGAACCTAGGTCTTCTAGAAGGGCCAGTGCTCTGAACCCTGAGCTATCTCCCCAGCCCTAGGTCTTCTAGAAGGGCCAGTGCTCTGAACCCTGAGCTATCTCCCCAGCCCTCAGTCTTCTGTCCCAGCCACACCACAGAATATCCTGAATGCGGGCTCTACACAATGCAGCCCTTTCGAAACATTCCAGGCTGTGCGGACCAATGGCCGCTGCACTTGGAATGGAAGAGTTTGATGTCTGCGACAGTTACTGCCCTTTGTAACTGTCGTCTCCGTTCAGCGGGATGACACAGTGCCCTGGTACAAGGCAAACTGTGTGAGAAAGATGGGCTTTAATCTTTATAAAACGTGACCATTTTCTCCTTAGGCTCGAGGGAAGAAGCGCCAGATAGGCTGGTTCCCAGCAAATTATGTCAAACTTCTAAGCCCTGGAGCAAGCAAAAGCACCCCAACCGAGCTCCCCAAGTCTGCGGCGCTGCCTGCAGGTAAGGTGCTCGCGGGTTGCCGCGCTTCCGCACAGGTTTCCACCCAGTGTCTCGTGTGGTTGTCGTGTGTGCTCAGCACTTGTGTTTGCTGGCTGTGGCCACAGCTAGTGTGACAGGGAGCGTGGTTTCCAGATCCCCAAACATCTCAGTAGCCTTTCTGTGCCGGGCACTAGTGGGCTCTTGGAGGAGTTGGGAACACCGTGGCATTAAAGCCAGATTTTTCTCTTGATTTCCTTCCAGCTATTTACACTGGGATTTGGGCCATTGGATGAGACAACAGAAAGGGCCCCTAAAATAAACTGTTGGGGCCTTGATAAGTCAAGAGGTGGAGCTGAAGCCATGGGGTCTGATGGTCATAATGTAGTGCTGCACAAGGCCGAAAGAGCTTCCTTGTGGCGTTTGCTGGGGAGCGAGGGGCCCCCTGAGTGGGCAGGATGCTGTGTGTCTCTTCCGAGAGGGCAGGCAGAGGGCTGCAGCTGACTTGCTGCTCTCTGATCTAAGGCAGTGAGCTAGCTGCTTTATCAGTCTTGGACGAGCTCAGATTTCTGCTGTAGGTCCTAAGGTCCCTAGACTCGGTAGCATCTGTGGGGACTGTGGAAGTTGTGTTTCGTCATCGCCCCGTGATTGGATGTCTGTTGCATGTGTCCCCTGTGACAATAGCTTTAAACTTGTTGTCCTTGCGAGAAATGTCAGGACCTATAAATGCTGTGGCTGAATCCTGAGCCCCAGATTGTCCTCTTTGCATGAGCTGAGGCCTAGTGCAGGCAGTGGTGGGGTGGGGTACCATCTGAATCTGCTGTCCCCAGGGAGACGTGGCAGGACCCTCTCCTGTCAGCATGCGAGCCCTGAGTCCCCTGCAGAAGTGATTCTGTTCTCTGAGCTGGACAGTTTGAGAGCCCTGAAGCTGATGCAGGTTGTTGGTGAAGAAATAAGAAGATGCCAGGCAGTGAGAGTGGGTCAACCGCGGTGGGTTAAAAGACAAAGAAGGCTGTTCTAGAACGTGGTCATCCTCGAGACACGAATATACGGCAGAATCACCTCATAAAGCGCTGATTTCAGTTTTCACTGAGATTTGGAAGTGTTCCGAGACCAGGTGGTAGTCACAGTCCATCTTTAAAACGGCCAGATCCAGGGCTGTGAGCTCAGTGGAAGAGCACTTGTCTAGTGCGCATGTGGCCCTGGGGTCCCTCTTCAGCATGACGAAAGAGATGAAAATAAAGATGGTCGAGTGCTGTGGCCCCTGGCTGTCTGTGCTGTCGCGGGAATTGGGTGGTACCAGCCAGTCCTGCAGAGTCAGCACCGTGGGGTGGGAATTGGTGGTACCAACCAGTCCTGCAGAGTCAGCACTGTGGGTCCTTCCGCCATGCTCAGAAAAAGACTCCCTCATCTGCTGACAAGTACCATGAAAGGGGAAGATGTCGTGACCTTTAAGGCAGGGTCAGAATCTTGCTGTCCTCTTGAAATATAGTCCTTCATCTTCCTCTGTTGGCACACCGTGTCCAGTGAGGCCCTCCTCCCCCTGCTCCTCCCCCTTCTGAAGGGCGAAGCCCGTCCAGGCATGCATCCACCTGCTGCACGTGTGGCACCGGGCTGCCCAGCTGCTCACCCAGCCCTGTCTCCTGCAGTGTGCCAGGTGATCGGGATGTACGATTACACCGCACAGAACGATGACGAGCTGGCCTTCAGCAAGGGCCAGATCATCAACGTCCTCAACAAGGAGGACCCCGACTGGTGGAGAGGAGAAGTCAGCGGGCAGGTGGGGCTCTTCCCGTCCAATTACGTGAAGCTGACCACGGACATGGACCCAAGCCAGCAATGTAAGTGTCCCGGCGGCGGCGGCGGCAGCGGCGGCGGCTCTCCCTCCCCTCTCTGGTGTCCTCCCATAAAACATGCAGCATTGCCCTGATTCTGCCAAGCTTGCTTTGCAGAACGTGAAACCAGACCACTGCTGCATTTGCGACAGTCTCTTTGAAGACCTTCTGTGATGCAGGACTATCTCGTGGGGTTGTTTTTGGTTTTAAGTCTCATTCCTTCTGTGGCATGTCCCCCTCCCCTCCCCACCCTTCCTTCTTTTTTTCTTTTCTTTCTTCCTTTTTTTTAAAAATCATTTTGGCACCATGCTGTGTACATGCCTGACTCATTTTCCTAGCTTGAATTTTGCTCATTGTTTTGTTTTGCTTATGTGTTGTTTTCCTCCTTTTTCTAGGAATCATATGTTGTCCATCCCCCCCTCAGGCTTGAAAGTCCTCAAAGAGACCCACTATCCCATATCACTGCCCAGAGGGATGATGGGAGATGCAGCCTTGATCATGTGACTTGCAGCATGATCACCTACTGCCTTCTGAGTAGAAGAAGTCACTGCAGAGCAGTTTACCTCATTTTACAGTAGCTGCATGTGATCGCAATGTCTGAGTCATTACGTGCTGAGACAGGAGCAAAATTGCAAAAGAGCACAGGGTGGTGGGTCCTTTTGTGGCTTTCCTACTTACAGACTGACTGCCCGGCCTTGCACAGGTGCTTTCGGGAGTTCTAAGATTATTTTTAAATGTGTATTTTAGCCTTTTAATAAAAGTCAATCAATTACTTCTTTGCTATTTTGGTTTTGCAAAAAGACCCACTATCAAGGAATGCTGCATGTGTTATTAAAAATTGTTCCAAATGTCCATAAATCTGAGGCTTGATGTATTCTTCCATTTTGTCCAGTGTTACAACTAAACTGTGTAGTTTGGGGATTTTGCCCTCTGTAGAGTGCAGAGGAGTTGGGTATACCCGCTTTGAAGATGTGTAGATGGAGCCTGACTAAACAGAAGGTGTTGTGCTTGTTTGTGATGTCACATGTACATGTTGCGCATGTAACACATCTGTACTGAAGAAGTAGCTCTTCCCATGGCAAACGCTACCACCGTGTACAATGCTCTCATCTACTGCATTGATTTTATTTTGCACAGTGACTGTGTAGCCACATGAGAAAATACCTGTGTTTCCGTTTGGTCTCAGATTTATCTAGTTGGTTGGTGTTCTGTTTTGAGTTTTTAATTTGGCGTATTTTCATACCGTAAATCAGTAAGACACCACCACCAAGGTGGTTATGATCAACAGTATCTACAATCTTAGTCTCTGTTACATGAAGTTTTATTCCAGTTGCTTTTCATGGAATATTTTGAACAAGTAATTTTCTTGACAAGAAAGAATGTATAGAAGTCTCCCTGCAATTAATTTCCAGTGTTTACATTTTTAACTAGACTGTGGAGAGTAATATGAAGCGGCGCTCCTGGTCCACATGTGTGTTAACGTGCTGTAGCTAAGCCATGTTTGTCTTTAGACATTAGTTGGAATCTCTCAATAAAAACGAAAAAGAAAAACTGCCCACTGCTGACAGCACAGGAAACCCGAAGCAGCGTCTAGCTGTCCCAGTCATAAGTTAACTGACGTCCCTCGGGGTCCCCTCCTGGGGCGACGCCTGGCTGACAGTTGTGTCCCGGTCCTTCTCCCTCACGTGGTGCAGAGGACAGGGCAGCCTCTCCTCGTCTGCTTGCGCTCCAGTGTTTGCGTGGATATGAATGTAAAATATATAAATATATAAACCTGCGGCTTTAACAATTGTAATACAACCTTTTGGACTAGTTATGTGTATAGATGATTAAATTCTTCATATAAAAGTTAGATGGAAATGTCTCTGTGTTCTTGCTGTTGGAATCCTGCAGTGGCAAGGGGTACCACGCAGACAGGTGTCGGCCTGCTGCCCACATGCTGAGTGTGAAGACAGATATGATCCTTGAGTGGCACCCCCTCCCCATCAATGTATAAACGGTGGCTCCTTCTGTCGCCCCGGTTTCCAAGTGTAGAGGTCCACATTCCAGCTTAGCTGTCAGCTCTCACTGGGCTCTTAGTTTGTGTTGTTGACACAGTGACAGCTGTTTGATTTGCCTTGGGGCACAAAACATTGGTCCAAAAATCGTGTCATAATAAGGAACTAGTGAGTGTCAGAATACACGTGGATAAAGGCAGACTTGCATATTTCCCTGTTGTGTGGGATCACTTCAGCTGTGCACACCCTTGTGACTTTTAGAGACAAACCAGCATATGTATACACATGGATGACGCTGCTAGCCATGATGGACACGTGATTGACGCTATCCTCGTGAATTTTACCTCTTGGGCTTCCCTGCCCGTCCTTTGAAGTTTCTTCAAGTTGGCAAAAGGTTTGAGAGAAGGGATGGTAAATCTGCCGTGCGTTGAGTGCCCTGTTGGGTTCTGGAGAGAGAGGAAGTGAAAACCAAGTCCATACAATAGTTACGGGGAGTGTGTCCAGTTCTATGCAGAAGTGTGGGTGAACTGTAGCATGAGCAGGCTATCCAGCTTTGGTGGGCTGGGGGCGGGGGCAGTAAGTTCCGCTGCTACAGGGCAAAGGTAGGAAACCCCCCACCCCCAGGAGGGGCAGGGGAGTAACACTGACGTGGGGACCTGGAAGCCAGTGAGTGAGGTGGGAGAAGTATTTGTTACGGACCTAGGTGTCGGAACAGTAAAGACCCAGAGGGAGGTGGGGAGGGCCCTTCCTGTCTCCCATCCAGGCCCTTATGGAACAGTGATCAAGTCTGCAGACCTTGTCTCCTCCCCAGGACCTCTTCACTCTCTGAGGCAGGGTTCCTTCTCCAGTGTTGAGGTTGATGGTGGGATGCCATTGTTCACTCTGGTACCCTCCCATGGTGCATTCCTCCAATCTTTCTCCTGGGTTTGGGAACTGGCAGAGATTTCCCTCACATCCCTTCAGTGTGCACAGACTGCAGAGAACCCATCTGACCCTGTGGGTTTTAGGCAGAGGGCCACTCCTAGCATCCTGTGGGTAGAGGCTGGGCATGTGGGTCATCCTACATACAACGTAGAGCACAGTCCACATGACAGAGATCAGGTCCCAGATGTTACCAGTGCCAAGCGGAGAAACCCTGGTCTCACCCTACTGGCCACTGGCTAACGTTCACGTCCAGGCCCAAGTGGTTATCTCACACATGGCTGCTGAAGCTGTCCAGATAACTACTGCTGAATATGTGCACTCGCTTTGTGAGCTCCTATCGTGTGTGCAGTGTAAAAAGTCTCCCACAGTTGTCCTTTATTCTTCAAAACATCTTGGTTATCCCCTATGTTCTCTACTTTTTTAAAGTTGGATTAAACAGTAAAGTGTCCCTCAGAGTTTAAAGGTACTAAGTTTAGGGTTTGATTTTTGTTTTTAGGTAGTTTTTTTTTTTTTTCATTTTACATTTACTCTATGTGTGTGAGTGTATGTGAGTGTGTGTATGTGAGTGTGTCAGCAATTTCATATGACTTAACCCAATATAATTAATCATTCCCTGGCGCGTGATGGGTTTAAGCACTCAAAGCTGCCCATTGTGTGAGCAGATCAGACAACCGTAGAATACACCAGAATCCAGGTTCCTGAGGCGTCACGTAGGAGAAACCAAGATTTCACCCTAGTTCCCTCTCCCTTTCGTGGAAGCTCCCCAGAGTAGTGCTGTGCTGGAGTCTCGCCCATGTGTGCTGAGCGAGGCTCAGGCCTGTGGACTTGGGTCTGGGCAGTCTCTCCTCTGGCCTAATCTAGGAAGCTCCCTACCCAGATATCAACCCTGCTTCCTGGAAACGGAAAGTCATTTCTGAGAGACAGTGAAAATATTTTCCTTTGGCAAAATTATAAATTAATCTGTTTATTCTTTTTTGACCCCAAAATACCCAAGAGCATTGTTCTGGAAGCTACATTGACTGTCAGTGACAACACCCCCCCACCCCAGCACACACACCAGTAAATGCACAGGGAAATACAAAATATCTGATATTTGGGGCCTGGGGAGGTGGTTGAGAGCACTGGCTGCTCTTCCAGAGGATCCAGGTTTGATTCCCAGCACACACAGACTGGTTCACAGCCGTCTGTAACTCCAGTCCCAGGGGATCTGACATCTGGCCTCCACAGGCACCAGGCACATGTGTAGTGGTGTACAGACAGACATGTTTTATGTGGGCCAAATACCAACACATAAAATGTTTCAAAAAAAAAAGTTAAAAAACATATAGAATGGTGGGAAAGCCAGAGGATCTGATACCATTGTGTGAGGGTCTCACGTGGCCACCGTTTCCTGGAGCCCTTTTTCAGTGAAAACCCGGGAAAAAGCTAGATGGTTTGTTTCAGCCGGTTCATTGCTTCTCATTGAAGGTTCTGTTCTTCATATTGAAAGCCCCTGGGCATGAAAAAACCAAAAAAACGATGCCTGAATTCACTAAAACAAAGGCTTTGTTTCTTAGACATGGCCATCGTCTTTTAAGACCCATATATATTGTGTTTGCACAGCTCTGTGTGAGCACACTGCCTCCTGGAGTCTAGGGCCTAGATGCTCCCTGCCTGCTGTTCTGTGGTGTCGGTAATCTGTGTGCCAGATGTAGGTACGAGAAAGTGACCTTAATATGTACCTGTGGCTTGTTAACGTGGGGCTGAGTGGGTCAGAGCACAGCTAGAATCAGATAGACTTGTATAGAAGATTCCCACACAGGCTGACAGTTGCAGGGTTTTCATACCTGCTTGACTCATGCTGCAGGCCCCAAAGACTTCCTCGGCTTAGCCGTATTTGCTGAGGCTGAACACTCCTTTCTCCCGAGTTCTCCAAACCCTGACCCAGGAGAGGAGATGCCTTGTGACCTGCCAGTGGGCATGAGGAAGCTGTGTGCTCCTGAGGCCTCTGCTCCCCCCACCCCCACCGTGCCCGGGCCGCTCCCTTTCTTGACCTCTGTCATGCTTGCACACTAAGCCAGGCACACTAAAGAAGCAGAGAACATG